AAGATGTTGCCGATTGCGGTAGGATTCCTGTGTGGATGGAAGAGTCATTATGCAAAACCATGGTGTATAGCGGTTCTCCTCGAGCTCAGCAAGAGATTTTCAGACGAGGACTGTATAGACCGACGGGAGAGCTGATGCTGGAATTTATAAGAAAGAAAGGAGCAAAAAGTTTTGTTTTTATTGTTACTCCAGATCAGACTTTTACCGTTCGAATGGGTTATTGTATATACAACCACGGGGCAAAATGGCATCGATCAAAAAATTCATTTCCCGTTCATCTGTTATTTACTGTATTGAATTCCAAGCTCCCTCCTCATGCCACCAAATTTCTCAATATATTTCGCGAGAAACAATTCCAAAGTGGCATCGATTTTTATATCGCAAAGCAATGGCTTTTGCACCTTGAAAAGCTACTAGACTCTAAACAAATAAAAGGCTGTTACCATAAAACTTCCATCAGTCCCAATCCTGTTTTGGCTCGCTTCAATCAACTAGATATACAAAATTACAAGCTATTTTTTAAGTACATGTTATGCATGATTCCAATTTGCATTCTCAGCTTGATGTGTGAATATTTGTATGCCGAGATGAACTCAGTAAGACCCAGTATTGAAAGACCTAGACTCACCTTGATTATTCTGACACAAAATAAATGAAAATCAAATTATTTGATGGATTCCCTAGATGCACAGAGCATTCAAAAGTAATTAAAAACACAAAATAAAACAAAAAACTAAATTCGATCGTAAAGTTGTTTGAATATTTCTTGTTAAATGGAGACTGATTCTCGGTTTTAATTTAATATTGGTCTAATGGTCAGCATTGGCGCTAAGACTGCAAACCTTTATATGTTTTACTCTGCATCTTGACGTTAGCGTCAAAGTCCTGAGTCAACCTACAGTAGTGCTTACTCAGGGTTAAGCCCCCTGAACAATCCCATGCTCCCTTCCTGATGGATTCCTAGGTAAGCTGGATAAAGCCTAGCGCCTACTTTCGGTAAGACACCTAGGTGGGGAAGGGTAGACGGCGCCTTTGTTTGCAAGGTTGATCACAACTATAATTAAAATTGAATTTAATTTGAGAAACTTTGTATTGCAATCAAATTCACCGCTTTAGCTAGAGAACATGCGTATAGGTGTATACATGTTTCTTTAAAAACTGATTCCATTCAATATCATCTTAAATCATCGTTTTATTTCAGGTACCGGTTCGGATTAATTTACTAATCACTTTCTCCTTTCTTTCTATTTCAATTGTTGATTGTTGAATTGTCCTATCTCACAATGACTACTCCATGTTTTGCTGATTTGGGTAAACAAGCCAAAGATTTGTTCAACAAAAATTACCGTAAGTAGTTTCTTATGAAATCTCTCCCTTTGATTCTCCAATTTGACCTTCAAACATTCTTTGCACAGTATTAACGTTTGATTGGCATTAGTTATGAATTAATTATGATGAGGTTTTGATCAATTTTGCACTTCCATCCCAGGAATTTAACAAACACACACCAAATTTTGTGACTTGTCACATATTTTGTTTTGTCTCACATGTTTTGCTTCTTTATTTTATTCAGATCTTGGTGTTGTTAAACTTGACTTCAAGACTAAAACTCAAAATAAAGTCGAGTTCAATGTTAGTGGAACATCAAACACAGGAACTGGCAACATTGCTGCGAATTTGGAGACCAAACATTTTCTTCCAGATTATGGACTAACAATGAAGGAAAAATGGACCACTGATAATGTTTTATCCACCGAGCTTACCGTAGATGATCAATTTGCTAAGGGTCTTAAACTTGGTTTCAATGGATCATTCACCCCATTGTCTGGTAAAAAGTCAGGAGTCATCAAAACTTCATATAAAACTGATGCATTACATCTTAATGGTGATGTTGATTTGGATCACGGTGGTTTTATAGTACATGGAGCTGGAGTTGTTAGGTTGGTATCAAGATATTACAAATTATTCTATACATTGACCAGCTGTTTTTCACCTCTAAGCTAAAATCATGATGAAATTAAATTTCTCAAATTTCTTATAGATTCCAATCATGGTTGGGAGGTGCCCAGCTTTCTTTTGACCCATCTAAAAATGCAATCAAACGAAACAACATTGCCGTTGGATATCAAACACCCGAGTTCAACTTGACTGCTAATCTGTAAGTTTATCTACTTTGTTTTAAATTCATATCATATAAATTTTCTAATTATTTTTCTCTCTAAAGGGCCGATTTAAAGGAAGCCTCTAGTACAGTTTACCAACGTGTTAATGATAAATTGGAAAGTGGTATTTCCCTAGCCTGGTCTTCTGATAAAAATTCCACCCAATTCGGTCTTGGCTGCATTTACAAACTTGACAGTGATACCTCATTGAAAGCTAAAGTAAACAATAGTGGTATTGTTGGTCTTGGGCTTACTCAACGCCTTCGACCTGGTATTTTACTGACACTTTGCGCTTCCATTGATGGTAAAAATTTTAATTCTGGAGGTCATAAGCTTGGTATGGGCTTGGAATTGGCCGCCTAAGATATTTTTAACGCGAAGTGAAAGCGTGATATGCTTTCTTCAATATGCATAAAAGTTAATAAAAGTCCAACCCCAGTGATTTAGAATGTAAAGGAAACAGATGAAGAGATATTAATGTTCGAATAAAAGCTGCTATCTGAAATTATGATTAAATTAAATATGGTTATCCATCGAGATTATCTTTAATTAACTACAATCTCTTTCTTTATGTCTTTCAATACTGGGTCTTACTGAGTTCATCTCGGCATACAAATATTCACAAATCAAGCTGAGAATGCAAATTGGAATCATGCATAACATGTACTTAAAAAATAGCTTGTAATTTTGTATATCTAGTTGATTGAAGCGAGCCAAAACAGGATTGGGACTGATGGCAGTTTTATGGTAACAGCCTTTTATTTGTTTAGGGTCTAGGCGCTTTTCAAGGTACAATTGCCATTTCTTTGCGATATAAAAATCGATGCCACTTTGGAATTGTTTCTCGCGAAATATATTGAGAAATTTGGAGGCATGAGGAGGGAGCTTGGAATTCAATACAGTAAATAACAGATGAACGGGAAATGAATTTTTTGATCGATGCCATTTTGCCCCGTGGTTGTATATACAATAACCCATTCGAACGGTAAAAGTCTGATCTGGAGTAACAATAAAAACAAAACTTTGTGCTTCTTTCTTTGTAATGAATTCATTCATGAGCGGTCCCGTCGGTCTGTACAGTCCTCGTCTGAAAATCTCTTGCTGAGCTCGAGGAGAACCGCTATACACCATGGTTCTGCATAATGGCTCTTCCATCCACACAGGAATCCTACCACAATCGGCAACATCTTCAAGTGAATCAATCGTTTTTATGGCTGCTTCAGATGAAAGATCTGTAGTGAAGGAACTAGAATAAAGCGATGTTATAAAAAATATTGTTAACGTGATGGAAATCCAAATGAACGAAAAATATGAACGACTAAAAAGAGTTTTGAGACGTGCTGCTTGGCGTAAAATTGCACAAATCAAAGGCCAGATTATCCATGGAGATGTGGTTTTAATGTTGAACAATTTCGGATTGAAGTACCATAAAAGGAAAGGGATTGATGAAAGAAATAGAAAAAGGAAAGCCAAAGATAGAATTACATCTAAAGGGAATATCGAAAGTGATGTGAAGACATCTTCACGAACTATTCCAATTTCGGGTAAAGCTGTGAAAATGGTACAGGAAAGATCACCTAACACTGTTCCTGGTTTAAGTCCAGTAGTTGAATCAGGAATTGTTGCGAATGAATATAATCTATCACAGAAATCAGCTTCACCTCGCTGAACTAGTCCAATAAGGCCAGTACAATTGCCGGAATTACATTCTCCATAATCTATTGGTTTGCGAAACACAATAGTGTAATTAATGGAACTGTAGCGTTCCATTTGTTTGGTGAAGAACTGAGAAAGTTGACCAGTAAATTTTTTCCTAATAGGATCATAATTTGTAGATGGAGTCCGATCGAGGTAACCAATTTTGAACTGAAAATTTGAATGCATAACATAAATCTATTTCGATTCGATAAACTCAAGTTTACATGATGAGAAATAATTTATATGTTGATTACTTGAAAAATTTTGTGATGTTTGACCGTATCACATCTTTGGACGCATTTGTACGATGGTCCTTCTGGTCAGGGAAAAAAATGCTCAACATATTTGCAGGAATTTAATATGAGAAGTAAATGTCATTCCATTAGTGTAAAGTTCAGATCGGGAGACAAAAAAGATTAATTTCATTTGAATAACTGTTTTTCAATATTTGAAACGTGAATTCTGATGGAATAAAGAAATTAATAATTTTATCGATTTAGAATCTCTTATTGAAAATTTAATATTTATAAAATGCAAATCAAATAGAAATAGAAATGCATTTTTATAGCAAAAACTATTAAGATTGGTATTCTTAGGTTGATGTATTAAATGTTGAAATCTTAATGTTTTGATGTTCAAATGGTATGATAAGAACAGAGACTTTCAATTATTCTGAAAGCTATTGCAATCTAATGATTCGAAGCTGTTAAAGGTCTATCTTAAAATCAAACGTGTTTCGAAATAAAATTTTGTTTATGTTTGCCCTTCATTAGCTGGCACGATCAGATACACAGTTAGATCATTTATCGTCATTATGGTTGAAATTATCCACTTAACAATCCCATACACATTGAATTGCGGGGAAAAAGTTTGGGCATTCTTAATTTTTTTCTTGCTGTCTCGTAAGATAATAGCTGAAATTTTTCAGATTATCAGAAATTAAAGTAAAACATTAAAGTAAATATTTTCTAGCATGAATGCAAGAATAATACATAATTAAAGTAAGATATAATACTATTAATAAGTATGTGAAATTTTACATTTTTGCTTCCATGGGCATTCAACAAAATGAACCAAAAGTTTGTGGTTGGAGAGAAGCAAATCACATTCATACCAAAAATAAGGAATAGCTTTACATTGTATTTGTTACAATGGTTATGCATTTATTAATGTAATACTTTAAATAAATACAGAATTATTCAGTTTAGACCACTCTAAAAGCAAAATTATCCGCCAAAAGATTTGTAAAAGTACTTGAACTGAACAATGGAATCAACTCATTCAACAAAATTGATGTCAGTTTAAAAATGTCCGGCTCATGTGGAATATTTGTATGGATAACAATGAGAACTTCAAAGTCACAAGCGATTTGAGTAGTGGTGAAATGATGAAGAGTATAAATTTTTCAATATCGATATTTCGTTGAATAATCTTTGGGTGATATCACCAAACCGCGACCTTTTCTGGCACCTCTGTAAACAGTTTCAATGATATCTATCATCTCTTGTTTATTATCAAGAGCCCAGTTGATCTTGTTATTATTACCAGTTCCCAGATCGATCATGATGTGCTTATTACGGAAGAAAAACATGACTGTACATGGGTCATACAGTTCATACATTTTATTGAAGTCAGGAACCTCTGTAATATCAACTAGATAAATAACGGCAAAGTTTTTAACCTAAAAATGAAAAGAAACCATAGAATAAGTATTAAAAATTCATTTTACATATTAATACAAGCGAGGAATAATAAATTTGTACAGTACAACAGGAAACCAATCTAAATGGAAAATCGTTTGTAATAAAAAGAGCTACAGACCAGGCAAATAAAGATGGAGATTTACAAGCTCAATAGTTAGCGCATCTATAGCTTAAGTTTAATAATTACCTTGGCAGCAATTCCATAGAGTGTTTCGTCCATCTTCATACAGGTAGGATCCCAATCATGTCCAAATCGTATAACAACAACTCGATCTTCCTCGGATAAAATAGCTTGGTCAACTTCCCAGCCATTGTGAAGATGCTGTAACATAAAGGACATGGTGTTAAATATTAATAATTGGTCAGTAAAGAAATAAAAAAATCAGTAAATTGTTTTAATTACTTTTAATTGTTAGGAATTAGGTAGAGACCAGTCGTCAGTTTCACAGAATGTTCGAGAAAATAATGTTTACTGTTGTCAACTTACAACCAAAACATATGTTACAAGGTCACGTGACTCTATCTGAGTCACTCAGTAAGCTGGTTCATTCACGTTTAGTTGTTTTGAATTAAAAATTTGTAAATGAGAATTGTGAATAAACTTTTATCCAGGTTTAATCCTGTGAGCCATTATTTCATATCTACACCGATATTTTACGTTAATGCAGGTAAGATTCTGGTTAAAATATACTCTATACTTCCAAAGTCTGGGTTGAGCTTCAATTTAACATCAACACTTTATTTGTATAATTTCAACTTTTTATTTTCCGAATTAGATCCTCATATTGGACATGTTCATTCACTGGTAGTCGCCGACGCTTTACATCATATTGCCAAGTTAAAAGGGGCTGAGAAAACCATTTTCTCAACTGGAACTGATGAGCATGGACTCAAGGTACTTCATCTGACGACTTTCGACACTGCATGGTTAATAATTACTGTTTTTGTTCCAATAGATTCAAAGAGCAGCTAAATCCCAAGGTTTTCATCCTCAAGAATTCTGTGACAATATTTCAAAAAGATTCTCAACATTATGTTCAGCATTTGAGATTGGAAACACACACTTTATACGGACAACTGATGCTAGTCACATAAATGCTGTCAGTAATTTTTGGACTGAATTGTGTACTAAAGGTTTTATCTATAAGTCTAAATATGCTGGATGGTATTCAGTTTCAGACGAAACATTTCTACCATCTACTCAAATCGAGGAGAAGATCATAGATGATAAATTAGTTAAAGTCTCAATTGAATCTGGACATGTCCTGGAATGGGTCGAAGAAGAAAATTATATGTTCAGATTGAGCGAGCTACAAGAGCCTCTCTTAAAACTTTTTAAATCCGGCAAAATTACTATCAAACCTGATGTCTTTCATCAACTAGTATTAAGTTTGATTGACCAAGGACTGCATGATATTTCTGTGTCAAGACCATCTTCAAGATTATCATGGGGAATACCTTTGCCTTCAGATTCATCTCATCGAGTAAGATTATCATCTGTAACAATATTCCTAAATTATGCCGCATTTATACTAACTTGATAAATTTTATTCTTAAGATTTACGTTTGGTTAGATGCTTTAGTCAACTACCTGACTGTTGCGGGTTATCCTAACCTCTCGAAATTCTGGCCACCTGATTGCCATGTCATTGGTAAAGATATCATCAAGTTTCACGCTATCTATTGGCCTGCTTTTCTGCTGGCTGCTGATTTGGAGGTGCCTAAACAAATAATATGTCATTCGCATTGGACCGTTGATGGTGTCAAGATGTCAAAAAGTCGTCAAAATATAGTGAATCCATTTGATCTTCTTCAAACTTATTCACCAGAAGCTATTAGATATTTTCTCCTGAGACAAGCAGTCCCTCACGATGACGGAAGTAAGTTGAATCTAGCCTTATCTATGGATCTAACGATTTATTAATCTCTATCGGTTCTTTCTTTTAGACTTTAGTGAGTCTCAAATGCAGTATTTCCTCAATCTGGATCTTTCTGATACGCTTGGCAATCTCTTGAGTCGATGTTGTGCGCCTAAAATTAATTTTAAGCAAATCTATCCAGCTGCTCCAAGCACTCAAGTACTGGCTCAATTTCCAGCGGATGAATTAATAGAAAGTTTATTTCCACTTGGACTGAAAGTAGATAAGCTATTTAGTGAAGCTCAATTTCATGATGGAATCGACCAAGTTTTGGCCTCTCTTCGATTAGCAAACAAACTAGTAAATGATACAAAGCCATGGGAACTTGTGAAAAATCCAGCCCTTGAAGAATACCTTCATGGAGTTTTATATATCACTTTTGAAACTCTCAGGATATGTGGTATTCTAATGCAGCCTGTGATACCCAAAATGGCAACAAAACTTTTAGACAGATTAGCAGTGCCAATTAATCAAAGATACTGGTCTGATGCTATTCCCTGCTTACCACCTAGCAATTCATCTACGGAACGCAGTCTATGTGATAAAGTAGATTCTTTTTTATTCCCAAGAATCAGATGAGACCAATTCATATTTGAAATTAGCCCAGAAGTTTTCATAACTTTCATACTGCGCTTACAGCTATGCAATTAAACTATTTGCATTAATTGTGATTTTTTCAAGTGGTCAAATGGTAAGAGCTTTCAACTTTATTGTAAAAGTTAACATTTTATAATGTATAAAATAAGTAGGCATATCAATTATTAAATTTAATTGTTATAAATTACTTTTGTCGTTTATATAAACTTGTTACCTTAATTGTAGCAAAAAAAGTATTTAATCTTATCCCCGCAAGATATTGTTCAAGTAACAATGAGGATTTCATTTATTTAAGATTCAAGACAATTTTAACAAGTCAATTTAATATTTATTATGATATGATTAAGCTTATGATTAGCCTTAACAAGGGTCTTCTCTCTTATTCAGTTTCAAACAAATTTCGAAGCTCTAAAGTATCCTGATCACGTATAAACAGAGTAAATAACTGCAACTTAAATTATGTTTCACTCAACTTTGTTGTTTCTTTTTCTTCTTACCCAATTAGAGTCTAATCTGGTTAACACCTTACCTATCCTTGAAAACAAAAATGAGGCGACGAGCGGAAGTCAACCTGTTACAAATGGCGACTACAATTTTGATGAATTGGGAGATGATTATGATGATCCTTTTATTAAAATATTAAGAGACAAATATAAACCAGAACCACAACCAATTGCAATTAGAGACTCAAGTCATCCGAAAGATTTTTTTGTTCCGTCCAATGTTGCACCAATATTTGTATCTGATGGTTTTTGATTTTTGGACAATTCAAAATTAATATAAAAACCAATTTCAAGGAAAGGCCATTTATTAATTATCAGCCTCTGATGTGAATCAACTCAAACCAGATCAAGCGCAATAGAAATCACTGTTTAACCACATTTTGCCGTCAATGTGTTGACATTTAACTCTAAATTGTAACACTTTTCAAAGTCTGCAATAATTTTATATTCTAGATGTCAAAGACAAATTAACTAAGCTTCCCAATCAGTGAAATCCTCCCACCATTTATTGAAGAAATTCATTTTCTCCTCTCAATTTTCATATTGTAACTCTGTGCCACAGATTGATATTTACTAGAAAAAATAGAATTGATTATAAGCTATCAAATTTCGTCAATAAACATGAATGTTTACAATCACTTTTGTGTCAAACTCATTCCATGTGAACCTTAAAATCAACTTATACTTTCATTTTTACAACTAACTCAATACAGTTTAATTAAGCACCAAAGTGATCAACTGGATTATGTGATAGTTAACCACGATTGAAGAATCGCAATAACTAAGGTAAGTTTTGATTTACATTCTTATACTATTGTCTTACTTATCTTTTCTTGATTTACCCTTTTTTGTGTCCAGTAATATTTGAATACATTGAACCAATTGAGTTTTCCCTCTAAATCATGTTTCATATTATTAGGAGCAAATTAACATGTTAATAGTTTCATTTTCAGCATTACAGCATAAAGTATTATCACTTTGCGTTTCAATTAAAGACCAACATGTTTCCTCTTCTTGTTGATAAACATGAATCATGATCATCATTACTGCATCTTCAAAAAAGATACTATTATTATTCCAATGATAAGAATAGGTAATAACCGTAATCATCCAACTTATTATTGTTTCTCAACGGTTTACCTCAATATTTTTTTCCGTAATCACGTCTAAAACAGTAAAACAAAATGTATCAAGAAAAAAAACTGCATTTTCTGTTATAAAATGAATTAGTGAACCGCAAAAAATGGCATACATTTGCATCAATTTAGCTTACTTACTCCTCCTTCCTCATCTCATCTTAATCATCATCATGGTCAACTTTTACCTGTTTATATATTATACTATCATAATCCGCTCAATGTGAACTCATCAACGTAAAGATTGAGACATATTTCAATAACTCATTATTTCTGGCCAATTATACAATTTTACTTACCTTAACGTCACTAAATGTTGGCTTTGATCAACAATTCAAGTGTCAATTCAGATGTCTCAAACCTTTAGTTAATCCATCATCATGAAGTCCATTTTTCACTCATTTATACATTTATACACTCACTCTGTAATCATCTGATTAAAAATAGTCCCAATCATAATATCATCTCAGTCCATTTGACCATTGAAGCATAATAGATTAAAATCAAATTTTGATCACTTGGAACATTCGTATCTCTTCATTTCAATATCATGATATCAGATAATTTCCAGCTATCCAACATTAATCATTAATTACAGTCTTAATAATGTCACAAGCAGTGGTCAAAGTTGAACAATTTTAACAATAAAAACCATTGTTACAAAAAAATGAATAAAGCTATTGGCTAACAACTCCATCTAGGTTTTTTACTTCGAAGTTTTATTCGAGACGAGAGAAGAGAAGTTTTTCATTGCAAATCTTTTTCACTGTTTGTATTGATTATCGTTCATTTACCATAAAGTTAACTTCAACAGATAATTTATTTGCTTGGTTTGATCAATTGGCGCAATCATTTTTATGGTGTTTTTCACACACACTCAACATGCAAATGTTAATCTACAGTTAAATCCACTGAGCCGGTAATTTGGTTTCATTTGAAATCTATTGTTGAATCAACTTTGATAATCAACTCATTGTAATGTACGTCTGTTTCATCAGGTTTTCATTATTATTCAATATGTTTGGGATTATATTACCTTTGATTGTGTCACCTTAGTGTCAATTAATAAATCATAATTAGTGAAAAAAGACAAAAAATGTGACAATTGAAATATTGGAAACATTAAACCTCCCTTTGTATGTTCATCTTTATAGTCATGTGTTCCATTTCTTTTAACAGTAAATTAATGCAAATATGAATAACGTCATTTATTGTCTTCTTTTGTTCAAATCATCACCATCATCAGGATCATCATCATCACCCTCAATGGCTCCATTATATCATTTCATCTCAATTATTGAACCAATCATCTCCGGCATACACAATTATGATCACGGTTGTGACAGTTATTTGTCTTTCCAAGTCAAATCTTCTTCTTCTTCATCATTATCATTTATTCTCTCTCACCTCTCTAACTTATTCACCTTTTTTACCTCTTTCTATGTACTATTACAATCAATCAGTCAATTATCTTATTTACGGTAGACTAAATTCAAGTGTTGAGGTCAGGATATGAATAAGAGAGAAGACAAGAAAAGAAGCAGAAAAATGATAAAGTTTATGATTATTTGTAGGAGAGAAGGTAAATGATCGGTTACTTCATTTTTAACCAAATGTTGTTGTCAGCTTTGTTTGTTTAACCTTTTAGTCACAATTTTGCCATGAATCCATTAGCTTAAAAATTGTTAACCTCTGTTCATTTCATTTGAACTGTGATTCTCAACTTTTCCTAACCATTTTTGCAGCCATTTTAAGTATAAGCTTTTGTCAAAGTTGCAAGAAATTGTGGTTTTTGTTGATAATAGTGGCCTTAAAATGGTTACACCGACATTTTGTTTTGTGTTGAAAAGGCTTATCTAACTGGTGCCCTTCCATTTTAAGGTTGAAAATGATACTCAACAGGAATTATGACCAACCAAGGGATCGACCAAGACTCTACCGAACTCATTCAATCAACCATTTCCCCGTGCAAACACCCTCTGGACCAGATTTGTATTCTTATGGATATTCACGAGGTAATGATTGTTCAATTGTGTGCTAATTTTTGAAACAGATAATATTCAACTTTTAATCTTGGTGTCATTAACTTTCATTTTTTAATGTTTTCTTGTGAAATGATGATCTTTCATCTCTTTATTTCTCTTCTTTTGTTGCCAGTTGATCCATTGAAGAGAAATAAACATAATGGATCGGTCAGTGTTTGGACGGGCTACTCAAATGGTGATGAGAATGGTGAAAGAGTCAAACTAAATGGCCAAGTTAATGCAATTCGACTTCAAAGATCTTCATCATTATATCAAAAACAGCTACTCCATCACAAAAGGTTAGTCACTTTACACGAAACAAACATTTCTATCATGATGGAAGGTTTAAATTGAAAGAAAAAGCTGATACAATTGAGTTCCTCCTTTAGTTTCAAGAGTACCTTGCTCATCTCCAAATTATCTTACTAAAATATTAGCGATTCAATCGTTCAAACATAGAGATAGCTCAATAATTGTCTCATCCTACTTTAATCGACAAAATTTACTTTCCTGAGATAGTCGGTCTATTATTAACCTGTTGATAACTGCAATAGCTTTTCCAGCTTTCTTTTTTTTTGGAATCTTGAAATAGATTTGAAGTCCAAGTTACATTAAATTGTTTTCAAAGAGTAAGGTAATAAGAGGCGTCACGAGATGAGCTCAGATTAAGGTTGAGATTTAATTCTCCAGTTCACTATCAGAAGGCGCTTTTAGTGAAATTTAGACAAAAAAAATGAAAACAAACATTAATCAAATCTTAATCAAACCTTAATCAAACAAACAATCCAATGTTTAATAAAAAATTTTCAACTGGCTCTTTAATTGGACAAATCAATGGGTTTTTGATTTCCAGTGCCATCTGAGAGTGACCGAATTAATTAAATCTCAACTTGAAAAATTTAACATCTTCGTGTTCTCTCTTGTTACCTTACTCTTTGATTGTTTTAAATTTTCATCTTGAAATGTTTTAAAATGGCAAATTCAACTACAATTTGTATTATTTTGTATTTTCGCTGGATCCACCCAAAACTAAAAGAGACTAAAAACCACAATATTAACTTTGATTGCAGACATCAATTTATTCTTGCATGACATTTATTCTTCTTTTTCTTTCCTTTCTTATTATTCGTTTCTTTAAATTTCCGTTTTATCTTTTAATTTTACTCATTAATCATTTTTTTCTCTCGTATTTTTTCTTCTCTCTGGCTGTCGATTCAAACCTCAGCACAACTGATGTGAACCATAGAGGAGAGCGTGTTGTGGCTTTAATGGTGAAAGACGATTCACTGGTAGGCAAGAAAGTACCTTCAACAGTTAAATGGTCTCAACCGTTGTCACTGGATTATTGTTATGATGATAGTTCTATCAGACACACTTCACATGCCATGCCTAAAGGTTAGACCATTATTTGATGTGACTAAACCTACCTTGATAATCAGGTTTCATCATATTTCACTATAAAATAATCCGTAGTAAAATCTGAATTAGATTTGCAAAAGATTCCGTCATTACTTTTTGACAATACAAGGCAATAATCGTAAGCAGTCTCGCATAATTTGACGGGTGCTTTTGACGAAAATGACTGTCATCAAACGTGAGGTCAGTCATAATTCACTAAGAATGTAACGATCAAAATATGGATTCAGATTGATTATCGAAGACGAGTCAAAATATCTGAATTTTCGATCCTGTTGCACACTTTGAACATTTCGTGACGCACTTTAAGACAACACTTGAATCAAGCGTAACCTTTCCATCGTTATAAGTCTAATTTCATGAGCTTCTCTGTATCCTTCGCTAAATCAAACACATTGTCCAGTCTATTTTCTGGTCCTTCGGTTGAACGTCAATATCCTGTGGCACTTTTTGATCCCCAGTAAACCGTAGCACCTAGATTGATGATTACAAATGTTATTTTCATTAATATTACAACCAATTACTGAATCAAACATACAATTAAATTCATTAAGCAAACAAGGTAATCGCGTGAGGACATTTATATATTTACGCAAAGAAGATGAAAAACAATTTAATTATTGTTTCATCCAATTATCATGAAAAAAGCTATAACATTAGTAAATTGTTACAATTATTTAATCAAATTCGCGCTTAATCCTTTCACCTAGCCCTTTAGCTTTTCATTTTTATTAAAAGTTATTCTGGAGCTTCTAATATTTCTCAATTATTTATCTACTCATCATAATCACCATCTAATTAGGATAATTCAAGAGCAGTTAACTTGAAAGTTCAACATTTCCGCTTTTATGATATCAATCCAACAGCAACGGCCATAAGAAGAAAAGGTTGACATTAAAACAGATTTCAAGCCATTTACCTGATCTTTAAATTGTCACCAAACAATAAAACCACAAAATTTAGTGAAAATTATCCTGAAAGTGATTATCCCTGTGTATAAGGCAAAATAATTGACACATTAGCCAGAGTTTCTTAATCAAGATATTAATAGAAATGTTAGGAAGAAAAAAAGTTAAACACTTACCTGACCATTTCAGTTAAACAATGTGTACAAGGTGAAGAGGGACCAGTCTAATTATGTATCACAATCACTGTCCCCATAATTACCATTATCACAATAATCACCATCGTCTTCACCATCATTATCTTCGTCATCATCACCATCATGTTTTTTGTTTATCCATCTTAAAGACATTTAATAGTGTTAAAAGTTTATTATACAAGTCGATGACAATTGTGTTCAGGAAAGCGTTCAAAAAATGGATAGAAGAGAGAGAAACAAAAGAAAATGTAAATCTTAGTGAATACGTTAACATTGAAATAATCAATATGGAAGATAATTTCGTAGAACAATTCTGTTCTTCAACAAAATGGTTGTTACTGTCAAAGGGAAAGCACATCGGATACGCCCGATACGTTCCTTGAGTGTCTTTTCTCTCTCATCCCTCCCATCTTCCATCCTCTTCATCTCTCTCCTTGTATCTTCCTTTACCTTACTTTTCAATCTCCCTTATTTTTTGTTACCTTGTTTGCAGGCTTGTTTTTTCATCGCAAAATCTAAAAATAAGCCGGTCAGTTTACAAAAAATCACCTTAAATCACCGCAATCACATTAACATAAACATCTATCTTTTTTTATGTTTCAATAACGGTTACAGATTTGTTGATAATCATCTTTTCGTCTTTACTTTATCATTCTTGAAAGTTAACATTTTTTTTGATTCTCATATTAAACAAAAGCAAATCAGTTTCATTTGAGAACCTCATCTTTAAACATCAACTGTGCCTGTTAACTGGATAACATTTTGCTTGCAACAATCAACAGTTGATACACGTTCGAGTTTTACACTTACCTTGATTCCTTGTTTTGTGTATGTTGTTATCGTGTTACAGTGAAATTTTTGAGCACTTAATTCACTGGTTCCATTGTGATATATCAGGTTGATCATTTTATGTTAACGGATTCTAAATTCCATACGACAGTTTTGTGATTGAACACTACAGTGGATAATAGCACTTGAAACATTTTTAAGGTAAGAAGTTTACACTAAATGTTGCCTTCATATTGGTCTCATTGTTAGTGTAGGTGAGTTTCAAGTGACCAGAATTATGATGAACACGGATCATAATAACTGACTTGAACGACTTCATTTGCTTTTTAGTTATTACCAGCAATTAGTTCTTTTTGTGCAAATAAAATCCATGTTTTTCAAGACGATTGAAGTGTTGTTTAAACTCATCCAAATTCGTATTCATTCACATTGTTGTTTGGTTTAATCTTTTCTTCGTCGGAAAAAAGAAACTTTATTAGCACAAAATAAGACAAATAATACTGATGAATGATTAATTAACTTGGTTAGAAACTAGATTTTCCTTAGAATCTTTAATTTTATGTTATCTAATGGATAAAACAAAAGGATTTTAAGTAAAATTAAAGACGAAACCGGATTGAGAGGGAAAAATTAAGAAACCAGAAAACGTGGGAAACTTGCATTTATAAACCATTTTTTACAATGTAACCCATGAGAAAGACCTAATTGTCATCTCTAGCCAATGAAGATTAAGACGATGACAAAGATTTCAATATGGCTGCAGCAACTCTTTTTGCCATTTTTGTCCGTTTCATCTCGCAATGTTAGATAACTACAATTATATTCATTTTAATATGATTTTCATTTTAAATCAAGTGACATTTTGAATAAATTGTTCATCCCTACATGTGACGATCTAAATCAAATGTTAATTGTGTCTTGGTTTGATTGTGATTTCAACTTTCTCCAAACCTTTTTTTAGCCTGATTTGTGAATGTTGGCTTTTACATTGTTTGGTGAATCCATTTCTCAACCTTTATTCTCTGGATATGCTTGTGATCATGTTTTATGATTTCAATTATTGGAATACAATTGATTACTATGTGCTCAAGTCAATCAATAATTAAATTTAATTGAAAGCTCTCTCACGATAAAATGAGCCTTTATGTTCCAAGTTAAATGTATAATGTTTAGCTGAATAATATTCTTGCAGTTTCATTTTTGAATGGGGTTAACCTTTACCATTGTTGCTATTATTTCCATCAGATTATCAGATCATCATCATCGTCATCACCCAGAAAATCAACTCAACAATTATAACCATCTTTAATTTGATCATCGACCCAATCACTTTGCAAATGAAAATCTAACAAGTGTTCCAAGTTAGCTTATAAATTAATCATGTTCAACACTCAACAATTGAATTTGGTGAGAGAAAATTTTGACTTGTTACTCACGTTGTTGACCCTTGGCTTTTCTTGATTCTCATTTAAATTAATAACTGTTAATCGTAGCTCAATATAAATCAGATAAATAAATCAAAAGTTATTATACCATCTACCACAATTAACTTTGATTTGTATAAATAATAAAAAAGTCAAAGGAAAGGGGAAATAAAAGGTAACATCTTTACCCTTATAATTAGACAAATTTACACTTTTCTTTACCACGATTTAAGCTTTTCAGATGATTCTGATTCTCAATGAATTTTGTTTCATCATCATCATCATTTTCAGCTTTTTTTAACAATTATAATTACCATAATCATAATTAGCTGAATTTACATTCATCAACATGAAAATGGTTAACATTTTTTTTCCTTGCAAAACCAAAACCCAATTTAATTATATCTTGTTGCTATGATTAAATCGCATTTACTCATGATCATTATTGTTCAAAAATTAAGACTTGCTCAAGCACCAATCAAGGCAAACAATTTATTCGTTATTCCTCTTGTTTAAAGCTTTTCAACTAATCGACTGTTAATCTGATTAAAATCAACTGTAATATTAAAAAACCAAAAATCAAATCCTTCTGATTGATATTGTGCATCATGATTTAGTTGTAATTTTCATATTTAAATCATTCATCAGCCAGAAATTGGGTCAACAAATATTACTTTTAACTGAAAAGCCCTTAACAATTGACTAATCTATGTTAATTATCTTGTTTATTAGCTTAATTCAATGTTGTTTACTGTTGATATTTTTTCCCTATCATTTTAATTTCAAATTTCAAGCAACAAAAAGGTGTGCTTGGCTTTAATTATCTTCTTTACCTAATTAATTAATGAAATAATTTACTTTTACTGTACATTTTTTGTTACAATCTAATAACTGAATCTCTCCATGAAAACAAAAGTTAACCAATTCTGATGATAATTTATAACCAACCTTGTTTGCTGAAAAGTGATTTAAAATGTATAATTAACCAAAAATGTGTAACAAAAGAAAGTTATTAATCTAATGTAGATGTTTTTCCTTGTCTAATCAAGTGTCAAGTATCAACCTTTCAATACTAATTGTCTTTTCTTCATCTATCATGGTAATGATGATTACTATTAATACATTAAGCCTTACCTTTCATCATAAAACCCAATTGAATGTTTCCAGAAAAAGGTTTAACAGTTAAGCTCAGCAAAATGAACCTTTTCTTGAATAACAAACTGAAATTATAAAGTCAAGAGAAAAAAGAATCAAAAATGAGAATGAACAAGAAAAATAATGATAAGGTAAAATAAGGTAAGGTTAGCTTTGAATGAAAAAAGAGATCATTTTGGGTAACATTTGACTGGTTACCTGGTATGTTGGACTGTGTTTTAAAACCCGTTTTTGTCTAAAGATTGGTCACTCGTAAATGCACTCATATACTCAATAATCATTGCCATTCTTTATTTAAACATCATTTCAATCAAGTTTACAATTTCAACCATTTCTTTGATTATTTTGAACAAAAAAAATATCTGATTCTGTTGACATTTAACCTCTAAAATTGAGTCTGTTATTCAATATCAAACTTGATTCCTTCAATTGAAAACGTGTTTTATTGTTCAAATTGAAACTTATTTCAACTGTTGATTTGTGTTTTTCAATTTGTGATTCCCATTTGATCGACTCATCCATTGACATCATTATTTCATGGGATTACAAATGCTAATTGTTTTGTAGTTACTTATCAATTTGACCAGTGAAAGTATACAACGCTTTAACGATTGATTTTCAATTGTATTACAAATGTATACATTGCATGCAATGGATTACCGTAGTGTTACTAATTGTTGATGACTGTCACTAATTTGCGTTTTGTTTTTCTCTCTCTTTTTTTCATTATGTCCAACAGAAAGTGAACCCTCAAAGGCTAGCCTCAAGAGTCAATCGGTCGCATTTGATGGATCACAATTTAGTGCTTCCTTATTTAAAAGTGAATCACGCGATGGAGTAATATTTGGATTGGTAAAAGCAAATAATCCTAATTACAATCAATATTCAAATTTCACTGGAAATAATGATAGTCAGCAACATTATTCTCGACAACAACAAAAACAATTACCGGTCAAATTTAATGAATCAAATGTTGGATTGATAAACGGACAATCAAAGCAAATCCTGAAGCAACCAGTAAAAAGTATCAACAGACAGCAAAAGCCATCACCATCATCATCATCATCATCATCAAGACAACGATCAACTTTATATTATTCAGCCAATTCTTTAGCTGCTCCTTTCCCATCACCACCTCCACCACCACCGCCACCTCTTTCATCACTACCTCCAATACCCTCACACCGTACTTGTAATCCTCGAGCCTCAATACTTAAACGATCAAATACATGTTTACCACCTCGTCGGTACACAGTTAGTACATCTGTTAATGATCCGTATGACCGATGGGCTCGACCATCACACCGGGAATCAATCTATTGCACAGCAATTTACACACCGCCAGAAGCACCATATTCACTACCAACCAACTCAACATTAAAGCCAATAAAGAACGGACCAAATCAGCAAAAGATACGTGATCCAAGTCAATCTAAAAGTTCATCTTCTACTCTCATCAGCCATGGCCGTGATTTAAATCGCAAATCAAGTTGCTCCTATTGTTTACCATTAAAGTTAACGTCTGTTTCAGTCTCACCCACTTCAACTGCAACTCCACCGTTCACACCACCAATAACCAATGTAACTGTCCAATATCATCGGCCCAATGGCAGTTTAAGCAGTGGTGACAATCAAAGTAGTAGTTGTAGTTACACCAGTTCTAGTGACCAAGTCAAATCCAAAAGTAAATTAATTAATCCATCAACATCATCCTCATCACCCTCTACTCCATCATCAAAATCAACTTCATCCTCTCAAACGACACAAACTTGTTCATCTCTAAGTGAAAATAATTCCGTTAATAGTGAAACCTCACAATCAAACGGTAACTTTCAACCAACATTGAAATCAACTCTGTGTGACCAACCCATCTCATCTAATGATACTGAATATTCAGCTTTATCAAACGAACATTCAGACAAAATTCCTCAGGAAAATCAACCATCTCATATGAGTCCAACCATAATTAAAGAAGTAATGAAAAACATGGCCAAAGGTAAAACGGCCAAAATAACTGATGACCATGAGCTTAAAGAAAACGAAAAGGTAAATAAAAGGCAAATTTGTCTCTCGTTTTCAATCGATGATAAATCAAAGTCTAAGTGCCTTTTGAATGATTAGCCATTAATTGCGCCTCTTGAAACGAAGTCGATTCATTTCAAGAAGATTAATCCATTTTTCCTTAATTTTTGAAGCATTTTCTTTCTGGCTTCTCATCTCATTGTTAAACACACAGTTTCATTTGTTATTAACTTGATTACTGTTATTATCATTATTATTACGCACTGGTTAGTTGATTATTTGTTTCCCAGTAAGATGACCTCTTCCGTCCTGTTAACTGTGAGATATTGCTGTGTCCGTCAACAATTAAAATTAATGAATAGTCATAGTAAAAAGTGGTTAGAATAATTTAAACGATGATCATTTTGATGAGAGTTACAGTTACCGACTTGATGCAAGTTTATCATTTTCAATTTTTTATATTTTGTCAACAATACGATTCAAGTTTTACTACCGTTTTATGATAAAACCTGAGTCTTCATGGGAGACTGAAAAAAATAAATAAAAGAGAAATGATCATTTAGATGATGATGGTGGCGAAAAAGAAACGGAAAAATGCCCTTTTATTCAGGTAAACATGGCCATGTTGATCACGCAAGTTGAATCACATCAACAAAAGAAAAAGATGAACGGGAAAAATTTCTCAGGTTAAATTTCACTTTTCCAGGCCACCATGTCAGACTTTATTGTTTACAATCATGACGATCATCACTCTACATATTTGCCCTTTATTTAAACAATCACTGACCAAAATGACCATCTGATAAGCAAGCAGAAAGAAAATGAATTGATAACAATTCTGGTTAAACACACCAACTGTTAACTTGCGATTACTAATAATAGTTGATTTTCAAACAGCTTCAATCAATAGTCCAATTGAAAGTTTGAATAATGTTATTCAAATCATTTTATGATCTTCTTGATTAACTGTTGAAGTTTACAATCTTTTACGGCAACCTTTTAAGGTCACTTTGATTACTCTGATTATTGCTCTGAACAAACAATTGTTTTTGAAACAATAATCTCAACTGTTGGTGAAAATTTTAGTCCATTTTTTGCTGTTATCATTTATTTTTCCCACAGAATCAAAATATTTTAAATTATGAGACAAATATTTCAAATTGTTGCGTTTCAATACAATCCATTTATAAATTGAAACAATTGAAACATTAACAATTGGAAGGAACCTTTTTTTAAGCTCTTTCTTACATAATTGTTTGTCTCTATCACTTTGTTGTGTCCATCATTTAACCACTTCCCAGTGAAACATCATTATGGATAGGTAATTGTATGTTATTATCATTTGACCTTAGCTATTATTGAAAACCTTTGACCCAGTTTGGGCAATTTCCAGTGAAAATTTTGACGCTTTCCACAGTTAACCTTAAATTGAAACCAATGTTGTGTTGATTTTTGTCTACTTTAATCAACCATCGACATTGTTGTTATTTTTAAATTTTAATCAACTATCCATTTCGAAAGCCACCAACATAGTTGCTTCATAATTATCATAATCATTGTTTCCATTCGTTACTATTAATATTTAACTATCATTATTTTGTTTGCTTGATCCCCGTTTTGCTCACAATTTACTGTCATCAACTTGATTGATATAGTTGGTCAAACTCGCCTGGTCATCATTTAGTTTCTCAATGTTTTTAAGGCCAACTCAAGTAGTGACCCAATTTTGGTGTTTGTACAAAACTCAACCTTTGCTCACATTAAATGTAGAGGATTGCTATTAATGATAAGGTGAGTTTTTACCTCAAGGCGAAGCACACCTTATCCAGAAAAAGCATAAAATATCAGTGGTTCATTGGACAACATATAAAATCATTCAATTGAAAAGCGCAGTCAGTGAAAATCTAGTCAATTTACAGAGTCTATTATTGAATTTAACATTGATTGAACAGTCATTTCAATCAAATTCACTTTTTTTTGTTCAGCTTTTACAATGTTTTCTGATTGAATCCAAACGCCTACAACAATTGATTACTCAAAGTTATTTCTTGAAAATTGTTGAAGAGGTTTCATCTTTATAAAGATAACTATCAGAGTTAACCTTTAGGAACAAATTACATGATGTTTTACAGGTTTACCTTATTCTCTCTTACAATATTCATTTCAAGAAAGGGAATTGACCTTGTTCATTCGGATAGTGACTCCTTATTTTGTAATCAACTTTCTTGATTAACTTGCAATATTAGTTATGAATAACAATTTACTCATTGTCAAAGGGATTAAATATAATACTTGAAATAACAATACAGTATGTGAGAAAGTGCAACATTTTAAATGAAAAATTGTGTTCAATCTGTTTTAAACCTTAATCATTTAAACACTTGCAACATCAAGGTAAGCACTTATTGTATCACAAACGTTTTCTTGGTTCATCTTTGAGTCACTTTAACTATTCAATTTTATAGTTTATATGCATTTGAGTGTAAAATCCGGCCTTTTCTTCCTTGCTTTCAAGTTCTTCTTGGGTTGATTGTTCCATTGATTGTTGTTGGCTTTTTGTCACTTTCTATGCACTTTGACAGGCGAAAAGAATTAGTTAACTTGAAGTGAAAAGTTGAAGAGATTGGACAATAATTGTCTCGATCATGATGACAATCAGTCAAATTTGACACTGTTCAACAATTAGAAAGTGAATTGAGCAAACGGAAAGATGAACAAATTATCTGCTTGACGCAATTTTATCAGTATCGTTAGTCATTTACTGCTGTTTGATTATTCTATATCTGTTTCAGAAAAGTTATTAGCTAAAAATTGAGCAAATGATGCAAACAAATAAATGATTCAAACACTGATCTAAATTGTGAGAATACAAACTTAATACTGGTCATCAGTCTGAACGCTAAGTGTTGATTGTCAAATATATCTATAATCAATCTACGAATAGTCTGCTGGAATCATTATTGAATTGGCTGGCTATAATGATGATAAACTAATTAGATTGGTTTTTTATAAACCAACCAACTAAATGACATTAAAATTTTAGGCAACTAAACCATTTGCATCATTACAATTAACACTTGTCCAATATTTTTAAATCCATCGTGTAGTTATTTTTGAATCCAACTTTCATTGTGTCCGTAATCACTGGTTGTTCGCGACGCAATCAGGTTCCTTGATTATGCTTGATTTATGTTGTATGCAAATCTTTGAATAATTCTTGGGGTCAATTGAGTAGATTTCTGTAATTGAAGCAAAAGTGTATTTAAACTGTCCGGTTGTAGGTTAAATGAGAGTTGGAAAGGAGAGAAAATTGCTCATTTCACTATTCGACAAAAAAACATCAGATTATGCATAAAATATGAGCGTTAATGTGATGTTGATGATGTTTTGAAAGAGAAACGAAGATTGAAAAGTTCTTTTTTTCTTTTCTCATCATTTCTTCCTTCAAATAATGAATCAAAATAGCAATTGATGGTAAAATAGGAAAGAGAGCTTGCAAAATTAAACTTCTCATCTCTTCTCAATGAGTTGATTTGATAGTGATTAATTATTTTTCAAACCATCAAATCTACATCTTGATATTAAAGGATACTAATCCAAATTTTAACAAATAATGAGAGCCTAAAGGTTAACAGTTAGACTAGCCTTTTAATCAATGGGATAATCTTGACTACTTATTAGGTCTTGTACATTGATCATCACTTGATATTGGCCTTTCCTCAATAAATCGCCCAGGAAGTTTGTTGAAAGACATTAAAATGGATCACATGGAAATGCAGGCTAACTATGAGTAGCTTAATTTAACTCTAATTGTTGAACAGATTCAATCAGAAACAATGAAATACTACAGATTAGGATGAGTGTAGGAGTGGTGGTAAGAAAAAAATGAGTTGAACCTAATTTGAATCATCTTTATCCAGTTTCCAAGACAAACCATCAAAAAACAGATTCTTCTTGATCCTTATTTCTTCCTTTTTTTCCTTCCATGACATTTGATGAATATGGTTTAATCAGTTCTCCAACTTGATTACCTATCTAGCTTGATTATTCACATGTGACCCAACCTTTCTTTAAAATATCCTCAATTCTCCATCATCTTCTACTCCGTCCATCCTTTTCTTGGTCATTACCATCAACCAATATTTTCAGTAACAATAAGAGTAATGGACGACTGAAAAGAAAAAATCATAAGAATGAATTTAGAACCATGAAATACATGAAAATGGGGGAATATACGAGAGAAGGAGAAAAATGATTGAATTAAGAATGAGAATTATTCAAGTTTTTTTTTCTTCTTCTTTCATTTATACATTCAACATGGACTTACTAATGAAGTAATTAAGGTTCCACTTTTATCACCATTAAATCTTGATTCGGCCCAAGTACAGTTATTTTAAGTGTTGTACACATTTAAATGAACCATCTTGAATAAACCAACAATATAACAATGTAAGGTAACAATCACTTTGAGCACTAAAAAAAGAGAAGAAGAAAGTTGATTGTATAGTTGGTGGTGATGATGATCAAGTTGAGTAGATGATTCTTAACATCAGTAACATGTTTCCATTTTACTTAAATCATTCACAATTCATTTTTGATAGGCACAGTTAACACTTAACAAAAATCATGATACATTTCAAACGTAAACCTTTATTTTCATGTTTCTCATAAGTTCTCACATTTTCAACTAAACCCATTCGTCACATTTCAAACAAAGAAATGGTTATTTTCCTTCTCCATTGTTCTGCCGCCAATTTTGATCATCTTTGCCATTTTCACATTTTCTTTTCTCAACAAAATATATTATGATTAATTTGTTAACCTAAAAGATAAGCAACTTTGAACTGTTGAATAATTGTCTGTATCAATGCATCTTATTGGTCAAACCAACAAATGATTAAACCGTCAATCCGTTCAAAGCTGATTAATGGTTCATCATCATTTTCATCATCAACCTCATCGACGCCATTAGCTTCACCTTTTCCAATTCAAACTCTACTTTTATCAACATGTAACAATCATACCAATTCATCATTCTCTCCAGGATTTACCAAAGTTTTAATTAAGGTGAATGCTTCATTATATTTGACTGTTATTTTTAAATCCAAATTAATTAACCAGCTTGGATTAACTTGTTTCAAAAAAATGTTCAGTTTTATATTTGATCAACGACTGGAATTTGTTATTGATTAGCAACTTGGTTAACTTGTAACCTTTTGCTATCTCTTTTTCAACTCTAACTTTCTCACCGCAATCTGATTAATTTCAATGAGTAGACGATTTTTTTGCTCTTCATGAGCTATCATTCAACTATGAATGCCAATTAAGAGTTGGCCATTTGTTTAACAGTTAATTTTAATTCACTGTTGTTGGATAAAGAAATTAATTATGAATAATGACATGGTTATCCATATTTTGGATCAATTTTCTTCTTCTCCTTTATTTAGCCCTTTTCCATTTTGGTTGAAATTTAAATTCAATCGTGCTTCTTTGATTTTATCATCGTTTTTAATCATGCTAATCAAAATCATTTCATCTTAACTTGACATTAATTGTTGTAATTAATTTTTTTTCCTCTTTGATTTTACAGATAAGCACAATAAGCCAAACAAATGTTGAACAGATTAAATCATGTATTTCACCAAACAACCTAAATGCCAAAGGATTTTCAGCTAATGAGGGACAGACAAAGGAAAACTCTGACAGTAATGATGAAAATGATAAAAACCAAGTGAACCAGCCACCCTCACCAGACAGCAGACCATCCAAGCCTCCACGGAAACCTTGTTTTAGTGATTCGAACGGATTTGAACAGCAAAATGACAATTTAGTCGAGGAAATATATTTAGCTGCCGAATCCGAACCAGTGATTAAAGAAGTTCAACAATTGGAAAATAAAACAGAGACCAACAATTTAAGGTACCAAAAAATTCAAAATTGAACCCATTATAAAATGCTGTTGAGAAAAAATCAAATTTTCAGTGAAGCTTCACATTATCTCAACGTTACCTGTTGTCATGATTTATATCCTGAACTTTCGAGTCATTTTTTTATCGTTTCATTTTGCTGTTTCAATGTTTTTCAAGTCAGCAGGTTAATTGTTGAAGCTTTATTGTTTTTCTTGAAAATTAATATTGAGTAGATATTTTCAAAAGCTGCTTATTTTGTTTTATTCATTCACTAAACTATCTGGTCATGAGTGGTATCATGAAAGAGCCAACTTTCATGTAGCTAAATTAATTTGTCTTTACACTTTCACTAAGATTTTAATCAAGACTCCTTTCTACTGAGTTTCAGTATATTTTGAATTAAATATGCATTTTAATTTCTTCCTTACGGCTTGAATAATATTCACTTTTATTATCCATTCATTAATAGGAAATTGCATCTTATAATGAACTTTCAATCAACTTTGATCATAATCAAAACACTTTATTTTATCTTGTTAGCTCAATAATTGAAATACAGTGCCAATGAGTCCTTTCCTCAGCTTCCTATTAATCAATGAAGTAAATTATCTTTTTCAACTGTCCATTTCGCTAAAACTGTTACACTAATCTAATCATCAATTTGTCCACAAGCAATATTTCCCTTCAATTAACGCCTTTTTCCCAATCAAAATGTCCAATTATTAATCAAACTTTCAGCTTAACCTTACCTTTATTGCTCCAACTCCTTAACGCGAGTTATTTGTTCAATCTTTCATCTAAATTCATATTCGCGAGACTCTTCTTTCAATATCAAATCCAAAATTATCCCCAATAGGATTAATAAGGATTGAAACAAATCTCTTCAATTGGCTTTGAAGGCATTGGAAGAGTAATCTTTAGTTATTGGTCTTACCTTTTTTCGAACAATCAACTGAGATGTTTTACCTTCCTTTTGATTGACAGTTTCTATTAATGTCTCCTCTCTTTTGTTGATTATTTACCTTTACTTCTTGCATCTTCTGATATGTTGATTCCTTACTCTGGCCTCTTCACGCTCAACTCCTACTCATTACAACAATCAATTGAGACTTATCTTGTTCACAATGCTGATGGTTAACACACCTAATTTTACCAGTTAATAATAACATCAGGTTAAATAGTAATACATACTCTATTCAATTTTCATCTTTACTATCCTCTATTAATTGTGCCTTCATCTTTTGCTATAATTTTTCTTGTTTTCAATTGCTCAAATATTTATTTACCTCAATTTAATTAATAATTAAAGCAATATTGGATAATTATTTCTTCAAAAAATACCTTCAATTTGATTAAAACAGTAAATTGAAAATGATCAAAACTTGAAGTTATCATGATAAACATGATTGTAAATGTGACTTGAGCATTAAGAATGTTAATCTAATGAAATGAAACAAGATGCTCATTTCTGTATTTTGTATTACCTATTTTTATCTCATTAATTTAATCAATTATGCTTTTATAATGATATTCTTCTAATTAATTTTTTTCTCTTTTTTTTGTATTTTTTTCAGTAGAAATGACCTTTCATTGGCATCTAAACATTTTGTTGTTGTTGCCATCGATTTTGGGACAACTTATTCGGGATATGCGTTTAGTTTCACTCGAAGTCCAGAAGCTATTCATATGATGAGGAAATGGGATGATAGCTGTGATCCTGATGTAAATAATCATAAAACACCAACCATATTACTACTCAATCCTGGTGGGGAATTTCATGCATTTGGAGCAGCAGCTCGAGAAGCTTATCATGGTTTATCATCTGAAGAAGCTAAAGAATGGCTTTATTTTGAAAAATTTAAGATGACTTTACACACAACCGTTCATTTAACCAAGCAAACCCAATTAACTGCTGCCAATGGGAAAAAAGTTGCTGCCTTAAACGTTTTTGCTCATAGTTTGAGATATTTTAAAAATCATGCTCTTACGGAATTAAGTGAACAATGTGCAACCAAAATTGAAGATGAAGATGTACGCTGGGTTGTAACGGTTCCAGCTTTGTGGCGTCAAACGGCGAAACAATTTATGAGAATGGCTGCCTACCAGGCTGGCCTAGCCTCACCCGATAATCCAAGTCAATTGTTAATATCACCTGAACCTGAGGCTGCAGCCATTTACTGCCGTAAATTGAAGATTAATCAACTTATTCCGGAAGGACCAAATAAATCTGGTCGACTCAGTACAAATGGAAATCTTTTTGACCATGAAAAAGATAATAACTCTGAAAATGATCAAGCAATATCAATCAAGAAAGGTATTGAAAGAAACGAGTTTTCCTTGGTTCAATTTTGGTCTCCTTGTTAGCCCTTTTTTTGCCTAGTGAAAACTTTTTTTTAGATTTTTTTATTTGCTGAGTTTCTCTTTTTGTTTTCTTATTGATAAAACCAATTGATTGATGTTGATGGTTTGCAGTTGATTGAGATGATCAATTTTTCTGTTCTTTGAATTGGAAAATTTTTAAAGAAAAAGCTCAACTTTTCAATCAACTATTGATGTTGCTATCATCAGTACTTTTATATTTACGATCATCAGAACTTATACTCATTAGCAGATTCTTTTTCCCTTCATTGAGATAGAAATTGAGATAAAATCTTTCAAAGTTTAATTACGATGATACAATTTAATTTTGGCTGGTTACATGTTAAAGATAGAATAATAATGTCTTTTGTTGATTATGGTCTTCTGGTTATCGATACATTATTATTGTGTGATGAAGTTTTTGGGCAAAAGTTCAATGATCCATAATTGTATTTTTTGATAATAATTGTTTAGATGAAAGATAAATAGAAAGATTGACAGATTGTTTAAAGTGAAATTATCATTTTACAATTTGACAAGCTTTTCTCATGCTAACAACACAGAAGAGTTCACATTTGACTAGAAGTTAACCAACCGTTGATCTAGTTAAATTGCTTAATGGATTGTAGCGCTTAACACCCCAATTGTTTAATTATAGTTGTTTATCTCAATTTTTCAGTAGCTGTTGAGGTAGAAAGTGAATAGGTATTGACTTGCATCAATTTTTTCATCCACTTTATCCATAATGTTGATTAAGATCATGAGATTAAATCACAATTCACAACCAGTTTTTACTAAAATTTTTATTCTTTAATTTATACAGGCACCCGTTATATGGTTGTTGATTGTGGCGGAGGAACTGTTGATATAACTGTCCATGAAATTCATGATGATTTACGTTCATTAAAGGAGCTTCACCGTGCAACCGGTTGCCCTTTTGGCTCAACTGGTGTTGACCGTGAATTTGAAAACCTATTGGAGGATATATTTGGTGCTAAATTTTTAGACGATTTTCGCATTAAATTACCTTCTGGTTATGTCACTTTAATGACTACCTTCGAAGGACGCAAAAGAGCTGCAAATACAATTTCAACAACTCCGTATAATATTTCTTTACCCTTTTCATTTATTCAATCAGTTCGTAAATGGAAAGGGTCAGGAGTTGACTCTATTGTTAAAAAATATGGTTCCACTGATATCTCTTTTGATCCAAGGCTTGGCATACTTCGTCTTTCTGCCACGATGATGCGTAAGCTTTTCGAGCCAACCTGTGAGAAAATTGTTTCCCAAATAAATTCAATTTTGGAAAGTAAAAACTGTTGCTCCGGTGTCTGTGATGGAACCAATTTGGGTTACCTTTTTTTGGTCGGTGGTTTTGCTGAAAGTCAACTTTTACAAAGCTACATTCGATCAGCATTTTCTTCTCGTCTTCGTGTAATAATACCACAAGGTGTTAGCTCCTCCATACTTCGTGGAGCAGTACTTTTTGGTCTTGATCCATCCATTATTTCGGTTCGTCGATCCAAAATGACCTATGGTATTGGTATTCTTAATCGTTTTATCCACGGATATCATCCACTATCTAAACTTGTTGTTCGAGATGGAGTTGAATGGTGTTCAGATATATTTGATAAATTTGTTCTTACCGATCAATCAATTTCGTCTGGTGATATTGTTACTCGAAGCTATACTCCTGCCAAAAATGGTCAAAAATTTACCGTTCTCAATATTTATTGTTCTGAGCGTGATGACGTTAGATTTATCACCGATGAAGGTGTCTATCGTTGTGGTACTTTAGTATTGGATTTAGATGATTTAAATGGCTACCCTGACAGTGATGGTATAAATTCAAAAGTGGATAAAATTAATGGAAAGAAAAATATTAAAAAAATTAACTCCAGCCAACCATTAACTGAAGATCAAAAGCAAAGAATCAATGGAAAGTTAAAATCAGGTTCATCAAATGATGATGGTAACACTGCTGACGATGACAACAGTGACAATGATAATAATCATGAATCTCGTAAAAAGAAGAAGGAATCCGATTCACCCTCAACAACACCACCACCAGTTCCTCCACCATTGCCACCGCCATCATTAGACTCTAGTATAAAAAATCGTGGACGTGAGATCCAAACCAACATGATTTTTGGTGATACAGAGATCAAAGTGACAGCCATTGATGTACAATCAGGACGAAAAGTTAGAGCAGAAATAGATTTTCTCAGTCAATGATTAATTTGCAGTGCATCTTCGTTGCCGTTATTATCTGCATCAAAATGTCATCTTAATCTGATATTCAAATCGTTTGTTTTCCAGCAACTTTGTTCCAAGACGTGCCAAAACGCGAATCAATGATATAATATTCAAAAAACGTTTTTCATCCTATTTTATCACCATCTTATCTTTGATTTAAAATTTTGTAAAAAGCATTAAATTTTAAAAAATATATAAATAAATATTGTTAAAACTGAATCCTAATGCGGTTAAACAATTTGAAATGTTGCAAAATTCAAGTGATTATTATCGTAATAAACTCGGTAGTCAAGATAATTGATTCCTAACTTAAGCTTCGAGCTTGAATTGCACCGTTTCTTTTCGATATCTCGCCTTGGTAAACAATGGAGAAATGAACTTGAAATCGCTGAATAGTACCAAGTTGCACTAATTAATATTCGATCTTGTATTTTTTGTTTTAGTTTTGTTTCTTTTATTATTAATCATTTTTTTTTTGTTTTCAAACCTCCATCAATCCAATTGAAAGCTAATATGATAGATACAAGTTGGTAAGGCTAGTTGGTTTAATAAACAACCAACTACACCTATCTTTTGTCTTTGTAAATATTTATTGTTACATAAAGTGTCTTCCGTGATGTTATTATTTTTTTTGTCTTCATTTTTTTCAAAATCTGTTTTGAGTTTTTATTGATTTGTTTGATAAATTTTCTTGATCAATCATCACCATCTCTCCCAATTAGGTTGATTAACCCTTGTAAAAGTGTTTGTTGTTAAATTTGGAATTAAATATATATTCAAGTGTAAATGTAAGTGTAAATGTGCATTGTCTTTTAAATCCAACATTATCATCCTTTTCTCTCTCTTTTCCCTCTCAATTAAATGAATCAACCTTTTGTTCCTTTCTTCTTTTATTATTAACTTCACCTTATGTTTCTTTTCGCAATTCTCAATTTAATTGTTGTCTTTGTAGTAGTTATTGATTGTAGCAGTTGTTGATGGCTGACATTCGAATTGACAATGTAAATTTAATAATGGATCTTAAGATATTGGTGGACGTGTTCTTCTTTCGTCGGTAGGTTTTTCTGCCTTTTATGGATCTTGCTTCTTCCTCAGGTGGCTTGGTTTGCTTTAATTTGTTTATTTGGTTTTTTTATTTTAAAGGATTTTGATTGGGATTGATTGATTCTAATAATGAGATGATTCTTCCCTCTCAGTTATAAAGACTTGTTTGATTCCACCAGGAACTGTGCTAGTAGTTACCCATGATCTGTGCTTAGCTCTAATCATTGAAAGATTGCTTTCAGCGCTATCAGCTCGATCTTCAGCTGCTTCCAATTCTCTTTGGAATCGTCGAACTCGGGATAGATTTTGGGCACTCATTCCCTCCTTTGATGTTCAAATGTGATTGGTGCATCAGCGAAAGTGGGCCCCATTAATCAACCAATGATCCAGTCCAATGTATGGTTGTTTGTAATGAATAAGAGTGTTGAAACAAAAAGATGGTTATTAGCAAGGATTAAATTATCTCAGCAATTTATTCTCGAAATTTTCAACTTACCGTTTCAGCGAGTTGCCTCTTGTAAACCTTAACCTTCTCATTCAATTTGTCACAAGTTTCTTGGAGAAGAGTGACATTCTTGTGGTCCTCTTCTGATTGTACGAGCAACTCCTTGACTCGGTGTTCCTTCTTTCTCATAATCTTCTGGGTCTCAGCGTGTCTTCTCTTCTCTTCCTCCAATTCAATCTCAACATCTCTAATTCGACTCTCCAATTTGGCAATAACTCGTTTGCCTCCAGCCAGAGCATTAGCTTCAACCTCTTCAAGACGAACTTGTAAGCTCTTAACCTCAACTTCAAGGGACTTCTTGATTGACTCAATCTTAACATATCGTTCTTGCTCTTCAATCAAAATATCTTTGGTGGATTTCAATTCAATGGTTAATCGTTGTACTCTCTCGTCAGATAGCTAAATGGAAGACAGTATTGATTAGTTGATGATTCATCATGATAAAAGGAACATGGAAATGTCACTATTGCAATACTCACTCTCAACTCCTTGTGGACTTCATCGTAGTCGGCTTGAAGAGCAGAGTACTCTGTTTCCAATTTGCTCTTGGCTGATGATAAGTTGATGTTGATTGTGGTCAATTCGTTTATCCTTGTTTGGGACTCCTCGTATTGTTGCTCAGCGGTACGCTTAGCTCGGATTGTTTGCTCAAGGGTGACTCGGAGTTCATCCAATTCAGCTTGGAGAGCTTGGTTGCGTCGTTGTTGGGCTCCCAATTGGTCAACGGCTTGTTGCAATTGTCGGTGAACCTCATCATAATGAGCTTGGAGTTCCTGTTTTAAAACAAGAATTGCAGAAAAATTAGTTTAACCCTCGCAAAATATTTAAATTTAAGAGCTAATGTTACAACTTACGCTGATTTGAAGGGATTGTCTCTTGATTGTCTTTTGGAGTTCTAAGTTCTGTTTGTTGGCAACATCCAGACTCATTTCGAGTTCGGTTATTTGAGCTTGCATCTTCTTCTTGATTCGAGCAACTTCAGTCTTCAATTTGGCTTCAGCTTCAGCTAATCGCATGTTCAACTGTTCAATCTCGATTTGCATTTGTTTTCTGTGAAAGGGTAAGCACAACAGAATATAAATTATCTAAATCTTAACCATCATTCAATATTTCATTCTTACCTGAGAGATTCTAATTCTTCTTCCTTGGCAGCAAGTCGTCGTTCATAGTCATGTCGAACTTGAGCTAACTCAGCGGCTAATCGTTGAGCTTTAGCTTCCTCTTGTTTCCTCATAGCTTCAGATTCCTTATAAGCAGCACTAAGCTCTTCACGCTCATTTTCCAGGCGCTTAATCTCGATCTCCATTTCATGGATTCGTCGATGAGCATCGTTAAGAGCAGACTTAGCATCAGAAAGGTCATCTACATAAATGAAAGCCAAAAATAAAATTAGCAACCAAATCTCAATAACTAATGATCGCTTAGACAATCTCGTTAGCTCAAAACCCCACCTTGCAATTTCTTGTTCTCCCGAACCAAAGCATCCTTTTGATCCTTCAATTTCTCATATTCATGTGTCAACTTCTGCAATTCAGCCATCTTGTTTCTCAAATCACGTTGGGTACTCTCTAATAGTCCATTGAGCTCATCAACCTTGGTCTTCAAGTCCAAGTTTGATCGTTCAAGAGCAGCACATCTCTTCTCTAAGTTTTGAGCATGAGTTGTTGCCTGTAAGGAAAATTCATGATTGTATTATTTTCATCTGTAACTTTATTTAATCGCTCGATATTTACCTTCTCCAAGTCCATGATGAGTACTTCAACTTCGCTTTGAAGTCGAGACTTTTGCTTTTCAAGAGAGCTACACTTATTGAGTAATGCCTCGAGCTGTTCTTCATATTCAGAAATCTTTTGTTGCATCTTTCGTCTGTTTTCAAGAATAAAATGGTTAGAAATGAAATATTTTTTGGACAGAAAAAATAGCTGAAATCAAATTTTACTCACCGAAGTTCTTCAACTTCATCGTTGTGAGCTTGAAGCTCAGCCTCGTATTTAGACTTCCATGAAGCACAGTCTCCATTAGCCTTAGCTAATTGCCTTTCAATATCCAAACGGGCTTCTGATTCCTCTTCAAGTTGGACTTTAAGAGATTCCAATTCGATTTCAATGGTGTGACAATGATTTTCAAGGGAAGATCGTTTCTAAAAAAGTAAGTAAAAACAATCGATGTTAGACAGTAATATTAATTGTACATTTTTTCTCGCAGAAATTACCCTTTCTTCATCCTCTAATCGTCGTTTGGTGTCTTCCAATTGAGTTGCCAATTGGGTCTTGAAATGGTTGGCATTCTCTAGATGAACCTTATACTCGTGAACTTCCTTGATCAACTCAGCATTCTCTTGGGATAATCGACTCTTTGTTGAGGTAACTTCATTTACTGTTCGGGTTAACTCTTCAATTCTGATGCTGGATTCGTGAACAGTGTGTTCCAACTTTTCAACAGTCTTTTGGATAACCAATTTATCCTTGTTGGCAGTCTCAATTTGGTTCAAAAGCTCATAAACTTCAGCTTGGAACTTTTGCTTTTCCTTGTCAGACCTAACAAAATGGTTAAACAATTTATATCATTTATTCAGTCTCTTAAAAGTGAGCTTTTTCTGTCTTTTTGCCTATTTTCTTGTCTATCTATTATAAACTTAATAGATTGCCAATTAAATATTTTTACTAACTTGTTCTTGGCCTTTTGCAATTGATCAACTTGATCTTGCATCTCAGCAATGGCAGCTTGGTGTTTTGATCGCAAATGATGAGAATTCTCTTCGCTCTCCAAATGAACATCTTCCAACAATTTCCTAAGCTTAGCAAGCTCAGAATCTCGCTTCTTATTCATCTCAGCCTGATATAAATGTCAAGTTACAAAAGTATGCATCAATCAATTAAACCCGTTACAATCTTTCCGATTTTATTGCTAGACGACTTACGTAAGTTTCACTTGAACCTTCTGTCTCCTCGAGTCGCTCAGAAAGGCTCATCAATTGGACAGTCAAGTCGGATTTTTCACGTTCGATCTAAAAATGGAAACACAAACCATTGGTCAAATAATCAATTCATAACCAATCAGCTTTACAACATGAGGTAAACTATTGAAGCAAAAACTTCATCTTCATGCAATAATCTTTTCTTTTTTTCTTTTCCATTCAAATTCAGAATAAACAGAAGTCAAAGAAACAAATGTCAAAGGATTTGTCAGAAATTGTAATTGTCAACTTGATGAGATTGTTTTTTTTAAACAACCCCAGAAAAAGGATAACTTCAAGGATCAATTGTTTAGTCCCAATTTCATTTCCATTTAGGAAACAGTTATCAAGGTAATTATAATATGAAAATATATTTAAAAATGAAATGAAAATTAAATTTTGATAAATTTTTATTTTTATCATCGTCAGAGTAAAAGTAAAGTTTCTAGGTAGGTTAGTGAACTAAGCAGTCCAAATTTACCGATCTACTTGGCAGTCAATTTGAAACCGTTAAAAAGTGTATTCTTAGAGCATTTAGTATTGGTAAATTTTGGCACCTTCTATTAAGCTTTTTGTCTCTGTTTCTTTTAGGGTGTAAAACAGAATGAGAACGAGAAAGTAGAGACTGATGAAGAAAGAGACAAGAAGAAAAAGAAAGAAGAGAAAGATTGAAGGTGGAGAAGGAATCCTGGAAATAATTTTTTTTCCAAAGACACAGTCTCCATGTCTTTTGACTTGCTTGAATCTTCCGTGAAAAAACTCGAAGCTGTTATATGTACTTATATGTATTTGATTTCGAACAGAATCTGGATGTTTGCCAGTCGTGATTAATTGGAAAAAAACAGAAGAAGTAAGAAGTAAAATTCATCTATACACTTTTAGAATGTCAATATATCTTGAATCGTTGAAATATTTTTGTGCCCCTTTTCCTAATAACCTAAGAGTAAAATAAAGTCCAAAGATGAATGAAGAAGAAACACTTTTCACTTTTCTCTCCTGGCAATTTTTCTGTCCATTTTTATCTCATCATGGCTTTCCTCTCAATAACAACTGTCTCTCTTTTTATCGTTTTTTCTCATCTTTTCTCAATTTTTTTTTCTTTCTCCTCACCTCTCATTATTCATGTTGTTCATTTGAAGGATCAACTTTTCAGCTTGTAAAAGCAAAATCAATCACATGGTAACAAATTTAGCAACTCTGGAATAAACTTGCAGGTTAACCTTGGATAAAGTTTTACATGCTGATGAATGATTTACTACGAATCAATGGGCACTGGAAATGGCTAATCATAAAGGGAGCAAAAGAGTTACATCATTTTCCACCATTTATACAAGATACAGGCAAAGCTTGACGAAAATATCTTCCATGAATAGCTTAGAAACAACAAGCAACAAGTGGTAATGAAAGTACATGGAAAATCGTCAATATAATCCGATATCATTGATGCAAACGATCTCTAAGCCGATAGATTGCTGTGTCTATAAGTGGATGGACTGATTTCTCATCATTATACCATAAACTCGCCAGAATCTGGAAACCAAGCAAATCAAATATTCTTGGTGTCAAAGCTAAAGATTATCGATAACATGAATATTATTGCTGTGATGGTGGCAATAGTTATGGCAAAGAATGGATATCAAGAATGGTTACGATTAGCATTTCAAACAATTGCTCTAATCTTGATGGTATTTTCTTGGTGATTATTTTTTCATATTTTTTATACTTTGAATTCTATCATTGAATTTCTATTCTAATTTATCTATTTTACTCTTTGTCTTTCATTTTAGCAGCGTAAAGAATTGAAAAGGATCAACCCAAGATTAGAATTAAAGATTGAATAGTTTGGAAGAGATGAAAGAGGAGAAACTGATTCGGGCGAGGATGATTATGCTGATGATACTGATTATGAGTGTAAAGAATAGTGGAAAACTCGCTCATTGAAACAGCTACACTTTCCTCGCTATTTTTGGTCTTGCTCCTCAGTTTATCTCTAAAATTCTGTTCCTCTCTCTCTTTCTTTCTATCTCTTTCTGAGCTGCATTTTTTACTATCATCTCTGAAGTTTTTTTTCCTGAAGTTCCTAAGAGGGAGAATAAGATCTACATATAGCAAGAAAAATAAGATCAACGTTAAGAGACAAAACACCGAGAATTCCCCTGTTATTGGAATCACTTTCCTCTGTCTTTTTTCTGTTTCTCTTCGTTAGTCACTTCTTTTAATAATTTATACTCACTGAGTCAAGCAATCATCATCCAACTAGAATGTGAAAAGATACGGTTAACTATAATTTTACACCATAATTTTGACTCAAAAAAGAGACATTTGATGAAGCTTTTTGCATAAAAATATTTCTGGCTCTTGAAAGATAAAAATCTGTCTAATAACCTTTTCAATTTTTCTTCAATTTCTATCCAGACTATTTCATAGCTATAATCTATCATGGCAAAGATCAGGAAAAGGAAGAAGGTTGATAAGCTTTTCAATAAGATAAGGATTCATTCAATCGTAGCTGATCAAAATCTCAAAACTAGTAAATTATTTCACTGAACGTTTGGCTAAACTGGACAATTTCCGCTTAAGTTACATTCACAAATTGAAATTTCAGTTTGTTTGAATGTTTAATTTTTTTAGATTAATTTTCATTCGAATCATTTGTTGATTTGTTACAAAAATCAACATTGATTTGATTTTGAGTAACCTTTCTGCAACAGTTTACAATCTATTTTAAGTTTTCTTTCCCTTTCCTTGGATTACTCAGTTTCCCTTGACTCATCGTAATCAGCATCAGCATCATTATCATCTTCTTCATCACCAGAAATTTGAGCTGAGGAATGAAGAAAATTAGATGAAGGTTACTCAAAAACTTTTTTCACCAAGATTAACATAAATATTCACACAGGTTTGCAAAATATTGACCTGATTGTTGGTTAATCTTGGAAACAAAAGCCTATTCATCCTTCAGTTGACAATTATTTACTTTTTTCACACAAATCCATTAGTAATTGTTTTTTATCCAAATAGTTGTAGATTATTGTCAGTCTTACCCTTTGTCTAAGTTCCCGTTCACTTTCCAAATCTTCTTGGAGAAGTCGAATCTTATCCTGTAATACAAAAAAATCAATGGATGAATCAACCAATGTTTAAATAGAAATAGTTACACCAATATGATAAATTGAACATTGAATACAGATATACCCAGAAATGGGTAAACCCGAGTTGACCTTAAAGTCAAATTGACTGACATCTTCAAAAGCAATAGAACCAGAATAACTGTAAGTAAATCTGACTCTAGATGATTGAGTAAAATCGTTTTCTATCTTTAAATCTGTTTAGGTTTTCATTTGGTGTTAACCAGAGTTTAACATTTAACGGACACTTACCTCAAGCCTGGTGAGGGCTCCAATATCGGTTCCATATTCAAGATCCAAATGTCCACCACCACCGGATGATTTGTACATATATTTAGTCGTTCTAACAGATGAGGAACTCATGGTGATATCTTATTATTGAAGGTAAATATTGTTGTAAATATTTTTAAATTTTTCTATTAAATCGGTTGAACAATTTCTGTAGATAAACTTTAACTCTAAAGTTGTTTTCTTGGTGAAACGGTGAATAGACGACAATTGCAAAGGCAGCGAAACAACAAACAAATACAAGAACAAGGAACAATAAAGAGACTGTAAATGAACAAGGATAAAGAGTCCACGAGTATGTTATATTTGTGATGATGGTTCGCGTTTAATTGTGGTTTTATCACTTAACTTTTGTTTTGCTTTTTGAAAAAAAACTTTCTTCTAAATTCTGTTTTCTTTTTTTTTTCTTCTTTTTCCTTCCCTCTAGAGCCACTCGAGAAAATGGTTAATACACGGTGCATGAATTTCATGATATTAATTTGGTTGGCATGCTCGATAAACCTATTAGTGGAGCAGAATCATCTTTCAGCTAAAGTGGCCCTCCTTAACACTTGTTTTGGAGAAAGTTTCAAAACATTTTCACGTCCTAAGATTAGAATTGAAAGTTCTTTTTTCGCAAAGGAAGGTTAAAGAAAGAGAAAAGGAAAGATGAAAGGGAAGAGACGAACAGATCGAGAGAGAAAAGCTGAAGATAATGATGAAAGGAAGATGAGGAAGGAGAATAGTAGGGAAGCTCGATAAAAAGTGAAGGCACTTTTCTTCGCTATTTTTGGTCTTGCTCTTCAGTAAGTTCACCAATTTAGTTCTCTTTCTCTGTCTCTTACTTTTCTTTCTCTTCTTCTCTCATCAACATTATCATCTTATTCGTCTTCTTCTTCAGGCTCTTTACGATTTAAGCCAAGTCGAAGGAGAAGCGAAGGCAAGAGGCTGAGAATTCCTATGCTATTACTTTCCTCTGGCTTCACCATTTTCATTAAATCAAGTTATCCTTTGGAAGGAAAAAAAATTACAAATTTTTGTCTTCATCTTCACATAACTTGCCATAATTTTTGCGGTTTTTAGCATTTTTCTGGTTTGAGGAGAGAAAAAAATTGGGAAAAAAAGACGAATCCAAATGGCGATTGATATAGATGCTGGTTTTGGTACGATAATCAATTGTGATTAGCAAGACGGCAAAACGAGCGAGACTTATTAATCATTCTTGAATTGAGCCCAAACTATTCACAGTTATTGCTGCTATTTTAAGCTTTTCATTATTACAATCAACCATTGTTCTTGATGGTTTCAATGGTCCATGATATCGAAAGATATATATCGAAGATATTTATTCCAGATTCCGTTCATTCATTGTATTCATTCCTTTACAAGCCATTCTTGTTGTTTGGATAAATTATGAGACAGAAACTGTATTTACTCGTTTAAATAAGAATCAGTTGAAGCTCAGTTCGTCTTTTGCCTCTAAATATCATTAACATTGTTGCTGAATGATAACTAATGGTTTTAAGGCTCAAAATTTTTCCCTTTTCGTTTGATTTTTGCTAAATTGTCGGTTAATTTTTTTGCTGATGCTAGATGTTGGGATAAATAACCTTGAACTGTTAATTTGGACAAATTTTTCAGTGATTTCTGTTACCAACAGGTTGTTATTGTTGCCCTTGGAATTTGATGTACTGGTTGATTTATTTCTTCTTTAGACAATTATTGTGTTTGCTTTGATTTCTTCTTAAAAAGTGTTTTTAATCACAATTATGAAAAATGATGATGATAATAATAATAGTGAAGTTCTTGATGAAACAGATTCCAACTCAACTGTTTACACTGTTAACTTTCTTCCTCATCTCATTCCAAAATACATACTACTTGGCTAATAGACAGTATATTTTGAGGTTCTTTCCCTCCTCCCCTCATCTGCTATATCACCATTTATATCAGATAATAGCAAGAATGGATCGGAAGATAAGTCAGAGAGAACGAAAGAGAAATAGCGAAAGGAAAAGGATGAAGTAGGTTACCAAGAAATTGGAGCTACTAGGAGAAACAATTTGATTACCACAACACAATTTAAATTCTTATGTTTTTCTGATGAGCTTTGTTTTGATGAGCTTATGTCATTCATAATATCTCTCTAGGTAAGATACGGAAGATGCTAAATAGATCAACTAATCGGTGACTGATTAGCAATTTTGGGCAAGCCCTGGATTAACCTTTGAAAATTGTCGATTGTGCATATTCATGTTTTAGTAATGTTGAATTGCTGGTAAACGACGAGATATTAAGATACATTTTTTAACAAAATAAAGTCAGATTATTTAAATACTGTCAAGGTAGGTTAAAAAGGCAACATTAAATCAAAGCATCCATGCAATTTATCCAATGGAAAGATGAGAGCAACATTAATTTTGAGCAGAACAGTTTTATTGATGAAAGATCACTTCTAGCTGGATTGTTATAAAGTTATTGAGATATCTGGAAGGTTCTTCAAAAGGCATTGTTCTAGTCAAAGTCACATTGATTCAGATATGAAGATACTTATTAATTTATTATCGATACTGGATTTTAAAATTGTATAATGTAATTAAATGTTTACAATTGAGTTGTTGCAACGAGCGCTAACTGATAGTAGCTTTCTGTACCACTAGATGCCATTACAGCTGTTGGTTTAGTTTTTGTCTCCACTGAAGGCGCCAAAACATTTTAAGTCTTTATTAAATCACCTTACACTTGAATTGTAACTTTGTTGATTATTATTGTCTTAGTTTTTAAATAATATGGGTTTAATTAAGGATTGTGAATCGTTCTTTGGAACTAAAGATCTTTACGAGGTTCTTGGAGTTGACAAAGATGCCAGTGAAGAGGAAATCAAAAAAGCTTTTCGGCGTCTCAGTTTAAAACATCATCCTGATAGATTTCCTAGTGCCAGCGAGGAGGAAAAGAAACCAATCACAGCTAAATTTCAAGTTCTTGCTAAGGTCAGTTTTGTTTTAACGGACAAGTCTAAAAGAGAAATTTATGATGCCAGTGGTGTTGTTTCCGAGGATGATATGGAAGACAGTGAAGCAAATTGGTATGATTATTGGAGATGTTTGTTTCCAGAGATTTCCAAAACTGACATTGAAAGTTACATCGAAAAATATACCAATTCTGAAGAGGAGAAAAATGATCTGAAAGAATTGTACATTCGATATGAAGGAGACCTTGATCCTATTTCTGAGTCAATGATTGGGTTTGATGAAGAGCGACACAGGGCTATGATTGAAGAGCTAATTGAAGCCGATGAACTCCCAGCTTTTGAAGCTTTTACTAATGAGCCTAAAGCGAAGAGAGCAAAACGATTAAGGAAAGCTGAAAGAGAGGCCAAAGCTGCGGAAAGGGAAGCTAAAAAAAGAGAAAAAGAAAAATCTAAAGGAAAAGATGTTATGGCCGATGATGATTTGGTTAAGGCCATTCAAGCGCGTCACAAACAGAATTTCACATCTTTGGTTGACAGACTGGCTGCTAAATATGGCAATGGCGCCGCTGATGAAGAGGAAGATGAGGATTTCGAAGATGAACAGCAGTCGAGTAATCGAAAGTCCAAACGAATAAAATCTAGAAAAGGTACACCTAAAAAAAGAAAAGTCAAATAAGTGACCGTATCTTCATCTTTGAGTATTATATACTTCCGTTCACCTTTTGATCAGTGACTCAAGCAACATTGATATTTACCGCTGACCCATCAGCAATATTATTGATTGACACTCCATTTCTTTCAACTAAATTTGTGACTAATTTTTTATTGATATTAAGACTTGTTTTGAAAGTAAAATACATTTCCATTGTTTTTAAGTCCGCCATCTTCTTCTTCATACCATTGAATATCAATCAACTTAATCGTTTGAATTCAAAAGAGCGAAAATTACACTTTAAATTTGGTAAGACAAAAGATTAGATGAACCAAATTTTATACCATCTTGCAGAATCTTTCATTATCCTTTATAACAATGGTTAATTATTTTGTTTATTTTATATATTTAATGTTGAGAGTTAACATTTTTTAATGTCAAAAAATATTTTATCTTCGCCCAGTTTAATTTTGCGTAGAAATTTGGTATCTGAGCAAATTCGCAGTCGATGAAACAGATCTCAGCTCAATGAATGATGTCACTTTGGATAGGAATGATGCTGAATCACTATTTTTGCAAGGTGGTGCAAATCAAACATCAACGGTAACACCACCAGAGGAAAATGGAGATATAACCGACGATACAACTCTAATCACCGCTTTTTCAGTCGTCGTCATCATATTGATATTTGTTGTTTTTTTATTCTATTGTAAACTCAGAAATCAAAATGCTAAGGCGTTACATAGGAGAGCAGCACGTCTGAAGGAACGCTCAAGACATCATCGCCCATCATCAGACCGTACTGATGATCATTCAGTTTTACCTAAATCACCATCAGTGGGAAGCATACAATCAACTGGATCCACTTATTATGATCAGTTAATGGGAAGTGGAAACATTCCTAAAGTCCAAAGTATCTCTCAATATGGTGCGCTTTTAGCTCAACACGTACCACCCAAATGATTTAAACAGTCTATTGTCCAGTTAAATTAAATTGTCCATGATTTTTACGTAATTCAAATAAAATGAAAATTTTATTTTAAAGGCTCATCTATTTCTTATTGAAGATATTCATATAATTTCTTTTACATTTTCTTCTTGTAAATTTAATATTAAAATACGTTAATTGTATATGGACAATGTCAGTAGCATCTTCTCGCTTCGAAACCATGTTATCAAATAATTCGAATGATTGTCCCATAACTGTTCGATTTTTGTGAAATTCTTCTCCTTGATTCAAATCAACAAACCAATCTATTTTTTGATTGTTCATTTTTTTGGATTTTCTCATAATTGTTGAGTCAGTAAATGTAGCTATTTAAGGTTAAATTATTCTGTAATCTTTGGTCAAATAAACTGCATAAAGTACCTCTAATCACAATGATATTTGACTCTTCTAATAATAACTGAATCGGAATTTGACTCGTTAATCAAAGTGAAAACATTGATTGATTAAGAAAAATGGAAAACACAATAGGCCGATACTTGTTCAAAAAGGATAGTATTTATTAATCCAGAATATAATAGAAGATCTTTCATCGTCAAATCATTTTGATGCGTTATCTGAATTTAATTGAATTCAAATGAATGAACGAGAAATAATATAAGCTTTGAAAGAAGTTCATATTCGGATTGAAAATACAGTTTCAGTGGCTGGAAAAAGAGCATCTAATGTGATAAAACATTGAATATATATTGATACTAAATTGGTATTGTAATTGTACACTATTTATTTCATATTCAGAAGATTCAATCTATTACAGGAATCATCTGGTTATTGGTTTTAATGACTAATCATCAATGTGAAACTGGAATGTTGATTGGTTCAATAATAATAATTTACAAAGAAAAACAAGGCAACAATCCAATTTCAATATAATTTAACAAACTAGATTAGTCGACAAACTCGATTGGTGTCAATATATTTACATAAATTTCTTAATTCTTTTGGTCTTGACGCAAAAACGAAACAAAACACAACAAATTTGGAAAAGGATTGAAATGAATAAAAAAGGAGATCAATTGGATTGAAATTAACAATGTGGATAAAAATTAACAGAAAAAAACAACAAAATCGGTGAGATAATAAAATAAAATTACTTTGTAGCCCTAGAAAAGTATAGCGTGATAATATATTTGAGTTTTGTCGATTCATCGAGAAAAATTTTTTCAGTCTTAATGACTTAACTTGAATCTTTAAAGTTTGAATGAAGCATTAGTTTAAGATGAAGACTAGTTGAGTGCTGTAATAACTTCAAATGATTAATCAATTGTATGAGTGAGTAAAATTCAGTCTTAGACTAAATAATTTCAAGCAAACTTTAAAGTGTTGACATTTTTAATTAAACATATATTAATTTGTGGTTGCTTTCTCCTTTTGCTTGCTTCCAGAGATTTTTGTCAGTGAGGGAATAAAGGTGGGTCAGGTGAGGTGAGGTTATCCTCCATCAGCGTCATTCATCATGGAAGGCATTGTGATTGTATGAACATTATGCTGATTAAAATGAAAAAAAAGTTAATCAGAGTTAATCAAAAATTTGGAAATATTGAGTTATGCCATTTGAATGCTTGTCATAATCGTCATCATCAGATTTGCCAGAAGAAGAAGAAATGATAAGTGGAAAGACTAGAAAAAGTCAAATAATAAAAATTCGATTGAAATGAAAATGTTGAATGTTTCTTCATCTGGTGCTGAATTAATATTCTTTTGAATTAAAATATTGCCTCAAGTAATAGTAAGTAGTTGTTTTAAAAACAATAGCAATGGTATGCGATCTTTGTTTCTTTGTTTCTCGATGATGGGTTACTTTAGTATTACTTTTTTTTGTATTTTTTAAAGTGATTATAATTTTGATCAGATGTGTTGAATAAATTCTGGATTAAGATAGGAAAATCCAGCAAACTCTGTTTGATCCAAATTCATCATAAACAGCTTGTCTGTTGGAGTGAGATCAGTTTTCTCCGAAGTAAACTGTTTATCAAAATTGGAAACATCTTTACGGTGTTTAATCTTGGGTTTGAAAGGAGGTTGAACCTCACGAGCAGTAATCTTTTCCCAATCAATTCGACGGAAAAATGGATGCATACGAATATCTTCTTCACCAGATGCTCCACATCCTAATCGTTTATTAGGATTTTTGGTTAAGAAACCTTTACAGACATCTTTGGCTTCTTTTGAAAGGCTTTTAGGATAAGAAGCATTGTGATCAGTAATCGCCGCAAACAGTTCTTCTTCATCTTCTCCGTCAAAAGGAGGCTGACCCACCAGCATTTCATATAACAAAACACCATAGGCCCACCAGTCAACCGATTTACCATAAGGTTGGTAAAGAATAATTTCTGGTGCTATATAATCTGGTGTACCACAAAAAGTTTTCGTTGTCCGATCACCATAAATGTTTTCTTTGCACATTCCAAAATCGGCAATCTTAATGTGACCCTCTTGATCGAGAAGCACATTGTCCAGTTTTAAGTCACGATAAATAACACCACGAGAATGGAGATAAAATAAACCAATTGCTATTTCAGCGGCATAAAAAACAGCTACAGGTTCTTTAAATTTACCAGTTTGCTGAATTTGAAACATTAAATCACCTCCATTGACATATTCCATGACAAAATAGAGCCGATCCATTGTTTGGAAGCAGGAATGAAGTTGAACCAAAAAAGGTGGCTTCTCTGAGAGGGCAAGTATTCGTTTTTCCACCATGGCACATTCAACATCATCATCCTGAATGATAATGTCTTTCTTTAATATTTTAACTGCATAAAGTTCATCCGTTCCTTTTCTCTCGGCTAACATAACCTTACCAAAAGAGCCTTTACCTAGCACCATAATAAAATTGAAATCAGATGCACGAATAACATCTTGTTTACCCATATTATGAGGTAACTCGGACGTGAAACGACCATCTAAACCTTCTAATCCAGCTCTGGACAATGACCGGGAACCACTGACACCGCCAGAAGGTGAAGTTACGGAGGAAGATGTACCAAGTGGCGGTGGTGGAGTTGGTGCAAGGGAAGATGAAAATCCTGTTCTCTGTTGCCGCGTTATCTCTAAAATGTCTGCATCCGGCGGAGGAACCGGAACATTATAGTATTCGCCTTCCTCTTGAGTCAACAATTTGAACCAACCTTCAACCGGACGTTTCATTAACTCTGAGATACCAAATGATAGCGAGCCCATAAAATCATTGCGTGAGGTTCGATCCCAATCCCAAACTTCAATCAATAATCTTCGATCTTTATCATCTGGTTTCAAATCAAAAACTAATGTTTCGTGGAATTGAGGATTTAAATTTGCTTTAATGGTTCGAGTTTTACGTTTGACACCTTCACCTCCATCAGGAATGATTTTACATTTGACATAAGGATCAGACAAACCATTAGGATCCATTGGAAGAAGATTTTTACCTTGCCGAATTTCACAGATCAATTTATTGCATTCAATCCATGCCTTTAATTCAAGGCGACCCCGCCGTTCAGTATGATCACAGCCACATAAATTAGGGACACTCTCTTGGCATCTTTTGTGAACATTCATGTTACACGATTTACACTTAAATCCTTGATGAAGTAGTCCATATAATAAAGAACCACAGTGGTCACAGAAGGTGGGAGAAGTGAAGGTGTAAACGATAAATGAATGCTTGGTACGGGTATCATCGCTTCCTTTATAGCCCTTGTCAATGCCAGGGCAGGTAAAGGAGACAAATTCATGGCATCTCTTGTGGACAACAAATGAGCACACTTGACATTGGAAACCTTGTTTACCAAATCCCCAAATAAAATCTTTACAATGAGAGCAAAAGGTTGGTTGTTTGAAGAAACGAGGCATAAATTTGTGTTGCTTAACCTCGAAAATGTTTTTCTTTTTAAGAGCACCTTTCCTTGCACGAATACGGCGGTTAAAGTTATTTTGGAAACCAGTCTCCATGTCTGAGACATTTGCATTATTTTCCTTATCTTCATCCATCGATAACGAGCTGGTTAACATGTTTCAACAATAAAGGTTTGAATAGCCAAAAGTATAAACCAAAGATATAAAAAGACAAACAAAAACGATTCCAAAGATTAACTGATCGTTCGCTCAGGATAAATTGTCAGGGCAACATGCCGCCATAATTTTGAAAAATGCCACGGAAGTACAGATTCTTTTCCTTTCTTTCGATGTTTATCAAAATGATGATACTGATTGTGTCCCAGTTGATGATAGCAATAATGAAGAAAATGTTGTTGCTCTGTTTATTTATCTTTGCGTGGATTATTTTATGCTTGCTTTTTGATTAACCTAATGTTGACTAGAGGTTTAATTGTTTTTTATAGTTTACCATTTTAAGGTTTAATCTGTCGAAAGAAGAAAAGAGAAAAGGGAAAGTGATTAGAGTTATTATTAGATAATCAATGTTAAAATAAAGGAACAGGAGAATCTTGTAAAATCTTCCAGAAAGAAAGATGTAAAGGAGAGGGAAAAAAAGAAACACAAGATGAAGAGTGGAATAAAGTATACTATTCTTAAAATGTAATAAGGATTGCTTTTAAAAGGATGCTTTTTAACTCTCCTTGGCCCCAAAAATAGCAATTAATAATATATATCACAATTAAATAACATTATAATTAGATTAAATTGTTGGCTTTCACCTCACTGTATTTACAATTTGAATAAAAAACAGAGAAACAACAAAAAAAAAGATGAAATACATGCATTATTTTATAAAATAAAGGGTTGACTCAAGAGGACAACTCCTAGTCGACCAATTGCTACAAGATAAGGGACAGTTGCAAAAACGAAAACTGTCAGCTCAACGATTTTATTTCAATTGTTTTCATTAATGGGTCAAGATAAAGTGAAAGATGGAGACAAAATAAATCAAATAATCAATTTGATTGTACAAGGTTAACATAAATCTTTGTTTATTCTCATGTCCGTCTTTTTCAATCTTTTTCAATTATTTGTCTCTTTACTCGCAACTGTGTTGCTCTTGATGATCATGTTCAAGTCTCCAACTTTATCATCTCATCAATTTCATGAATTCTCAACCTTTTTCTCTTATTTCGCCAACTAGATGAATACAGAATGAAAAAGTATCATTGAGATGAAGCTTTTGTGTTTGCCTTGATGGTTTCTCAAGGCAAACTCAAGGCAAACACTTGTACAGAAAATGTGATTTGTTGTGTTTTTTTTGTTTCATGCAAATTGGATTGAATTATATTGGGTTTAAATTACATTGGATTGGCTTCCATATTAGTGGTTCCCAACAATGAATCACATTCAGCTTTATGTAAAGCTTAAAATTAACTTGATTTCTACATAATAATAGTGATTCTGTTTGAGGTAAAAATGTATTGTAATGTTACATGATAACATACAAAATTACCATCAACTGTGATATCCATTTATCAAGCTTGAATTGAATCTATCCTTTTAACTTTCTTCATTTTTCTTGCTCAACGTTTAATTGTTCAATTAAGTAAGCAAATTGTTGTATAATTGTATGATAAATCATCAACATTTAGCCGACTAAAATTGGCTTTCAACCAATTAATTTGTCTGTTTCATATTAAATTTTGTACATTGATCAACAGACTTTCCTTTGTTTCCTTTGATTGCTTCAAATTTGTTTCAAATTTATAACAATTTTTGCATTCATTAACTTGTCTATGAACTGAATAATTGGTTAAATTCAAGCTGAGGTCTTAATCCTTATGAAAGCTGTAACTTGATTCCTCTTAATTTTCTAATCTATTAATGAAAAAAAAACATTAATTTAGAAGAAAACAATCAACTTCTCTAATTTCTAATTAACTTTCAGAGTCAGGTAACAGTAGATCGAGAGATTGAAAAGATGACTGCAACTCTACCATCTTCACTCCGATCAATATCGTTTAATAAGTAAACTGGAATACAATGTAATTATTGATAAGGTATATGAGAAAAGAAACATTAATGTTAATCATTTAAAATTGTAATCTAATGTTTAATATTTTTACAAATGATATTAGTCTATTATGTATAATTCATCAGAAAAAAAACATGAGATTTGTATTTTTCCATGTCAATCAGTAACTTTATTGACTCGCAAAGATTTTACTATTGAACTTGGATGAAATAATTGAGATTACATTGGATGAAAATGTAATCAAAATGACAAGTAAATATTCAATCACATTTTAGTTGAGTGAAAAAATATTCCGTGAATAATTCTGATAATAAATAGTGTCTTGTAGGTTGACATGAGTTGAAATATAACTAACGCCTAATATTCAATATTATGGGGTTACATAGAGTTATGATAATAATGGAGGGAATGTTAAGGCAAAAATGAGAGACATTAATTTAGATAAATTATTAAATTTATATTTACCTTTTTGATTGATCCATGGATTGGTGATAAAACTGGTAAAATATGAACATTAAAAAACTACTAAAAAATGTAACTCAATCAGATGAAATAGTAAAATAATAATGTAGACACAAGAAACACACCAATGAAACAGGATTGGACGAATGAAATGTATATTGATAAAAAATAACACAAATATAACAGTTCCACAGTCAGTGTATATTATATTAATATATTACTCGATTATATTGATCAACTTGAAGCACACATTGTGTAATGTTGGTAAACAATAGTCTAATTAACTGGTGTAGATTAAATCTCTATCAATGGTTAACAGTGAGACTAGAATTGAACAATTGAAAAAATACAACACACAGTTTCATTAGACTAACAATGATTTATTGATTTTCTAGTTTCGTAAAAAAACCTGCTTCTTCCCAGTCAGTCTTCACATAATGCTGAACATTTGAGGGAGAAACTGGAAAATAACATAAACTTACCTTCTTTTGATACCAACAGATGGAGCTTTGAACCATCCGTTAATCGTAACAAAACTTTTCCTTTGAGCTTAAAAACTTCATTTATTTTTCAATTTCATGACAAATTTTGGAACTGAAATTGAGCTAATTTTGTTCCCTTAGCAGTTCATCTTCAATAATTAAAAGGTTAATTGAAAAATCAGTTTAAAGGCAAATATTAACAGTAATCATACTAAATCAATCGAAGTTTGAATTTATGGATTTTTGCTGTCAATCAGGAAAACTGATTACACAAATAAACTGAATACAGAATAGGAATTAAATTAAGGATTATTGGAAATTAAGATTTTGGCTTCGATGATATTTATTAATCTGTGTTGCCTTTGATAATCTTTAACCACTGACAGTATTTTTTGGATTAAAGTGGCTTTCAATGTTCAAAGATACTAAAAACAAGGTGTAACTTAATTTTCGATGCTGTATTATGCATCTTAAAACTCACTGAGATTTAGCTCTTGATTTGGAAGTCAATTTAGATGATTATTTTGGTGAAAGGTTGATCAAAACTGTAATTAAAATTGAATTTCATTAGGAAAACTTTGTATTGCAATCAAATTCACCGCTTTAGCTAGAGAACATGCGTATAGGTGGTTACATGTTTCTTTAAAAACTGATTCCATTCATATCATCTTATATCATCGTATTATTTCAGGTACCGGTTCGGATTAATTTACTAATCACTTTCTCCTTTCTTTCTATTTCAATTGTTGATTGTTGAATTGTCCTATCCCACAATGACTACTCCATGTTTCGCTGATTTGGGTAAACAAGCCAAAGATTTGTTCAACAAAAATTACCGTAAGTAGTTTCTTATGTAATCTGTCTCTTTGAATCTTCAATTTGACCTTCAAAAATTCTTTGCACAGTATTAACTTTTGATTGGCAATAGTTATGAATTAATTCTGGTGAAATTTTGATCAAGTTTGCACTTCCATTTCAAGTATTTTTTTAGGCATCCAATATTTAATAAACACACCAAATTTTGTGTCTTGTCACATATTTTGTTTTGTCTCACATGTTCTGCTTCTTTATTCTATTCAGATCTTGGTGTTGTTAAACTTGACTTTAAGACTAAAACTCAAAATAAAGTCGAGTTCAATGTTAGTGGAACTTCAAACACAGGAACTGGCAACATTGCTGCGAATTTGGAAACCAAACATTTTCTTCCAGATTATGGACTAACAATGAAGGAAAAATGGACCACTGATAATGTTTTATCCACCGAGCTTACCGTAGATGATCAATTTGCTAAGGGTCTTAAACTTGGTTTCAATGGATCATTCACCCCATTGTCTGGTAAAAAGTCAGGAGTCATCAAAACTTCATATAAAACTGATGCATTACATCTTAATGGTGATGTTGATTTGGATCACGGTGGTTTTATAGTACATGGAGCTGGAGTTGTTAGGTTGGTATCAAGATATTGCAAATTATTCTATACATGGACCAGCTGTTTTTTCACCTCTAAGCTCAAATCATGATGAAATTAAATTTTTCAAATTTCTTATAGATTCCAATCATGGTTGGGAGGTGCCCAGCTTTCTTTTGACCCATCTAAAAATGCAATCAAACGAAACAACATTGCCGTTGGATATCAAACACCTGAATTTAATTGGACAACAAATCTGTAGGTTCATCTATATGAAACGTGTTGCATCAAACTTGAGACTAATTTTCTTGATTTAATTTTTTTCAAAAGTGCCGATGGAAAAGAAGCCACTAGTACAGTTTACCAACGTGTAAATGATCAATTGGAAAGTGGTATTTCCCTAGCCTGGTCAACTGACAATAATTCCACTCGATTCGGTCTTGGATGTATCTACAAACTTGACAGTGAAACATCTGTTAAAGCTAAAGTAAACAATAGCGGAACTATTGGTCTTGGACTCACTCATCGTCTACGACCTGGTGTTTTGCTAACACTTTGTGCTTCCATTGATGGTAAAAATTTCAACTCTGGAGGTCACAAGCTTGGTATGGGCTTGGAATTGGCTGCCTAGTTCTCCGGAATTTCATAAAATGAACCAAATTAAAGCCTGATTCCAATGCTGCCAACAACATGCATATGAGTTTTTTTCTAAAAAACAAATCCCAGTGAAATAGAATGTAAAGGAGACAGATGATAATGTAATCAACTGAAATCGTTTCAGTAATTACAAAGGAAAATTATTAAAAAAATGTTTATTCATTAAAGTTATCTTTAGTTAGCCATAAACTATTATAGTTGTTAGCCTGATATCTTTGTAACCAATCTTGTTAGTTGTTCTATCATCAAACCTGAGATTTATTATATAAAAATATAATTTACAACGTAAAATTTTACCAATCTTTTTCAAAATTATTTCAGAAGACGCTTCTAATTCTCGTGCTTTCATATGCTTTCTTTTTCATGTCTGCAGTCAGAAAGTATTTCAACTAAATCAGATGAAACCCTGAATGCTTTGTCAATATTAAATCATAAGAGTCGATGTTGAGTAATTTGGGTGATAATTTAGATAAACTTCTCAAGCTTAATGAGCTTATTGAATCTATCTGTTATCTGATATAATTTCATTCAATTTCAAGTACAAGTTAAAATTTTCAATTCAGCCTGACGAACGTTAAAATAAATAAAACTCATGATAAGTAATAATTTAAATTCAAGACTTTTCAAGGTTGATTTTCGAGAAACTTTCTATTTCCTTATCAACTGGAAATTTTTTAAACAAGCAATTAGTCCATGTAAATTTTACTCTTTTAAACAATGATTTAATGATCTCAAACAAAAATTTACAAAAGTAGGTATAATCATTGAACTTAATCTATCAACATAATCTATTTAAACACCATTCAGGCTCAATTTTGGAATCAATGTTTATTAAAATTTAAAAGGTTAATCAACCCTTGAAATAAAATTTGCAATGAGAGTATTAAAAATAGAGTAATTTCAGAATAAGAAGAGGTTATAAATATCTGTTGAATAACAAAAAATTCAATCATGGTCGCAAGAACATTCACCGACTTCTTCAAAGATTAATGGTGGTAGATTAGCTGGTCGTCTTGCAATACCAAATTCAGCTTCAGATGAAATTACGGATCCTGGTTGTACTTTTATTTTAAATTTTTGTATAATAAAAGTTACATATAAAAATAATTCCATACTGGCTAAACTTTCACCAGGACACATTCGTTTACCACCACTAAAGGGTACCAGATGAGGTACTTTAAGAAGTTGAGTTCCATCTTTAGATAAAAATCGAGTTGGATCAAACGTTTCCGGATCTTTAAATAGTTTAGGATCACGATGGACAGACCAGAAGTTGAAGAGCACATAAGTATCCTTGGGAATCAGATATTTTCCAACATATGTATCTTTTGAGGCACGTCTCAGCAAATTGACTGCAAGAACTGAGCCCATACGATGTACTTCATTGATAAAAGCCATTGTGTAAGGCATTCTTGACCGATCAGAATATTCTGGTTGCCTGCTGAAACCAATTGCCTGGGCTATCTCTTGTCTGATATTGATTTGCGTGTCAGGGTAGCTCACCAAGTAATACATTATCCACATCATTGTACTTGCTACTGTTTCAATTCCACCTCCATAAAAGGCGACTACATTTCGCTTCAACACTTCCAAATTGAATGTTCCTTCAGGGATTCTTTTTTCTTCTCTTTTTGCCATTTCTTTAAGAAAACCATCAATATAATCAACAGGGTCAGAATCTAAGTTAAGCTCTGCTCGATGTTTATCCACTTCAAGTTGAACAAATTTATCACCATATAAGACAGCTTCAGCGATACGATCCAAATTGCCTTTACCCAAAGCAATGTAAATTTTTGCCAACCAAGGAGCAAAAGCAAGAAGTCCTGCAAACTGATATTCACGGAAAACAGTGTTAATGTGCTCATCCAACTCCGTCTTTGCTGGATCATCGTAGTCGTAGGTATGTCCAAAAACAAGGATAGTAATGTTGTTAGAAACTGAACGACCAATTATTTCACCAAAGTCAACGGGTTTACCCTCCCCGAGAAGCTCGAGAAATTTGTTGATCTCTTCTTTAACCTTAATCTCCAAGGTGCTTTTAGTTAAACCAATTGAGCGAAGGATCTGCATTGATAAACGACGATGTTCTTTCCAGTCCTCACCAGACATTTCAAGAATAGATAAATGATCAATAATACCTGGGAACAGAGTTTGTTCTGGTCGTGCGAGTAAAGCGTCATTTGCAAATGCATCTTTAACATGAGACCATTCACTGACAACAATAACGTTGCATCCTCCCAATTTTAAACGAAATAATGGTCCATATTTTTTGGCCAGTTCATCGAATTGTAGATATGTGTGTTTCTTCATGAAGGGTAAATATCCAAGCAATGGGAGACCCCATGGTCCAGAGGGCAATTCACCACGACGTTTGATAGATTTACGAACAGCTTTAGCCAGCCAGACTAATCCCCATCCAACCAAAAGGGAGGTCAATGGTATACAAACTTTTGGATAGTGGGAAAGCACTGATCGAGGAACTAATGATACAGATTTTATTAACATTTTTAAAATTGAAATATAAAATATTAAACGTTGAGTAAAAAATTGACCTTCTAAAGCTCAAATCTCTTCTATTAATTTTAAACAGAGACTTGACAACTTTATGTAACAAATTGGCAACCTTGGAAATCCTCAACTCTTTATGGCTGCGCATAAAACAATGATTGACTTAATCAACATTTGGAATTGGCTCTTGCAATTTAACGGATTAAATATGAACCAATCGTGCGTTAAGGTTATTGGTTAAGAAAATTGCTCTTTGCTTTTGAATTTACTTCTTTGTTGATAATTGAGCTCTTTGCTGACTAGCTCAACACTTGAGCTGACTCTATTAAAGATCACATAAATGGCCAATTACCCGAGATTTTCAAGATCAAGAGACGCATCATCTCAACTAGATTTGAGCAATTAAAAAAAAAGTCTCTAGAAATACACATAATTAGCTTGCAACTCTCCAATTCTTGATTTAATGATAATCCTCTCAATACTGCCCCATATAAAGAGCCCCTGTTGTAAGTGTAACTGGCCAAAATTTACCGATTAAATGTTACTTTCCAATCTATTAGAAAATACTGAATTAATATTACTATTTTTTATTCTGGATACGCGTTACAGTTGAAAATAAACAATTCACTTTTCAAGTTGAATTCAAACTTTGAGTTGAGTAACTCAATTTGAGTTGAAATCAAACAAATTGTTTGAAACAATTACTGTTCTAGACTTTTAATGACATATTTCCTTAATTTGCCATTCAATTTATTTTTTTGACTGATATCTTCAAGCGATGACATTAACAATTGAAAGATGTAAGTAGTGAATTGTTGCTTTTAATATCTCACTCTTTTGCCTGGACTTTGGATAATTCATTTTTAATCTTTGTGACAATTAAAAGACCAGACTTGAATTTTAATATTTCTTCGTTGATTACTCTCTAAAACAGTTTTTTTCGGAAATCTTTTTCAACAATTATCTAAAACCGTCCATCACGTCAAGTTTTAAAGAATGGAAGGAAAAACGAAAAGTGCAAACTGTTAAAGCTGTTGAAATAAAGGTTGAGGATGATGACAGACTACGAGTAAGAGTGTCCAGGTTACTATTAAGCGTCAACAAATCATCTCGACAAACAATTATCTAATCATATCTGATTTTAAGAAGAAAGAAGAGTAGAAAAAAAACAAATTATCCAAAAAAGTATTCTCAATCTTGGTTGAAATTGCTACAGGCACATAGTGATGAGGAAAATGGCCACTCTTAATCAACCTAAAATCCAAACAAACCAAAGGTTATCGCTGGACTGAGCATCTTATGAGTAAAATATTAAACAAGGTGAGGAAGAGAAAAAGGAAAAACATGAGTTGATGGAAAGTAAAATCATATCAAAATTCCCACCATCATAACAGGATCAGGTTTTTGTCCTCCTTGTTTCAACGGTTTACTTTAGCTGGACTTGATTACTGTTATTGCGATGACTGTGAAATTGATTAAGGTAAGGGGGAGAGGGAACTGCAATGAAATGAGGAGAAGCATTGAGAAGTTTTCAGAATGTAAAATATATTACAATACATAATGAAGATTTATGTTGGATTATGTTGATGGAGTTAATGTCATTTCATATTCACAGGCTTCAAGTGGTTGAGTGAGGCCAATAAAACGTAACTTCAACTGGTGCTGATGATTGTATTCTTAGGAAGAGAAGAGATGATTTACATAACAATGATTACAATTAAAATAATATACTCACTATTGAACCTTTGATGAACTTTCTTTTCTCAAGAAACATTCTAGAGTCTTAACTTTTGTTGACTTCTGTTTCTTTTCATCTTTTTTATTCTTTTACCTTCAATGAGAAAACAAAACAAGTCAACTCAGTTTCCGTTTAACACCCTTCCTGTTTATCACTTTGATTTCATTCTAATTGTGACTAAATAATGGTATTCCTTAACAATTAAGGTATTACAAGTTGTTAACTTTCTTCCCATCATAGGTATTCATCTCTTTGTAATCCATCTTTATCCATTGGAACCATATCAAAGCTTCTGAATTACTTAGATCTGGTTGATTTGTCAAGATTAACCCAACAGGTGAACAATATTGATTCAAACTGGGTTCAATAGTCATTGTGTATCCTTTAATTGATTCCAAGAAAATACGTTAATCAATCAATAATGTATCAATAATCTTGTAGCTTCATGACAACTTGATGCAGATATTTACCTTGTAATAACACAATCAGGTCAAGTTCAGATGGTAAGAAGTCCGAGCAAAGAAAAGAAAAATTAAGACGATGAAGAAAAGGAAATTAAAAGAATGGATAGTTTGGCATAAAATGATCCATGTTAACCATGCATGGTAAACGAATCTGTGATTCACTGATACGTAAAGTTAATCAGCAAAGTCTTCAACCTTTTTTTTACTGCCGTTGATGAATAGTAAATGAATGGTAGTTACTGTTGTTGTTTTATGAGCACAATTTAAAAAAAGAGAGTGTCAGGGTGGAGTAGAGGTGGGTGGGTAGGAGGAAAGGTGGGAGGAATGGAAGAAGGGTGAAAAAAGGGAAATAAGATGAAGTGATCTAGAAAGAGAGAGAAAGAGAGAAAAGGAGAATGAAGAGAATGAAGATGAATTGTGAATGTGAAAAAGGCATGGAATAGATTGAAACTGGTTTGGTCAGCGTTTACAGTGAAATGTTTTACCTTTTCTCTTCTCATTTGATTCCTGAAAACTGTTAACTTGTTGCAGTAACTTTTGTTGAAATTTATAAACCCGTTACTCATCACTTTAAATCAACAGACAATAAACACCAGCTTAAGAAAACGATAACAAAGATAACAAAATTCAAGAAACATTAGAAAACAAATTCACCACAATGACTGTCAAGTTTATTCTTTTAACCGACATCAGGTTCAATTTTTACCAACTCTTCTAATGTGTCTCTGGTTTCATCCATTGTCTTTATTGTGATAACCATCTCTACTTTAACCTTAGACCTTGTTAACCTTCTGATTAATCCCTTTTGCCATCTGGTTTTTGTTTCTTATCAATTTTCCCACATAACCTTACATCTTACATTAATTGGAAGCCACAATCAATGGAATAATTTAACCTTTTTGACTAATTTTGTTTTTCGTTTCACCATTTTTTTGAACCTCTCAAAGTTGAATCCATTTTTACCCTTTTTGCTTGATATTTCATCTTTTTAACTGTTTCCATCCAATAACGGATTTATTTTGGATTAAATTGAAATTAATTCAACCAAGTGTTTACCACTGACAAAATGGATAACAAGGATTCAGATGATCTTGTCATTTCTGGTTACCTTTACATTCCAAGTCAATCTTTTCTCAAATTAAAGCAGGTAAGTCCAATTATTTTATATTCAATCTTATTCTCGCATTCATCAACTTTGTTGACATTTTGTTGGTGGTCACTATAAACTTTAAACATGCTCGCTTTACCTTTCCATTTTAATTGTGATATGATTATTGTTATTAATAATAACTTATTATTAAGCCATTAAGGATCAAGTTTCCATGCTGTAGTTTACCTTCTCTGCTTGATATCTCATCATCTGTCAACATCAATTTATATCATTTCTCTTTTCGCCTTAATATTGCTTGAACATACCAAAAGCACCAAATATTTCAACAAATATCATCTATACAAAGGATCGGCAATTCATTAACTTCATCATTATTCCCATCTTAAATCATTAACACCAGATTTTAACTATTTTATCCTCTTATCTTGTTAATCATTCATTACAATCTTCTTTGTAAATCTTTGATCAGCACCGTTTTAATTGAATATCTGGTGAAATCTGAGCCAAGAATAAATGAATCGAAACTATGAAATTCAGCTTTTTTTCAACCATAAATTGTAATCATATGATTTAAATTGGTTGAAACAAACAAATTCAAATTGAACTTAAAAGGAGTCCTTTTTCCCATTTGCAGGCTTGCCCTTTTCATCGAACCAATTTCAATAATGATCAATCCAAATAAGGTTGAGAAACAGAAATCAAAAAATTTTATTAATGATTTAATCCTACGCACTTGAAACAATTAGATTATCCTCAGTCAAATTGATTAAGAATAATTGTTTATCAACCTTTATTTGTTGACAATTTGAAGGTTAATCCAAATTGAAAGCTTGTCCAATCTGTTATAATGTAAAACCACTGAAACTGTAACAATCTGTGGGTCGCTATTGAAGTTACAAGCCAATGGGCAGTAATTCAATATTTACCTTTTCTTTGTCCTTACCGTCCATCATTATTATTAGATTTTAATCAATCATTAAATTGGCATTTTTACGGTTACATCTTGCTGTTTTGATTGTACATTAAATGTGCTCAATCAAATTCATGACCAATAAGCCAATATTGAGAGGAAAGGGAAAATACTTTCAACTGTTGAGCTTAAAAAGGTAAAAGGCTAAAGACACTGGTCAATCCATTATGACCCAAATTGTGGCTTAAATTGCACCTTAATTTTAGGGTGAAAATTAGATTTGATGATAGGAATTTTCTGATAGAATGAAAATGCGAAAAGATCTATCAATCAAATACATCAAATATAATGATACCAATCAATAATTTTATCTTCATTTCCATTCAACATGATACTATTACTATTCACAATTTAATGATAAAATAATGACGTCTATTCGTTAATTAACATAAGAATTTGCATTTTCTCAATCAAATTCAAAGTCCCGTATCAATGATATTATGAATAAACCCACAATATTTTCACTAATTAAACTTGTTGCATCCAAACTATCATTAAACATCAAAAGGAACCAGCAAAATAATCTTAAAAAAAACAAGCCATTTTGTATCATGTTAACATGATTCCTTGGTTCATTGGTTGGTAGACAAAAATACTGACCATTTTGTTCACTAATCAAGTTAAACAATGAAACTCTAACCCCATAATTTGTTGATTGCTGTAAATAGCCGATAATTGAATAACTCAAAAAGTGAGACAATTTTTGGCATAACTTTTGGGTTGAGAGCAAAAGCTAAACCCAATTTAAAGACAATGACAATTACCATTCCATCATCAATCATTGCAGTTAACTATCACAATTAACCTTTTTTCATACACTTTTTACCTTTCGATAACTTTTTTTTCATTAAATAATTCAGATGATGGATTGGTTAACAAGAACCTTTCAATGACATCTTTGATACTTTGCTTGTAAAAACAAGCAACTTGACCAATTTGTCAACCACATATTCAACAGTCCATGTCATGAGATATCATTGTAACTGTTTATCAAATTATTAAATTATCCAAGAATTATGTTGATTGTTGAGGTTAGCATTTTAATTGTTTTAAATTAACCTTTACCTTTACTCTGAATCATCTGGTAATATTTACAAATTCAATGTTTACAAGGTTAATGTTCACATAAGTAGAAACCAGATGATGATAATGATGATAAATTGTATTTAAGGAATTTTGCTTTTACCAGAAAAAAAAGAAATTAAATGAAATGATTTAAAATTACATTTTGGTTGAACCGGTAAACATTTGACCTGAATCACGTTGTCCTTTAAGGCATTTTTTGCTTATCAAATTTAGTTTTGTTTAGCAACTGGTAAAGAAAGGTTTACAATAAAAATAATGATAATAATAATATTAATGGAATGAATAATGTTCAATTGTGTGCAGGAAAAGTGTTTTCATGAATGATTCCAAACAACATGCTTGTTGATTGTGTTGACAAGCTCTTGATTTTGTTTGGTTGGCCTCAAAAGGCGAAAACATTAACGACAAGAACATCAATATTTGGTGGCAAAAAAAATGTCAAAGGCGGAAGCACCTTAACTCAACAATAATCATAATGATAATCATACGGTCAACAACAATAATGACGATAATTAGGTATCAAAAAAAGAGTCCAGATTGATGTTGATCATTTTGTATTTGATTAACAAAAACCATGAAATATTCAGCTTATTGTTGAACCATCAGGAAGTGTGTTTGATAAAAGTTGATAAAAGATACGATTCTGTTAATAGATAAGTTCACCTTTAGTGATGTTGATAGGATCAGTTGGCTGATCAAAACATACAGTTATCAATTCTGGTCAACACAAATTATTACTTTTAGCAAAGGTTGTTTCAGTGAAAATTCACTGATTTGTTTGCTTCTTAATGTTGCTTCTTCCGAATCTGCCAATTGTAAATTGCTTTTGAGATTCATTGATAACTCACAAGGAAAGTTTTCCAACGCTTCGAAACGATTGCTATTATTAGCGTGCCATTCAAGCTTAAAACTAACAATAGAGTTCCATGTCTTTTGATTCGCACGAATGTTTGTGAAACGCCATTTATTGTCCATTAACGTTTAGTGTTGGTATACATTAATCAATGAGATAAGCAATGGTGTGAGTCCATAGCGATGAGCCTTTAGTTTCACTCATTACCATACTAACATGTAGAAACATTGATTTTTGATATTTTTCTAGTTTACCTCAGCGACCCAAAATGATCATAGAACCTGATTGTTTTGAGATGAAAAGATATTATTCGAAGCAATTGGAACACTTCCAAATATTTTAAAACGCCTTTACCAGTTTATTGTTGATCTGATATCGGTAGTGACTTACTTTCCTATGAACTCAGCAGAAGTTTCCTTTGGAGCCAATGACTCTTCTCGTTGAAACAATGAGCCGCTGAATTGATGGTGCAGAGGCTATATGAATGATCGTGTGAAGCCAGGTCGACCAGACATATACTTGATGAAATGTGGGTTTGAAATTACGGAGGAATGATTGTATGATTTGAACGCCTTTTGGAAATGATGATTTCTGATCAAGATGACAGGATGAAATTCCTATGAAAGTCGCCTTTGCATAACTTTTGAATTGAGATTAATCGTTGAAAATGAAAACAAGAGCAATAAATTGTGTTAAAAGGTTTCTAAATAAAGAAGCTGATGGGCTGATAATGATAGTTTTGTTGTTGATGAAGATGAGACAAAGTGAATAGATAGTCACAATTTGAAATTGTAATTGTAGTAACCATGAATAACTTAACCTGATTCACAATGCACCAACAAGTTGAATAACAAAAAAAAAACAAAATATAAACTAAATTAAGACACACACACACCACACATTACAGAACAAAACAATTCTGTTGATAATTTTTTGTCTCCAATTGTAATACCTGTAATTGACCCTCTCTCTTTACCAATTACCATTATTACAATTGCCTTTCACTATTAACTAACTAGCAACAAGTTGTCCATTAACATCATCATGATCATCAACATGAAAAACACTTTTGTCTCCTTTCAAGGTATTTTGCCATAAAAAAATGCTGATGATCGTTATAATCATGAAGCTTCTTGTCTCAGAAACCATCATCATCACCATCATAATCAGCACGTTTTCAACACTGATTACAAGTTAATCAGCAACGCACTGTCATTAAACTAAATATAATGACAGTTTAACATAAGCGTCAAATCACTATTAACAACACACACATCTTTCAAGGAAACCTTCAATCAATGGAAAAATTGAAAACCAAAATCACGGATAACCAGATATTTCATGGATAATCAGGAAAAAATGGATTAACTTGATTCCCTTAAAATTGAAAGCTTTAATTGCTACTGAATTACAATTAAAATATTTCCATTCTTTCCAAGTTTAATTACGTGATTAAATGTTTAAATTGATCAATCATGTTTACATGTTTACTGGTTTACAAATGTATTGTAATATTTTCATGATCAATGTTATTTATGCCTATTAGCCTCAACAATAAACACAACAATCAATAGACAATTGAGGCTATCATTAATAAAATACAAACGTGAGAAGAAGTTAATCAACTATTAAATAGCAACAATTAACCTTGACTATCAACTTGCACTTTCACATTGTTACCAAAATTCAATTGATTGTTATTAATCCTTTTCCCAATAACGAAATAAAGCAATTTTGGAATCAAATTATCAAGTGATGATTATTGTGATTAACAATATTTTTGAGAATCAAAATTTACTATTTACTCTGTTTGCGGTTTTTCAACTCTTTTCAACCTGAATCTGGTGAAAAGTAAAAGCAATCAAATGATATTACAATACAAAGTTATCAATCAAACAACTGTTAGAGGAAAAAGGTTTTACGTTTTCAGTCTCTTAACTCATTAATCAATTGTCTTGACCAGGTTAACCATTGCCTTGAGGTGAAATTGATTTACCTTGATTAACTGAAAGCCTGTGATTGCCTTTTATTCATCAACTTTCAAACCCATTTGTAAGCAACAATTTGAAAAGGTTTAAAAGTAATCAACACTAAATGCTTTCTAATCCAGAGTATCATTCAGTATTTATCCTGTTCAAGTCAATTCATTGTTTTAATGAAATTCACTTAATGGTTAATCATTTATAAGCTAATCAACACTGAAATGTGTTGAAATGAAAATACAATTAAATCCATCATTATAATCATCAGCAACACCATTAACCAGCCTGACCATTTTCATAATCAAATTAACCCAAACTCATTGTAGGCTTTCAATTTGTTAACGTTTAATGAATGGTTCAATCTCATTTTGATTAAAGCCAATTGTTATTAATTCAAATGCCGAGTTCATTTGTTGCTATTTTAAAATGTAAATTGTTCAATTTGATTATTAAATTGAGGCTCATCATTGAACTTGTCTAGAGTTAATCCAATTGATAATGTGTTATTGTTATTACCGTTGACCTCAAACATTGTCATGAATAGATTGTGTTTATAATCAAATTTCGAATGATTGTTCCATTAATAGTGATTCAGTTTTAATGACAAATCCGGAAATTTAAATTTTCCATTCAAATTGTGATTCTTTGAGTCAAATTCAAATTTCCCAACAAAACCAGTATCGTGTGTTGATATCATTTTGGTTACTTTTGCCATTCAATTTTTACCCAATTGTAAATGTTTTTTTTTCATTCAAAAGTCAAATTCAATACAACTTTAGACTTTTTCAATGAGATTGAAATGTTAATCATGAAGTCGATGATTAATTGTTGAATTTTCATGTTAAATTGGATTCTCTACAAATCCAATTAGCTTTATTTGTCTAACTGAAAGTTATTTTACCAATTCCTGGTTTCAACTCACCCTGCAGGCCTTTTCTCACGGCCTCTTGTCAATAATATAATCTTATAATTAACACTAATCACACTAATCATCTTCATTTACTTTAATGATCAACCTTTAATCTTTCCTCTTGTTTCACTTTGATTCACCTTTTTTTATCCCAAAATTAATCTTACCTTCACTTTTAACCAGAAAAAGTAAAATCAAATGGCTTCCATTAGTTTGATATATAAATATTGCCTCTTAAAATGAAAAGTCTCTTAATTGCTACTAAACTATTTCCGATAATTATGATAATTATGCAAATTAAAGGGAAGATTTTTTATCAAATTAGAAATGATTAGGCAATGGTTTCATTTGTTTGTTTAAAAATGGTTAAATTTATTTCGATTGATCCAAATTGAGTCCGATCAACAACCTTTCAAGCCTCAGTCCATTGTGTTTGCCTTTGTGCGATCGGTAAATGTTTCAATCTAAATGTGCAAAAATGATTAACATTAGTATTTGAAAATTAGCTAACAATCAACTTTTAAACAAGAAACATTATCTGAGATGATTGAAGAGTTTTCCTGAAAATCTGATGAACAGCTATTTTCTTGCTTCATAACACGCTTCATTCCCTCAACTAGCGACAAAAATTATCAGATCACTTTTGACTGATTCAATGAATCAACAATTGATGCTGCTGATGGCACTGTTTGTGATAAACAATTACAAGCCAAATCGATCGAACCAACTGACATTAACTGGACTCGTTATCAGTTGATCGTTGATCAATTAAGCGTTAAAATTGCTTTAATCTTCATCACAATCTATCCATTTGTCAATTCAATAAAAGCTTTCCATTTTACTCTAATGAACCCATTAACATTGAATATTCAGGTTCAACTTGAGATCTCAATTTCAAGCTAAATCAACATTAAAACACAAAAATTTCACTTCCATTACTCACACTTGTCAGTCACTAAGTGTTGAAATGATCACTGATGGAAAGGTTGAAACTTCATGTTGATATTCGGATAGAAAACGCCAAAAAAATGCTAAAAAATGGATTCATTGAAATATTTCAAAAAATGTTTTTCAAAATGATCCAAAGAACTAATTTCACTCTCAAATTATGCCAACTTTTCAACGAGTTTAACGAGTTATTAGACAATCTTGTTTAATTGTTAAAGAGATTATCCAAGATTTATGATCAAACGAGCAATTTATATGCTAATAACTGTTCATCAAATGATTAATTTTCATCTCAAGCTAATGACTCTGTTGTTTATGAAATAGATTAATTCATTTGATCTCAATTTGTTGAATATTTTCCCAAATTGTGTAAATAAATTATTCATTAATTTTATCGCCTTCTCAGTGAATAGTTAACACTGATTTTGAATGCAACAATTAACTGATTATCTGATATCATCATTGTTATGAGCAGCAATTAAACACTTTTGTTTCTCAACATCAAGATATTCAACAATTGATGCCAAATGAGTTGAAACTTTTCCCTGATGTTCATCAACTAAAGATGATTTTGTCGTAAAAGATCAACTAATTATCAATATTTTTACTCCGAATTAAAATAATTAACTTTAATGTTCAATCTTTCAAAGTTAACCTGAATACGGATTGGAATCTTAATCTTAAACCAGATTTCCTTATCCTTTATTAATCTGTTAATCATAATGAAACAATCCATCAACTACTGGTAAACATTGTTAAATTGTCAGCGAAAAGATGAAACACTTTGATTAGCCTAAACGTGCTCAGATTGATTAATTGAAAATTAGTTCAATTGTGCAAATCAATTAAAGTGAATACGATGAAAATTTAAAGATAATCAATCACGATCAGTGAGAGAAAATAAGGAAAAAATTGATTTATTAATCAAGGAAAGATGTTATTTCATTGTTTTATGGTGTTTTTGCTCAGACAAAATCAACCCAATAAACAAAACAATGATTAGCTGTAAATTTGATTGATTTTATTAATTAGTAAACAATCAAATGAGATCATCAAATCAACATTGAATACGTGATTAACAGTCAACTGGAAGCTTCAAGTTTACAATTTAAATCATTGATTAGTTGAAATGTAAATCAATCAAGCAATTTAAATGAGTGACAAGAGCGCATAAATAATGACAACATCTTCATATTTATCCATAAAAACCATCAGAGTAAACATGTTTCTTCCTATTCCTGCGTTAATCAAGATCAACATTGCACGTCTTATTCACGCTCTAATTAATAATGATTAACAGGGAAGCTTCAACAATTAATCGTTGCTTTAATTTTAAATTCATTGCTTATCTGACTCTGGAATCATTGGTGAATGAAATGATGAACAACAAGAAAAGGTTTCATTTTTACAACAACAAAATATTTCCATTTTTACTTGACTGTGAACAATAATCATAATAATGGGTTTGCTTTTGTTTTAACCATTTTTGTTACATTCATTAAAAATCTCAACCTTTTTATTCACCTTCTAATCCGTGATTCTGTAGATCAGATATTTCCAGCTTTTCCATGATGATGATGATAATGAAGTATAATGTAGAGTGAAAGAGATAATCAAAATCATTGATTAAAAGTCTAATGTTTTTAAGGTGTTAGTCTCGCCTCATCATCGTTTTGTTAAATATCATTAATCATAACCATATTTAAAGGAAAACATTGTTAACCTTTTTTGCTTTATCTCAATGAAACATTTCCGCTTTTCATTTGATAAATGAACAGGTAACATTTGATGAATGCAAATGCTTGTAATTCAACATCTTTTGTTGTTCCAGTGAATGAAACTGATACTCTTGTTTCATCATTACTCTCACACATGTAACCATGAAACCTGACAAGAAACACCTTCAGACAGATTATAATGATAATTGAACATTTTTGGTTAAACAATTTAACAGCAAATTCAAGATAACAAATGAGCGAGTCAAGAGTAGGCCCAAAATATCTGAACAATTTCAATATTTACTTTGATTCCTTTGACTTTTACTTGCGACTTTCACTTTGAATGTGAAATGACAATTAACTCAATCATTTCAATAATAATCTTGGAACGGAAACAATTTCAATAAAAGACAGGTCAAGTGCAAAATTAATTTCTTGATGATTAGTGCAGATTGAATCATTACAATTGAAAAATTGATGGAATTTCATTTTTACCGTTTTCTCTCATAACTTGGCCAGTAATCAATAAACAATAAAGCTGTATTCATTATCAAATGGACATTTCCTTGAGTTAATGTGTTTTTCTTGCTTCAAAATGACCATTCAAACCCGATGCCTGAAAAGGTTAACCTTTCTGAACACCTTTAAATGTCAACAAAGCGTAATGTCATTATTTGAGTAAACACTTTCTACTGTTTAACAATCTTGATTTCAATTAATTTTAATGATTACTTTTTTCCCCTAATTTCCTTCTTCTGTATTTCATTTTACCTCATCTAACCTGTCGATTCTCTTGGTGTCCAGTCTTGGAGTAAAAAATATTTCGCTCTCTATAAACGCAGTTCAAGTGGCATTCAACGGTTAGAGTTGTTTGATAGTCAAGAGTCACATTTAAAAAAGTCCAACACATTAATCAAGATAATTGCTCTCAACGAGTGTCACAAGGTTTCAATTACAACTCACAAACAGCAATCAAATGTATTTGAGGTAAGTTGACCAGCTTCAAAGCTTTACATTTTTACATATTTGCAATGGGAAAAGACGTAAACAGATCTGCTTTTCATCACAATTTCAAATCAAACATTGACCATGATTGATTTGAAATTAGGTGAATTTAGGCGAGGTTTGGATAGTTTGATGACTAAATTGTAGACAACAATTGAAGGTGGATTATATGTTAATAAAATACAATAATGAAAATATTATTGGACTTTGAATGTTGATGGATAAACACAGTTTATTGAGAGTAAGAAAATTTCAGCTCATTATTGTAGTAAAGAAAAATTGTGTAAAACCTTGACAAGGAATTTCATTGATCATGATATAATGAATGAGAAATGAATTGATTGGAATCACAAAAAAATTTAATCCAAGAGTAGCATAAAAAAATGAGTTTACAAATAATCTTTGATTGGTTTGAATGTATTTACATTTATACTTTTTCAATATCAATTCAATTTCATTTCATTTTGTCGTGCTGACTTTCAACTTTTCATGATGATAATGATTGCTTGATTGTAACAAAATTAGCTCACTTTGATCATTTGCAGTTAGTCGGATAAAGCTAATGTTACCAGATTAAATTGACTTTATTACAATCGTCTTTTCACCTTGACTTTCATTCATTCCTTTAATACCGAATCTAACATTTTTTTTGTTCTGTTTGTTTACAGATACGAACTCGAGAAGCCGTTCATTTATTTTCAGCGGAAACTTATCAACAAATGCAGTTGTGGTTAGAAGCACTGAGATCAGTCGCATTTGCAATCGATAACAACTCGCCATCTAGAGCCATTAGTAATACACCAGCAAAGTCACCAGGAGTTATTAATTGTAAATCAATACCAGAAGCTGTAACGGTAACTGTTAATGGTCCAAATAAAGACAAGCCATTAACCAATTGCCATAATCACCATCATCCAAGGCTGGATAAAGATGCCTCAATTAATCACGTCTGTGTACTTACAGCTAATAGTAACAATCAGTCGATTCCTCAACAAGAGGAAAATATGCTTTACTCTTCGGTTGATGCTCCTGACTTGTATAATGTTAAGTTAGTTATTTCTGAGGCTACAATTAGATGTAAATTAGCAGCAACAGATTACTATTTAGTCTTGACTTCTGTGTCAATATCACTGGCTGAAAAATTACCAGACACCCGACAAGGAAAAATCTTGTGGACTTGGCCGTATCGTCATATACGTCGCTATGGTTGTACTAAGGATGGCTTTAGTCTAGAAGCGGGGCGAAAATGTTTAACTGGAGAAGGTTTATTTTCGTTTATTACCTCGGATGGTTCGGCCATTTTTAAATGTGTAGCAAGTCATGTAACAAGTTTAAAGACAACTTCGCCAAATGGTGTTTTTCCAGTTCCTCGTTCATCACCTATCGAGCTATCAGCCACTTCATCGTCTGTACCAGCATCAACTACCGTGACTACTTCGTCTTCTTCCTGTTCAACTGTAATGTCAACAAATGAAAAGACAGAAGTATCAAATTGTAAACAATCAAACCCTTGCCAACAAACATTCTCACCTAATAAAGTAACATTTGATGGACAAACTGCTAATTCAAATATTAATGCCGTCACGTCTCTTCCAACACAGTCGACATCCTCGTCGTCCTTATCAATGCCAAAATCAAATCCTTCACAACAAACCAATGCTACATCAGGATCCATTTTAACTGTTGCAGCCAACGGTTCACCAGATAAAACAGTAACCAATTCAACAACCTCAAGCCAGTCTGAACAATTAAGTACTGTCAGCAATACTAATTTTCGTCATTATCAACGTCCATCTTCACCTAAACCTCCAACATTACCTAGAGGTGCTCGTCCCAACCAACGAGAGTCAGCTAATCAAAACGGTGTTACTTTTGGCACTAATCATTCAACGAATGGCAAGCAAAATCCAAAGCCAAATAATCATTATAACAATCAAATAGCGCAGCCCAAAATGAATGAATTAAGTTTTGAGACTCACAAAATGGTTAAACCGAATGAAGCTTTGAGCAATTCACTGCAAGCGAAAAAAGAAGCAAATTCAATGGTCACTTTGAACCCAATGGATTCAGTTACTATATTACCTCAAGAAAACGGGTTGATAATTATTTCAGATGAAATGAGGAATGGACAGTCAATAATTAAGCCACCTCGACGTGGTCGATTCAATTGTGATGGTAAACAATTAACTTTCAACCTTTCAGATGGTTCTATTGAAACTCTCGCCATTCCTGTTACAATTGTTGATCCATTATATGAAGATCCCATTTTTGTCTCAAGAGAAGAGTTGTTTGGCCTAAAGGCTGAAGATAAAGAGGAAAACCATTATGAAATTCCTGTAATTGTTAATGGTAATGTCAACAATGATAATGATTCGTCTACTCATAATTATGAGCAAGTAACAATCACAAATAATGGACTCATCGAGATTGGCTATGATCGTAAAATAATTTCAACAGTTGATGGTAAAACTGTAAATGAAAAGCTTCCTCGTATCCATCCTCAAGTTTCACGTTTAACTTCAGTAATTAGATCAATGTTTACCGGTAATTTGGGTAATATTGTTAACTCTCGTAAATCTGTTAAATTGGAAAAATTTTCTCAATCATCTTCATCAAGTGAAGGAAGTTATAGCTCATTATCAAGTGGACCAACTGTTAGTGGATCAATATCATTTGAAGTAAACAAACAAGAATCTGGATCTGAATCTTCCAATGAATCGCCATACTCGGAAATTTGTGATTTACCAGAGAGCAATTCGCTCGATGACAAAGTTGATTATGTTAATCAAAAAGCAAAACATCATTTAATAAATATTTACTCAAATAGGAAAGACAACAAAGTCCACGGAAATGATTCAAACAATTCCAATGGATGCCTTTCCATTGTAAAAAACTGCATCACAACTGATTTAGATGAAGGTGATTATGTAAATTTAATGCCAGAAGATTCAGTCAAATCAACAATTAGCAATAATAAAGCTTCACGTATTGTTATTAATGGTTCATCAAATGATAAATGCTCACCGAATCCTGATCATTACATTCAAAATGACGCTGAATATGCTCTTATAATGAAAAGATCAATTAGTTGTGATAAATTGTAAATAACTGTTCGGATAATTTTTTTCTAGATCAATGAGACTGATTTAAAATGTTTATAATCAATTATTATTGTTAATTTGTAAGTGATACATTTGCATATGTAAACTGGACTAGTCTTGCAATTCAATTAAAATGTCAACTAATATTAAAGACACATTTTCCATTGAATCAATTATAAGAAACGATTAATTTTTGATCATTTTACTTGTTAAATTTGATTAGTGTTTCACAAAGCCTTGAGCCACTCAAGTTGAATGAGAAATCAACTGGAAAATCTTTCGAGTTTCAACTCTTGGATCAAAAGTTGAAAATGAATCAGAATTGGAATTGGAATTATTTTACTTTAATTTCCATTGAAATCGCATGGTCAAGTTTATCAAAGTCATTTAACTTTGAAACATTCATTAATTGGTGACAACAATCAGTTGCACTTACAAATGCAAGAAGTGCCATCTACTTTTATAAAAATCAACTTCGTTTATCGCAAATTTCAAAATATACTGCCATCTACCAATACTATTTAATAATATCAAAATCCATTAAACCAAATGAATTCTCTTAATTTTTGGAAGTTATTTTAATCTATTAAAATGTTAAATACGAAGCATTTTTATCCTTGACGCTTGTTTGTGCTAATGAGCTATGAACCAGAACACAGATTTAGTTGAGCTCACTAGATTGAAGAGCCATAAATTCAGAGTTTCTTAAAGCAACATTTTAGGTTAAATCTCCTCTAATTAAGATGAATTGAAAATCATAAGCTATTTTGCGAGTGGTGAAGTATCTGGTAGGTGACCGTAAAACGTAAATTTACAATGTTAAAATTAAAGGATACTCAATTAATTTAAGAGTCAGAGAGTTGAGATCATATGCTCATACTCTTCGAATAGTTAATTAACTTTTGTTTAGACAATTGAAGAAGTATTCATAAATAATTAATACGTAACCTTACCTATTTATACAAAACTAATGAAAAAGCCAACAGTAAATGCTAACCAGAGGGAAATGCTAAAGGGTTTAACTGTAAATTAGAAACTGTAAGTGAAAAGAGATTAGAGTAGATCCCTTACAGATGTATTCAAACAATTCTGGCTGAGTTCATTGCTCTTGAAATTTATCTTTCAATTACACAGTCAGCCTAACAAATTGAGTAGTTAATTGAGAATGAATTTTCAACCATACTCTTAAACTACAGATTAGATTGTTCAAGAGTTGGTTGGTTACCAATAGAGGAATGACTTCGGAGTAATTATCTTTTAAAATCAATGTACTTTAATTATTTATATTGCAAGTAAATTTTGCAAATTTTGGTTAATCTTTTGGTGATAACTGAACCCTGGATTAAATCATCGATATTATTTGACTATCCATAAAATATATTAATGAGAACATTTTCTTGAGCTTGGATTTTGATAACGACTATTTTGTTAACATTTGTACAGTCTATTTGTTTTATTTAAAATGACTTGAAGACTGTAACGAAATAAATTAACAGAATAAAAGAGGATAAAAACAGTGACTGGTTATTGACTATTTGCATGGAGGATGAATCAAGGGCACCAAATTGAAGATCCAACTCCCATGAGCCACAATATCCATTTGTTAAAGGCTGAGCTTCCACTCCACGTCTATGATGAAAAGAAAGAATAATATACAGAAAAAAATTAGCACAAAATATAATAGCAACTGCAGATTTCATGGCATTAATATTACAAGGATGTGAATCAATTGAAAAGCCAATTGATGCAACATAAAAGATAGTAAATTGGGACTTTTGCATTGAATAACATTAATGAAAAAATGGCACGAAAATAGGAAAAGGACAGGAAATGGGACAATTGGAGAGCACCAATTGATCTTTATACCTGAGCATTCGACATCTTTGTTCATCAAGTCTGAAAAGTGCACTATCAGAGTCATTTGTATCACCAGGATGACTCCATAATCTTTCAGCAACAGCTGAAGCTCTAGGCCTGCGAAAAAATAGAGATAAAATTAAAATTAATAAAAATAATTTACAATTTCAAGACAAAAGGAAATGTCAACTTACCACAGTCTTGAGAGTAAATTGACTTGATCGACATATTCACTCCACATGCAAGCTTCTCCTCCAAGAATGAATTCCTTTTCCTCGTCCGTTGCTTAATTAGCGATAAAAGGAATGAAAAAAAGTTAAAATCAGTTAGGTTTGAACATTTTTGGAACGATTGATGAATAATGTTCAAATAATGTTAATTGTTACCATTTACACCTAAAACAGGATCACAGTTGTAGTAACTTCGCCAGTCTTCACCATAATGAATATAATTAAGATACCAACACGAAGACAAGATGATTTTATGGCGTCTTGCTATGATTTCCTTGACATGTCTTTTCCAACCGTCTTTTTCATGATGAGGACCACCCTTCCAAACTTCAACAATGGCATCTTTAGAAATCTTGATAAAAAAACAGATAAAATTAAAGGTTTTAAAAGAACTAATTTTGGATAATAAATCTATGATTGATGTTATTCATTTTCATTCCAAGAGATGAGACTTACTGTAACATTATTATCAATTGGATCCTGCCAAACAATGTATTTATAGCCCAGGCTTTTGATATTTTCAAGGGTTCTGTCAATGTAATACTTTTCAACTTGTTTCATTTCCGTGAAACGCTTTGTATCCATAAAATTACGAATCTCTGGACTGCTTTTCCAGCAATCATAATAAGCTTCATCCATACCCAGATGGATAAAATCATCGGGAAACAAGTTTTTAACTTCAGTATACAATTGACGGAGTATTTCAAAGGTTTCATTTCGAGCAGGATTTAAATTTTCATGGGACGAGTGTTTACCATACACGGATTGAGCAGGAGTGTCACCATCGTAGCAAGTTGTCAGTAAAGCTGAAATTAAATAAGAAATTAAAGGAAACGGTTAATGGAAGTTGAAAAGGAACATAAATAATAATGTATTTCAATCATGGAAGCCAATGTTGAATCACTTGCAGTTGAGGAAAAGTAATTTAAATCACAAATTAAAGTCAAACAATTTACATTGGTTGACATAATTTAGTTGGTTCAATTTAATTCGAGCTTCGATTTTAGGTTAAAGACAAGAAAATTGAAATGTTTAATTTTTCTTCACAATTTTTTCAATTACCATATTTTTTTCACATTAAACTGACAATCTAACCATGAATGGCCTGAAATTGGAAACATTGTCGGTAATAAATGAGTTAGATGAAGCTTTAAATGTAATTTTTTTGATTGAGTTGTCAACTTGTCAAAAACAGTTTGAAACATTTTCAATTAAATACTAACAATTGTTTTGCCACATAAATAATATCTGGATCTAAGGCAAGGAGAGGAAGAAAATGATGAAAAGGTTGAATAATATCTTACAGTTTATCTGGAATGAAATTTATTAATATTTTAATAAGAATGGGAAATTGTATTGAAAAAATCAATTCGAGTTTAGGTGTCTATGGAGGAAACGCTTTAATCAACCATTACAATACAAGAAAGTTTCACTGATAAAATGATATAATCAACAAAGGAATCGAGTTAAACTGATATTAAATAAAAATAATTTCTTACAATAAAAGAAGAATCGAACTGTAAGCTAAAACTTTCAGGACTTTTTCAGGTAGCTTTGAATATAAAATTCAAACTCTAGTTGGGCAAAGACTTGGCAAGGTTAATTTACATTGATATTTATACTTAATGCTTCATAATATTTCAGGCTTTGAATGAATCTGCTGATAAAAAAGGTTGAAAGTAAAGTTCAGCTGAACATCAAAATAGAATGACCAAAGAAGCATGAAGATAAATTTTTTGCTTGAAAAAATAGCCTTTTCTTATTTTTCCTCTTCATCTTTTCCTTTTCTTGTTTCTTCCAGAAAACCCAGGCTTTATTGAAAGATAATTTATGCACATGAAAGTGGACACAATCAATGTGGATACAATCAAAGTAGGCTTTGCTCATTACCATTCATCAACATTGCATATGCATGATGATTGAATGTTTAGTTGTTTGATGATTTGCATCTTATCCTCGTCGTGATCATAACTTACATGGAAATGCTCGTCCCATTACTTTGGTGTGTCCTGGTGTATCAATTTCAGGGATAACTCTGATTCCTCGAAACCTTGCATATTCAATCAACTGTTTAATATCTTTCTGGGTATAAATTAGTCGATCATTGTAGGCTCCCTGAAAAAACAAAGAAACAAAAATTAATAAGTGATTTGACAAATTAATGTGACAAGAATTGAAAAACCAGGTTCAACCAGGCTTTCAATCTTGAACTTATTGGTTAGAATCTGGAAATTATGATGAAAAGACAAAAGCTTACACAAGCTGACAGCTGACTTCATACAGTCTACAGCGAGTTAACCTTTGATTACTTTTCATCTTAATTACTAGATTGAAAGCAGTGTAAATAATTAATCATTAACTTATTACCAATTTGGTTAGATTGGGAAAAACTTTACTCTCCATGGGAAATGATTGATCGTCAATAATATGCCAATGAAAAACATTGAATTTATTCCAAGACATAGCATCCTATTAAGAATACAGAAGCAGAGAAAAAAATGTTAATTTTAAAAATGTATTTCTGGAACAGTAATAATACAACAATTATAATAAGAAATTGAAATTTTGCTCGATTCAACGGTAACCAAACGTATGAACAGGTTGATATTAATAACAATGAAAGGATATGTGAAGTAATATTTGAAATCAATATCATTGAGAGAAGAGAAGTGATTGAAAAGAATGGAATTGAAAGAGAAATGAAAAATTTAGGAAATAAATGATAGATTATACTTAAAGTGATATTTGATGATGATGATGAAGATGATGATTTGAAAAGGAGGAAAGGAAAAATTCATCATAAGATTGTTGATGGTTAGTCAAAATAGAAATAATTTTATGAGTTTTTACTCGCATTTTTGCTTGTAACTTGAAAAACACAGCAATAGCATTAGGAGAAACTGGATCAGTTTTTATTTCCTATTAGCAGAGGAAAACTCAGTTGTTGAGGGAAAAATAGTAAAGTGAATTCAAGTTTTAGTAAAGCTTAAGTACTGATGATGAGAAGGGAAAAAGTAAGCAGAAATATATTTCAAGAGTTTTCAGGTTAAAAGTAAGGACCATTAGTTGTTAACAAGCTTATATTATTGGGTTGATAGCTACTGTTGTTGTTGAGTGATGATGAAAAATAATGGTGAACAGAAAGACGAGAAAAGGAAATGATACTGACGAAGAGAATAAGATAATAGATGAAGACAGAGAAGATGCAGATTGAGATGAAGAGTCATGAGGGAGGCAAGCTGAATTAGACTTTAATTTACTGATACTTTCACCAGATTATAGACATTCAACTATTTTCACTGGAAACACATTTTTACACCATTTAACCTTTCTTTATCTACGAGCATTTCCTTGGATCACTTTTGCATTCTATCGCCTTTGACTTTGATTCATTCATTTAAGAGCACTTTGTGCTTATACAGTTTAGTCGAAATTTTGTGAGATTGACGTCAAATAGATTCTAAGGACTCTAATTTACGAAGACAAAGATTGGTATTCAGAACACATTCTTTAGCTATTGATTTTTAATAATCTACAAGATAGTAACCAAATTAAGAGTTGAACCAACTATTTGAAGCATTTAGATGAATCTCTGGTAAACACAGTCGCCTAATTGTATCAACTGGAAGCTCAACAGCTGACTCTGTCTGGTTGAATAGCTTTAGCAAAGTGATCGGGATAATATTCATTGACAGTCGAGAAATCTATTCAAGGTAAATTTCAGCTGCTAGACAGGATTAAAATGGAATAAGAAATTTTTTTCATCGCTTCAAATGTTCAGAAGCTGTGAAATTATTAAAGGCTGTGGTTTAGGCGAAAATGATAACTTACAAGATTCTTTAGTAACACTTTCATTGGGATAAAATGGCGAGCTGTGTCAATCATGATTCCTCTGTACGAAAATCTTGGCCAATCTTCGATTCGAGTTGAATTGATTAGGTAATAACCAGTTTTTTCGTCAATGTATACAAGCTGGGAAAATGTTTCCAAACCGCGAAGAGCGCCCCAAACTGTTTTGGCTCTAAGTGAGGCACTGGCATCTTTATCTGGAATGGTAAGGCTATATTTTTCGTTATCACCAAATTTTGGGTAACCACAGCGAGTGTCATCGATATGAACCTTGAGAGATTCAAGTTCCTTGTGTTTGGGTGATATGGTTTTGGATCTGTCAATAAAGATGAGGCCTCGGTAACGTAGGAGAGCTGCTTCAATGATTTCACAATTAAGATTTGATTTAAGCTCAAAATGATCAGGACTTAAGCTATATTGTAATGTCATTCGGGTCCATGTTCTTGGAAGAGGCCAAGGTGATCCAGGAGGTGATCGTTCTCCCTGAGAAAATAAAGATAAAGAATGTTAATTGCTGTGTGAAAGAGTAAGAGTTATCAGGTGATGGATGGCAACTTTGAGCAAAAGCTAACAAGTCAACAATTGATATCTTACTCAACTATTTACCGTCAAAATTCAACAAACAAACGTCAAGACACTAATTTGTAACACGAAATTCTGAATAATTGGATCACTATTATTATAATGATCATCAAATCAAGATGAAAATGGTGTAAATCTCTATATTGATTGACATTTCTTGTGTCATTCAACTTGTCATTATCCATCATTAAGACACCCACAAGAATGCTCTATGTGACCAATTGAGATCACTTATGTTTTGATCTGATTTGGAAACATCAATACATTTCCATGTAGTTGACATGTCCAGATAATATCCAAAATATCCAGTCTATCTTTAGTCTATCTTTAACTTGAATCCAATTCAAGTAACTGAAAGTAATTCAAATTGAATTAATGTATAACTTATTTCTTCAAACATGGAACATGATGCCAGAATAGTTACTGTAGATTATGTGAAACCAGTTGACTTATCTAATAAATCACAGTAAATGATGGTAGGCCTGGAAATTTCATTAAAAGACCACTTTGTATGTCATAATTGAAGACCACTGAAAATACGTCAAAGAAAAGTGATGTTTAATTGTCGTCAGCTGAGTCAGGAGAAATTATAGATTCTGAAAAAGTTGTTCTGTAATTCGTAATTCCTAAAATTGAAATTATTAACCATCTAAAATGCATCTAGTTGGCAAGAAGGCATTTATGTCAACATAGTGGAATAACGTTGAAATGACTGAATAATCGTTAAGCTGGGCCATTTTTGCAACGGTAAATTCAATACATTAAAAACAAACGTGATGGATATGGTTAGTGAGGAAATTTTAAGCACATGGTATCAATTTCTGGGCTTGAATTGATAATATTTAAGGATGGTAACAGATGATTTTGTGAAATCTCTTTGAATCTTATGACCAACTCAAGGAAGCACAAGTTGAAAGAAGGGTTGAACTTAAATTCATTAAACGATTATTACTCATCAATTAAACTGATTGTCTGTCAGGCGACAAGCATTGATTGATTGTCTGGAGTGATTGAAAAGCTGGACAAATTGTCAAAATTAAACATTTAACAATTAACAATAAAATTGAATTGTCATAAAAGTAACACGTAAATTGAAAGCAATACAATGGGGAAGCTTTTTTATTGGCTGTTTTTTACACTTGATTTTTTCCGCCAATTTTAGTTTAAGGCTTTTCCCCAAGGATAGCATTAAGCGAGTTTCATTACTGCCTTTACCCTTCATAACCATTGAATTTGTTTTTTGTTTTCTCAATTAAATATAAATTGTCATCAAATTAATGCTATTTTTATGTTTTTTTTGTTTTTCTGATTTAATTAAAGAGTGAAATGTGAAACTACTGATATAGTTGAGTCCAATTAATTAGTGAAATGCTGTTTATTTATGAGCAATCCTTCAAACTGTGTCAAAACTGGTGAACCAAAAGTGTGTAACCCTAAAGGAATGAACACTCAGAGAAGACCGCTATTCAATTAGAGTCTATTTTGATCGCTGTGATACATTGTTACATTATTGTTGGCCCACCATACCAAAACTAGATTTATTGGTCCACCGGGAGAATAAAAAATTGACAAATTATGGATAAACTCGTAAGCCTACTGAAAGTTCAAGGCTTAATCCTAATGGTAAATTGTCAGTATCCATTCATGCTCAACAGATTTTTGATAGAATTGATTCTATTACAATTTACCTTTGAGTTTTTCCACTCGAAGTGAGGAATCATTTGCTCTTTCTTTAGCTTTAAGACTTGAGTTGAGTTAAATGTTGAGTCAAGCAAAAATAAGTTCAATTCTATTGAATCTTCAATTGATCATTGAATTTGGTGAACTTGAAAGGGAATACGGTTTTCCATTACATTCAATTGGTAGGTGAAAATCATACCGATTCATCATGGTTTCTTATCTATTTATTTTGACTTTCCATGATGATGAGATAAAATAAATGCCGAGTTGGTTAACAATAGCTTCTAATGGTTTACAATTTTTATACTCCAGGCATTTTTCATTAGATTTTCAGCTCACAATTTTGTCATTTGTTCACTTGTCAAATTATATGCTCAAACCAAGTCTAATACTAATTTACATTTTCCTCTTCTATTGCAGAGTTTACAAAATTGGATTCATAAAAAATTCATACATTTTAGGAAAAACTATTCGTTATGGAATTCGTTATACTGGACTTCAAAACATTTAATGGACTAAGTTAATTTTGCCGAGAAAACATGAGATCAAATTTCATGACATTCACCCACAAAAATTGTCATTATTACATCCATCATCTTCCATGAGTTTCGGAAATCTATGGGTACAGATTGAAAAAAATATCTAACCAATGTTAATCAAAATCTTATCAATCTTATTCTCTTTTCTCGCAACTTTAACAGAAATTCTTGATTCAATGGATGAACGGATATCAAAAAAGCTCACCAAGACAAGAGGAGCATCTAAAAAAATGATACCACAAGCCACACATCATTGCCCTTTCAAGTTTATTTTTTTCAAAGCCATCTCCAGAAGCTGAAGCTGAAACCAAGCTATGCAGAGACCAATCTTGTTTGAAATCTGACTTCATAATTACCAGTGTCTGAATGGTAACAACAATTTTCATGTCAGTTTTAGTCAATCAGTTCTAATGGTCACTCTGCTCAAATACTCACCCTTTCATTTTGAGCTGGAAAGGAGGAAAAGCAACTCGAATCATACACATTGTATTTACCATTTCTTGAGAAAAAAAAGGTAATCGAATTGAGAGGGAACAGGAGCAGAAACCGTAGGAAAAGTTACTAATTTTGCGTTTCATCTATAATTATTTTCAGTTAATTCAAGGTATCCATTACTTTTGGTTCCAAGGAAAAGCAATCAACAACAATGTGTCTAAGACTACCATGGGGCTGTTAACGATCCCATTGCTTTCGTAATTGTGTTCATGGTGAAAATGAGTAACCTTGTAAGCTAGTTTCAACGAATAAGCTTCTGGTTTCAACACAAAAAAAGTTCTTATGTTATTGGGATCAAGAAAGGAAAGATGGGATTCTACTTGAATTGAAGCAAACACTTTTTTTGGAATAATGTTGATTGTTGCCTCTTTCACTTGATGTTTCCTTACCATTTCCAACTAAAGAAGTCACGTTGACAAAAGCAAGAGGAAAGTAAACAAAGCAAATGGATGTAAAAAAAGATGAAACAATAAGATGATTCAAATTAAATTGAATTTTACACTATTAAATTTGAGGCCCATTTAGTTCATCGTTTTCATGTTTGCTGAACACTTGAATGGCAAGTAATTTAAGACAACGACAACATCCGTTGGACAATCTGTTGAAGTTTCCCCAAGCCAGGCCCATTAATATACATTACATGGTTGCAATTTAGCTTGTCACATAAATTCATTAAGATGAAACCGTTAATCATGCTTCTTTGTATGTCACAACTTTAATAATCAACATTCGTAGATTATTCTGCTTCTGATCATTTCCTTTTTCCAAGTTCACATGGAATTGAGGAGAAATGTTGAAAGCAACAAATTAAGCAGATTTAATTGATACTTTACCCTTTATGGAGCCCTTTATTGTCAAATAAGATGTAACGGTTGTCTTTTGTATATTTACATTTAAGTGAATAATCAGGGAAAAAGTGAATAGGAAATGTTGATTAGATTACAAATATTGAAAGCTTCAAGATTTGAATTCCTTCTTCTTTCTTAACACTTGAGTAAAAGCTTATTCAGCTCAACCAGAATGATAAAATTTCAAATTTTATTTCAGTTTGTTTTTTCGTCTTTATTCCTCTATTCATCATCATTATCATCATTTCGGTTCATCATATTCTAAGTTGAGCTTTTCTCTTCTTTTTTTCACCACAACCAGAGCAACATTTTTGTGCAACATTAACCACATTTGTGCTTTAACAATGTTTTAAATCTGAATCGTAGGGTAAAAACACAAAAAAACGACTGAATTAACAAGAATGAACCAGGCAAATGCTCATTTTACGCTCAAGTAAACACATGGTTTTAGATACAAGATTTGACTAGATAAAATGCATTTTAACATTGGACCTTGATTGACACAATTAAGAGTGATTGTTCAATATTGTTCTGTTTCAAGTTTCAGGTTAAAACAGGTTGGATTTAAATTAAATTAAAATGAGTAAATGTTGTGATCTTGTAATGTTTACAAAAGGAATTACGGTTTTACTCGAATTATTATGGTTGAAGTGAAAATTGTGTTCAACTTTAAGGTTGAATAATGAATTTGTCTGGGTAAATATTAAACTGGAATTTATCCCAATTTAACTGTTAGTTTCGGTGCAACGAGTAAATATTTAGATTTATAAGAGGATTTACAAAAGATGGAAATTTTCTTTCAGTTAATCCAATAATTGGAGGTAAGATTAAGTAAATGATTAAGTAAATTATTGGTCTTCAAGTCTTGGGTTAATAAAACAAGAAAGAAAATCATTATTATAATAGACATGAAGGGTAAGCTTCATCAATCTGAATCGGATCATTAAGAGATTCACTTGATCATCATCACCATCATCATCACCACCATCAGCATCATCACCATAATCATCAATATCATCAAGTCAACAACCAAATTGGGTAAACTTGATGCTTGTTAGGTTTAGGTCAGTTATTACCACTACTTTTACTGCTTATTTCATGTACATGGTTATTTAAGAGTGAGTAAAATAAACTGTTGAAATTGATGAAGATAATGATGATGGCTATGAAGAGTTGTAATGAAATGTTGAATTTTTGCTGCCAAAATTGCTAACCATCCTGAAAATCAACAGCTTGATGGACGCGTTAAACTGTCTACCACTAATTGTTGAGTATAAAATTTGGTGAAAACCCGTGATCAACCTAATTATGCATGTAAACTTGAAGAGTTTCTTCCAATGTGCGTTACCATCTTTCTTGGTAGCTGTTGAATCAATGAAGGTTTTAGAAAGTAACTCATGACCAGTTCCATTTTACTGTTGAAATAATCTGGTTTTATCCAACAAAACGTTATGTTGACCATTATCATTACCATTTTTAGCATTACTAATGCTACTATTTTAGGTTGATGATGGAAGTAAGCAAAGCACAGGAAATCATGCTGGCAATCTTGAATTCGTTTCTCTTCTTCTTTGATATAAGGTTAACCCATAATCCTGGAAGATGGACACGCACTAAAAATTTTGTCAGATATCTCGGTCACAATAGGATAACAATATGAATAAAATGATAAATGAAAGGAAACAGAAATACATTTAACGAAGAAACTTCTAGAGTTGATGTCTAGAAATGTTAACAATAGGTTTGAAGGTATCCAAATAGATTCACAGGTGAAATCACAGAGGTTGGAACCAATTGATGAACATTATGTACTTGAACTCAAATGAACGTACGGGAAATCGATTCAATGTTGATAGATTACTAATTTTAATCAAATTTAGAGCACAATATTCACAATTTCAATATAGATTATCCAGTATTTTACGGGTACCATGCATATAGTTCTGTAAAGGTCTATGTAAAGGTTTTAGCTACTAAACAATAATGACTTACAATAGTATGACAATGAGAATGTACAGCCAAAGTGAATAAATATGAGTTATTAAATTGATTTAACTGGAACTTATGGTTAAATTTGATAAATCCAGATTCCAAATTTAGAGCTAAAATGCTTAGATTGTTCAAAATTGATTGTGTTATTTCTTTCTGTGGACAACCTTCATCGTATGTTGTCTTTCCAAATGCTTCATGAAATTGCATTTTTCTTGGGTAAGATATTCACATAAGCTGCAAGAAAACTTGGCATTGTAGGTCAACAGTTGATGTCGAGTAATGGTTTTAAAATCACCAGTTCTTGGGTTTTTACTAGCAAGACATTCTTGACAGCCACACTCATAAAAGTTAACACCAAGCTTGATCTTTTCCACATTGAGTTTGAACAAGAAACTTTCGTATTCCGTGTCATCCAGTTTTTTGCCATCAACAAGGTAATAGAAATAAACCTTTAGCTCGCCCTCTGGTCCATTGACAACCATTTCTAACAGTTCATTTTCGCTGTCTTCAGAGTTATGTAAAACCTCTGTCGTCTCATGTTTAATTTCATTTTTATGCTGATTTTCATCTTGACTTTCTAGTTGATTCACAAGTTGATTTGTACTTTGAGGTTCATGATTTTTTTCCCTCTGATCACCAGGTCCAGGTATGCTTTCATCTTTCTTATTGTTATTCCTTGAAATGAGAAACATGTGAAAGCATTTCATGAAAAACTGTTTGGGATCCGATTCCCCAACAGTTTCCGTAAGTAAAGCTGCAAATTCATTGAAATCAATGGGAATATTTGCAAAGTCCAAGAGTCGCTTTTGCTTGGTAGCTGAACGTCGAGTAATTCGGTGTGAATGGATAGCCGATAATGGTGATCGTTGATCACGCTGTTTAGATGTTGAAGCTACTGGTGATGGTTCCACTCTGCATCGTTTAACCATTGTAACAATAAATTAATAAAATTTTTTTTAAAATATACTGTTGATGACACGGTGAGAAAAACCTTCAAATATTGTAAGCTCTTTTTCACAGTTTAGGAACAAAAATTTTATAAAAAAACTCCAAGTCAACCACCGACCGTCAAAGGTTGATTAAAATATCACATTTAATTAAAAAAAGAATTGTAAAAGATTAAATTTACCAGCAAAAACCATCTTTCAAAAGAGATTCTTGAAAATGGTTTACAAAAAAAAACAAAGAAACTTATTTAGCCTTTGAACTTGTTTTGAAACCAATGGTGCCAATGGCTAACCAATGGGAGACTAGAAAGAAGGGAAAAAACGGTAGGGGAGGAAAAGTAAATGTCACCTTGGCAACTTGGGTAAATTGGGTAATTGGGTAAACCGGAGTTGGTCTTTGGTAAAAACTGGTTAATTAAAGGTTAATACAACGGAAATTTAAACGACTAGTTTGAGAGACTATCATTTTTACATTTATTTTAACGTTAATTGTTATTATTTCTTGAAACATTTTTGTGATTAGGTTGCCATTTTAACCGTTGGTTAAATATTATGATCCGAATACGTTTGAAACGCTGTCGACAATAAAAGGTTAACCAGGAAAATCACCTTCGTAAGTAAAATATCATTTTTCGTTCGTTTTTTTTCTGTACCTCTGAGTTTTGGTTGCAAAATTTATTTTTTTTGCCTTAATTCAATCTTTTACAGTATGTTGCTCTTTCATCTGCATCTCATCTTAATCTATTTTTTGGCTTAATAGCTCAATTTTTTTCAAATTTTGATACAATAAGAAGCTCTTTACTTCCTGTGAAACAATCTCTTTTAAACAGGTTACCAAAATATAAATCAATTTGATTGGGTTCAATAAATTGGACAACTTTTTGTGATACCTGATACCTATTTCGTCTTGTTTTTTTGCGCCCTTTATGGAGAGAAAACCATCAAAAAATCAATATACACCATCTTCGCCGAGTCAAAGTTTGCCAAATTTTCTTCGCTTCATGTCATTTTTACTGCTAAAGCTCTTACTAACTTTTTCATCTGCTTTATTTTTTTTGAATTTGTTCATCTTCAATGAGCCATAAACCTCATACGATTGGACGCGGTTTTTCAATGTGTACTACTTAAGTAAGTAAAACCGATATTTTATTTACAACTAGAGTTGATGTATGCTCATTTCGCCTTGTATCGTATCACCATGTATTGTTTATGTTCATTCAATATGTTGTCCGATCGATACAATAGTGAATAGAATAATCTATCAATGATCATTTTCACCATTCTTATGGTACACTTTTGTCTTTCATTCTAACTGTTTGCTTTTTCTTTGTTATTTACTTCAGGCACCGATAAGCAAACAATATTATTAAGTAATTTTCGTTGATGATAAACAGTGTAAATAGACTTGCTGGTGTTAATCGTTTGTAATTACCCGAGTATATAAGCTGTTAACAATGGCGATAGAGGACCATAACTCACCAAATGATTGGCCAGCCTTCATCTCACTTTAATCAAACATAATTACTAAATTTCAGGAATTTAAAAACTTAACGGTTAAGTGATTACACCTGAATCATCATCGATTGTGACCCAAGCATAACCCTGAATCACCTAAATCATCTAAATTGAAGTTATCAAGATATTATTAAGATGAATGGCCGTTAGTCGAACAAATGAAGCCAAGTATTCCAACCTGATTCGATTATACAATATTTAGAACCTGAAAACTGATGATTAAGTCAAAGGCTTGAGATGCGATTAACCTGTTTTTTATCAAGTTTGATTTCTGCGAAAACATCTGTACTTTTGGAGGAACCATGTAAAAAATGGAGGATAAAGAGGATTGGAAAAGATGAAACTGAAAACAGCTCAAAATTTTGTTTATAATGGTGATGGTAGCAGAAAAACATGATGAAAAAGAAGTTTTTAAGCGGATAATGATACTAATGATAAAGATGCTGATGAAAAACAAAAAAAAAAACGGTGAATAGAAGGATAAAAGATTGATGGGTTTGTTATCAAAAGCAAAGAAAAAAAAGAGGAACCTTAAAAGCCGATTATTCACATCTTATTTTTTTCTAAATGGTTCGTTAATCAACCAAATGCTATTCAAATCATCGTTAATGCCTTTAATCAACTTAAACTAATTGTTGGGTTAGCAGGAGGAAAAAGAGAAAGTTTTCCCCTCTTTTCATCTCATTGGTTTTTCGTTGTATCAAATACCAATTTTACCTGACAATATTCAACAGCAATAAGGAGACAATTGGGTCAAAAATAGTGCATATTAACCAAACTAATTAAACATTTAGTTTAACCAGTTTTTTTGGTATCCACTTTCTCATCGTTAACATTCACTGGTAATGTATATTTACAGTAATGTGATAAAACCAACTCTCATCAATATTGTTGCTAATAATTAGCACTTTGTAGGTGAATTTACAGAAAAAAGTATCTTATTATTACATAAACACTGTTAACCCAATTTGAGATCAAATGATGGACGGAAACTTTCAAGATCAAGGCCAATTGTTCAATTTAAATTTTCTCACTGCAATAGATTAAAGCCTTAGCGAACAGACGAATCAGGCTAATTGGAGTTTCACTTCAATATTTGACATAAATGATAGTTTCGGTTTTCATCCGGCTTTCATTATTAGATTAATTGATTACTATTTGTAACATTTTAACTTGAACTTGAAACATTGGTCGATAAAGCTATTTTCGTTCATTGGTTAGCCAAGAAAATTGCTGTTTATTTCAAATCTTTCAAGTTTCAATCATAAATTCACAGAGAAATTTTCGAATCGATTTGATTCCAAAGTCAACTTGAAAAACAATCAAAATGCAACTCTAATGTTTACCATATTATTAATAGTTTCAATTTTCACCACAGATGCAAACATTGAAACAATCGAAGTAATTGAAGATGAAAAAGATGAATTTGCCAAACAAAACAATTGATGAAAATATTCATGGTTGAGAAAAGGCTTATTTCATTATTATCATTATAATGTTTCGCACCGTAAACCTGATCAAATAACGATTATAATGAAATAATAGAAATGCGATTAAATTTAAACCAACATGAAAGGTAAATTTGATTGGTAATATAAATAGTAAATTAATGAAGCGTTTAGATAAAAGTTGGTTAAAGGCTCCAAAGGATAAAATGAATGGCAACGATGAAACTGATGATGAAAATGAAGCTCATGGAAAGGATGGCAAAAAAAAGGTTAATATAAAGAAGGAAGTGAATGAGATTTTCATTGCTAACCTGACAGAAGATTTGACAATCAAGATGATGGCTGATGATGAAAATAATGATGATTTAGTGAAAAGGTAATGATAACAATAATAATAATGATATGGTGAAAAAAAGAGTCTTTTCAATGGTTCAGTAGAATCATTTCAAGATGAAACTTTTTCTCCTCAGTTTTGTATCCATGCTTTTTTTATCCTCCAATGCAAAAGTTAAGTTCAAGTTTAAATTGCAACAAAAGTACAGTCAACATTTACTTAGATTTCAGTTTGATGATAATTTCACTGAAACCAAGTAAACGGTGAAAAGACTCATTCTTTTGTCCCTTTTGTTGCTTGAAATATATATTTTCATCGATTGTTGTTTACGAATGGTTCATCATTATCATGAATGTTAATCACAATGATGACAATTTAACGTTCATTTTCTTACCTCAAAGTAAATGGTTTTACTTGGTTTACTTTGCTTAACAGTTACATTAACATTGACAAAAAGCTAAATGAAATTACGTTCATCTTTCTATTATTAACTATCACTAACTGAATCAACTTATTGTAACTCTTTTTACCTTTTTTTCAGCTTCATTTCAATACAATTGAATTTTAAATTTCATTTGGTATTAAATTCAAAGACAAACGTTATTGTATTGAAATGGCGATCCAGTTGCATGTAAGGCTCAAGAGCATTTATGCACCATTGACCTGTTTTATTAATTTGTAAGAGAAGAGAAAACCTTTTTTCTTCTTCAAAACATTCCATTATTCAATTTAATTCAATTTAACATGGTTATCAGCATGTTTCATGATTCAGACAAGCTAACCAAAAGTCAGGAAGCGATGAGACGCACAATGTTTGCATTAAACATTGAATGACAATTATTGCCTTTCCAAAGGCCTTTCATGAGTGTAAAAATATTTGTAATTAACAGCATTCAGGATAAATTAGTTGATAAATTGGAGTTGGATTCAAATTAAAAGCTTGAAAGGTTCAAAGCAACAGATGATTGGACTTGAAGTGAAACCCAATTTTGAGCTTACCTTTAATGGGTATCGAGGTTCAATGTATGTTACATGTCCTTGTGTATATGAAATGGCACTTAAGATTAACAGGTAAAGTCTCCAGAAGAGAGGGTATTTCATGATAAATATGAGGTGAAATCTGGTTAAACTTGTAATTGGTGAATGTGTAACAATGAAACCAAATTAAACCAGAATCATGGTTAAAGGTTTTGAATGTAATCCAGGCATTTACCAGCAATGAAGAGTTTAAATGTAAATGGATAAAGCAGACACAATGTAAATATTGAAAGACTTTTATTAGAGGAAACTATTTACTGATTAACAATTAATTATGATTGTTAATTTTGTTTCCTTGACTTTTACTTTACTCGTTGAACAGTTGAACAGTTATCCTAATATCATCTTGAAATTGATACACAATTCTGTTGAATGATTTGCTGAAACTGATGATTGTTTAAATGTTTGTATATTTTCGTGTGTTTGTTGTGCGATCAAATAACGGATCGAGTTAAGCAATCAACTGTACAATTGTAGTGATCTGTCAATTTGAAAACTAATTTTATCTCGTCAACAGGTTTGAACAGCAAGCAAAAAAGAGTTTGAAAATGAAGGCTCAAAATTGTGCTCAACTTCACCGCTGAACGCTTCATCATCCCATCATCATGGTTCCCTTTATCTCGTCTCACTCGGTTCCCTCTCTCACCTCTCTTTGCCCGCCTCTCAATCCTCCCCTTTACCTTGTAGCCCGTCATATCGTTTCACATCATCATCACCATCAACACCAACAATGTTTACCTCTGTTCCTTGACAGGTTCATTGAAGGTAAAATTCATTGACAACCCAATCAGTCGGTCACACCAAACTATTGTTATTATAAATCAAATCATATCAAAAACTGAGAAAAGAAGAAAAAATTTTACTCTTTATTATTGCTCTCATCATGTTTACAACGGATGCCAATCATTTTGAATATTATTTTATACAATTTACTCATTGTAATTAAGCGACAACAAAAGCCGTTTACATAAAATTTGTACATAAAAGGAAATGATTGTAATAATTTGTGTAAAAAACATTCCAAATGCTTAATTGAAGCTGAATTTCCAGAAATTCTATTATTGAATCTTTCTGAGTTACGATTAAATCTAATTTTTGTAGTAAAATCTAAATCTAACTTACTAACTACTTCCTTTTGTTGTTAACTGGAAAACTCGTAAACTGATGTAACTCCGAGAAATTAAAATAACTCAACATTCCAAGTCATTCCTGAATCATCTAGACAACAGTAAAGACTGAAGTTTCTGGAATCATTTGAGTTCTTAAGTTTACTCGGGAGTTTATCGTATAGAAGCTCTTTGAAGTGAACGAAAATCCATCGAAAAATAAGATTCAGATTCGGGTGACTGATGGCAATTTGAAATCTAAAGGAAGGCTACGAACGAAAGAAAGATTTTTTGTTTTTTTTGTATCGAAATTTCTTGTTGTATAACAGATCAGTCAAAAACTATTGTAATGTGAACATTTTGTAAAAGTTTTTTATTTTCGAAAAAAGTTGTTCGAAAATTGTATTCATGATAATTAAAGTTGTAGATGGATCTTTTGTGAACAAATAAACTGATTAAATTGATATTTGTTTGTTTCTTATTTTCATTTTACTTTGAATGAAAGGTAATGAAAAAAGGAAAGAGTTTGATTCGAAGTTGAAACAAATTGATTATTAATTTTCAGGTTATCATTAGCTTTTGGGTGAACCTGAAAAGAAAAGCAACTTTTCTCTCTCGCTATTCAATGATTCACTGATTATTCTGTTATGATAACATTTCTTTTGGTTCCCAATGGTCATTAATCATTTCAACGTTTTTCTTTCCTCTTTTATTCGACTTTACTCATGTCTTTATCCAATTTCATCAATTCATCTGATTCCCTATGAATTCAAATAAGTTGCAGTTCATCTTTTATCCGTAACTTCACTCTCTTTATTTCGTCCCTTGTTTTGCCTTATGTCTGACATTTCTCGAATCGTTTGTCATAACAACATGAGATCCGACTTTATTCATACCATAAGTTCATTCCTTAATCTGAGCAAGTTCAAGAGTTTATTGAGAAAAGAAGAAAAGAACAAGAAAAAGCAAAGAATAAAGAATCTCGTATTGAATTCTGAATACTTCCCAAGAACTAAAATCATAATTATTTGATTAGAAATGAAGAGAAGAAAAAAATTCAATAAAATATTAGCAAAATTAGTTGGAATTGCACGATTTGCACGATTTATGGATTTATCAGAGATTTAATGAAATGTTCTCAAGCTTATTTGCTCATTGTATCAGAGGATCGAATCAAGAACTGAATCCGAGTAAATAACTGGCAATCGAGTTTATTATTAGAAACATTTGATAATCTGATTCTTGAAGTTGCATCAACTTGAGAGCTAAAGAAAATCTGATGCAATGGAAACTTTTTCTTCTTTTTTCCATGAAATTCTGGTCTCTTTTTTCATCCAGATTTTGTTGCATTTAAAGAGCATAAAGTGATCTTGCAAAGTTGAAAAGGTAGGTAAACATAGACAAGTTGAGTGGCTATTTTATTTAACCACTGATCTTGAGTTTGAACGAGTTTAGGCTAATGAAAAATCTGTGTTTATTCTGGAGTAAAAGGTACAAGACTTTGCATGAGAATCAGAATTGTTTATTCAAAAGATTCAGATTAAGTTGAAAGGTAAAAACAAAACAAACTTGGAGTTGAATGAAGTTATCAAGTTAATGAGAGATTCTGTGTAAAGTCAAGAATCGAAAGTAAAGGTTGAATCAGAGTTTGAGTCAAGCAAGGTCAAGATTTGGTGAAAACTTCACTTAGCAGAATTATTGTTCAATTGAATTCTGAAGCCTTAAAGAGCAGCTAAATGATTGAATTTCTAGAAATAATTTCATTTCGAATCAAAACTCGAATCAAAGTTGTTCCATCATAAATGAAATTTCAGTAAAAGCGAATTGAATTTATGAAAAGGAACTGAAAAGTTGTCATTTTAAAAGTTCTTAAAAGCTCTAAAAGTAAAACCTTTTATTGAATAATGAATTTACGATGAAAAATGTTCTCAAATCTAATTGTAATTAAAGATTCAAATGATGAATGAAATGAAATTTCAAGTTGAATTAATGAGATATTTATTAAGATAAGTTTGGATTCTTTTTGTTAATAATTCATTTGTTCATTAAAGTTAATTTTAGACAGAATTTTATTTTAAATTAAACTCTTGAAAACTGTTCTCTAATTATCTTAGCTTAGTCCATAGCGAATGGCTTTGTTATTATACGAGATTCCTCGTCTCTCAGCCAGTTCCATCAGAAGTCGAGCAATGTCACCAGCCTTCATGGATTCGGGAAACTTTTTCAATTTGGTTCCTCTGTATCTTGATCTATCCATTGATCCACTCCTCAATCTTCGAGGTTTACTCGACTTTGCTCTTTTACCAACATTAACTAGATCAGGTAACAGTGCCAGGGATTCATGGAAATGAATCTCATCCGGATCACTTTGATCCAATGAGAAGCCATTGTTGAATATGTACTGCTGTTCAAGACCAAGTTTGTCATCTAAAAGTACAACAAGAAATGAAATTTCGAACCGCAAAAGTTTAAGTAAAGCAAATTCATGTTCAAATAAAATTATTTGTTCAACTTCTTGTTTCTTTTTAATGCAAATAAAGTTAAAAATGAAGATTCTTCACAGTTCTAGACAAACTAACTGTTCTACAGTTCTAACTAATTGAACTAAAATTGATTGAGTTCGAAAACGAGAAGAGTTACTAAGTTACTACTTTATTAGTTTTGGTTTGGTTAGTTTTAGTTGCAATAAGATTTTGTCTAAACATTTCGAGAAGCTGACTAAACATTACGGGAACTTGTCTAAAGTCATCGACAAATGCTTTAATATCTTTTCTTGGTACAATTTGTTTTCTCGTTCATTTCTCGTTTACCTTAAATTTCGTTATATTTATTATTCGAGACCTTGTCAAGTAAACATGGAAACGTTTAAAACGCTGCAAACTTAAATGCGGATCATTCTTTGTTGAAAAGTGATCGATCGAGAAATGCTGTAACTCTAAAGTACAAAAGCACTAAAAGCATTTATAAAACTCTTCTAACGTTGATGACACTCACATAAATTTTCAACTCAAAGACTCGACTAATTAAAGATTGAAACAATAGACAATAACAATAGACTCAAAGTGAACAAATTCAAGTCCAAGATTACATACGAAATTGGTAGTTGAAGCTTTCAAAACTGTATATTCTTGGATCAAAAGTATATATTAGACTCAATCCAGTTCAATATTGTTTCCAATAAACTTGGATGCAAACTTGAAACAAGCATAACTGTAGACGAACCATTTTGTAACCCAAAATTAAGGAAAAAGCATTCACTTACCCAGATCAACAGTCTCAGCAATGGTGTGAGTGCATTCAAGAATTTGATAGAAAACAAGAGCAAATTGAAATATTACAAACGAGCTTAAAAAGTGCAGAGCCATTCAACAAAATTCAATTTACAACTTGAAATACAATTTGTTTACTGTTGAAAGTTGCACTTAAAAACAATGGAAAGCAGCTTTTTATTCACCAAATGAACCTTTTAACCAATTTGAATGAAAAACTGAATTTAAAACCAGATTAAAAAGCAACTTGAAAATGGTTGAAGGAAAAAATTGCTCACCAAATTTGTTCGCAGCCTTCGAGTTTCCAGAATATCTTTGTTATACATTATTTGTCCAAAAAATGAGACAAAAAGCATCGAACGAAACTTTATTAATATTTCTTATTGGCCTTTATCCTTTTCATATCAGCGCATGGGTTTGCACCTTTAACCCAAACGGTCAGTGTAATTGCGTTTAGATGTTCAATATTTTTTTCATCAAAACTGCAACTTTGAGCAACAAAAAAGAACAAGAAAAGGTCCAAAAATATTTTCTTTGTTTCACTCAAAAGTAAACTTAATCATTTCTTGGATTGCCTTTTTATTTAATATTAGTTCTTGTGTCATCTCTTGATTATCAATGAACTTTTAGCCTTTACCTGCAACCAAACAATCAGAACAAACAAGGTCTAAATGAGAATGGTTAGTCTTTTCGGATAAATACAAAAATACAATTTCCAATTGCATTTTCAGGTAAACACTGAAAAAAATAGAAACCAGCAAAAATAATTAAACCCCGAAAAAATTCAATATTTACTCTGGTAATTGGACACATTAATATTGCAATCGAAATTAACATTTCAATGTTTACCTTTGCGAACTGACTTCAACAACATTACAAAATGAAATGAATTTTGTGCCGAAAAATGTTCAATTGTGTAAATTGTTGAGATTTTGTCTAAAATTAAATTACCAACAAAAATCAAAGCAATGGTCAATGAAATTTATTGTGTCCATTAAAGATCTTTGTTCAATTGTTGGCTTTAATGACATTAAATAACTGTTCAATTGACTAAAAGCAAAAATTGAATCACGAAAACCTGACTTGAATTGGAAAATGAACTTAAAGGTCTTTCAGTTTTCGAGTTTAAATCACTGATTCTGATGAGTAAATTGAACAACCTTTTAAGCATCAAGTAATTTGAATATTGTTTTGGTAACTTGATTTGCATTTTAAAAGAAATTGAAAAACGAAAAGAATATGCTTTTGCTTAAAATGTTTATTTTTGTACGTAATAATGTTGATATTTACATGTAAACAGGTGGAAGACACATTTAGATACATCTTTTTTAGCTATTATTTTGCAAATATTGATCAATAACAATCTATTTTGTTTGTTCGAGAAATTAATTGATCATTTTAGGACAATTACTCTTTTTTTTCTAATAAACAACTTTTCGTCTTTGCTCTAACATTGATGCTTATGCACTTTACATGGATTTAGTTTGGGTTTGTTTGAACAGTTACTGGTTCAATATCAACACTGGGACGGTATCAGCTTCGTTGAAATGTGATTGATTGTGGTTACTTGTGGTGTTTCCGTGGCATTTGTTGGTCCAAGGAGTATAGATCGAGCTGGTGAACAGTAACGTCGATAGCAAATACGTAGTAAAACAATGATCGTGAGAACAGCAATCATCTGAGCAACAGGAAGTATAACAACCAGAATTACTCCAAGTGTATCTGTTTCTTCATTTTCATTGTAACGACGATGAGGTCCTTTGGCTCCTGTTGAGCAAATGAACAAAAGCATTATCATTTCATGGGATTGTCAGTTTTGCAAGTTTCAAACTTCCATTCCTACACAGTTTGACAAACCAGGCAAGAGAAACAGAAAGGTCAGCAAGCTTTCCAGTTGAATATCAATGAATTTAATGTTGTCCAAAGCAAATGCTGCATAGCCAAAATCATTTACTTTTTGAATGGTTAAGCCCAGGTTTAAGTATATCAAACTTTTGCAATTCATTATATGATGCTGTTTATTAGTCTTTTGATTTGTTACTTTCATTAAGATCTCACTTCTTGTGAAGTAATTAAGTGTCTGTTGACGGTCATATAACAGATGTTCAGCATTTCACAATCGATTCATTTCTCAGTTCATTCTGAAGCAATTTCAAGCAAAAACTTAACTTGCAAAACATTTTGCAGTCGAAATTTGCTTCTCTCTAAAAATGCTCAATCGAACCTTGTTTTGAGCTTTGAAATTCATTTCAAGATTTGAAGATTGACTAAAATGGAAGGGCATTTCTTGCATGGATTTGTTTGTACTAAATGATTTTCACTTAATGACATCTGAATACATCATGAAATATCATACAATATTGTAAAACAAACTTAAATAGTATGCTCAAGTTTAATGGAATGGTCAAGTAAATTTTGGATTCTGTTCGTCTATCATTTGTTTTTGAAAGACTTTATTAATTCTGAGATTATATGAAAAAATATTGATTTGCGGTCAATATTTATATTATAATCATCTTTCCGATTGAACCTGGTTTTACTACGCAATAAAGTTTCTTTCATTTTCCAGATTGGGAATGAAATGTTGCTTTTTTGCACTTTCAAATGATCTTAATGGTCAAACATCTATTTACAGTTTGCAAGCTTTTCAATCGAGCAATTGACTTGCATGATTTACAGTTATTTGGATAATAAATTGCATATTGATTTCACATTTTTGCTGAACCAACACTAATCAAATAACAGTAATCAACTTATCAACGTCAACTTTACTGACTTCACTCCAATCCCTAGACAATGTTTAATGATAAATTGATGCTCAAATTATTAAATGGATATTCATGTCACCATAAACTTGACTTTGTCTAATTATATTATCTGAAATCAACAATGAAATGGTAAAAAAACTGACATGAACAAACAGATTTTTCCTCTTCAAGATAACCAATTAACCATCGTTTATTGAGCCTTCAATACTTCAGAGATGATGAACAAAAAAAGGTAAACCTTAAAATCATAGCTTCCAAAGGATAACTCAAGCTAAAGATGAAAGAACAAAAAGGAGAAGAAAAAAAAGGAAAATTTTGTCGAAATGAACTGATCTTTCAGAGTGTCACTTATTTTGTCATGAAATGTTGACAAAAGCATATTATTAACGTCAAGTGAGATTCAAAGAGCTTAAGCAGCCTTTTTCACAGAGAGTTGATTATACTGGTTTTATAAGAGCATCAGAAGCAAAATGCAATATTCATAAATCAATAGAATCTCACCTTTTTTCATATTATCATTCATGATCATGTTCACTGGTGAAACTGATTACAATATATTAATAGCATTTTCATCTTTTAATCTTCTTGTTTAGCTTGAAATTCAGTTTGATCCTTGAATTAGAAAAAAATTGGAAGGAAAACTGTTGATATCACTCAATTAATTTCAGATTTTGCTCAATATAATTATCAAAAGAATATTTGCTTTTTGGGGGAAAATTTCTATTGTAATTTATTTTCATCATCATGGGATTAGACTCATGGATAACATTAAGAGAATGGAAAGCATTTGACTGAAAATAAGAAGAAACAGATAAACTGATTTCATTCCCTGTATTGCATTTATCAAACAAGAAATCATCTTGTCTTTGCTTAAAGGTATTGATAATATCATTACAATTGATTCAGTTTATTATTGTTGACCTTATTTCCTGTGAATGTTGATTCAGTCAAATGTATATCAGGCAAATATCTAATGTAAACCTGCAAGAAACAGAGCAACATGATGATCATGAGCCTATGAAAGTACAGATTATGGTTAAGGACATAATTTACTTTCAAATGTAATACTTTCTTGTTGTTTGTAAAAAAGCAAGAAATTGAACCTGAAAGTTGCAAATCTTTTCGTTCAAAGATTTTTATCCTCTTTTTTACTCAAATTTCATCATGAAGAAATTGTATTTGATGGGAAATTTCATGATTAATCTATAAAGATGAATGGAAGATTCTAATCTAGTAAACCTGATCTCGACTTATATTGCCAATTGTTTCAAATAATGTTACTCGAATGCAATCATGAACGTGAAACTCAGATTGCTTTTCATTTGATACTTTGATTACTCCTGGCTTTTCCAGTTCAATCTTTTAATAACTTCTAAATGTTCAATTTTGCTGAACAAAATATATCAAAACAAGATTATCTAAACAGCTTCAATGTCATTCGATAAAAGATAATCGAAACAAAAGTAAATATGCTTCGAAGTCAGAAATCACAATGGCTGAATACAATTCCGTTCGCGTCTTCAGAAAGTGGTTTTTCGTCTTTACATAGAGAAAGCAAAATCTTTTTTTGAAAATCACAACTTTTCCGATTCGTCAAACTTTTGGTCGTCAGCATTCTTTAAACGTCAAAAGTTCGAAATCTTGTATGAGATTTTGAATTCTTTTTATAGAATTGAATGTTCTCTATAGACTAACAATCAATTTTCTTGATTTAAACTAACTGAATCTGGCACTGTTCTTTCATGTTCTTTTCTACTCTTCACCAGAAAGTATTCAATTATTTAGAATCGAAATTTTGCAATTTTTCTGTTTGTTTGAAAAAAAGTTGAAGCATTTTCTTTAGCTTTGAGACAATCTTTACTTTTTCATGTTCAAAATTAGCATTCATCATTCATTCACATCGCTTGCAATTTCATCAAACGTCAAACATTTTCTGATGAAAAACTTTGATGTTCATTTCTATGAATATTTAAATCATCATGAATAACCTTTGATATATACCGTTAATATCCTTTGATGGGGATAAATGTGAATATTTAAGGTTTGACTTTCAAGTTCAAGAAATGCAAGTGAAAAGTATCATTGCTAAGCTTCTTTGTGTTGGCTTTCGAAACTTAAGTGTTGCAAGTTGAGTAAAATCAGTCTAAAGTTAAAGTTAAAACCTTTTATATATTTTGCTACTTTTTTCTCGTCACAAAATGCAGTTTATCATGAAACTCGAGATTGAATAAAGTGAAAGATTTTGTTTCTTTTAAAAGTGTTTTCGTTTGTCTTTATGTTCATGTTGAGCTTTGAATCATTGATATTTGAATACTATTTTCATTCCTTTTGCTCTCATCAAGTTTTCATGAAATTTGATAGTTGACTTGCTTCTTGTTTTCTGGTTTGTCGTACATTCCCAACCTTTCCAACTGCCAAATTAATCATTATCAATCTGAGTATTTCACAATTCATGGAAACTTACCGCCTGAGCCTCTGGTGATTGCTCCTCCTCGGCATGAGACTTGGTCAATTGATGAATAAAATATAAATATTATAGTCAATAAAGGTGCAATTGGTACCCATAGTTGGTTGGAAAACAATAATCCAGGTTTAATTTGATGCAAGGGCAACACTTTTGATGGAAAAGTTGATGAATCTGATGATGAAAATGAATATGAAGATGAGCCATTTAATGGCATTTTAAACTGTCGATATCAATTTTACTTTTAATCGGTAATCCAACATTTATGAACATTCATCATGAAATGAAAAGTGAATCAACATTTTGTTCCTTTGTGATTTACTGTTATCATATGAAAAATAAATTCACTCCCAGTTGGATGGTTAAACAACTTTCAATAAATGTTACTTGTTGATGTTGACTTGGTTCATCCATACTTTGTTTTTCAATAATATTTGCGATTGGAATGAAAAATGTTTATCGGTTATTCATTATTAAACTATTTTCAACATGTCCATTCTTAGCCATTTCAACTGATTATGGTTATCATACAAGTTTTCAGTTCTTGGGTAGACTCTAAGCTATGCTGGTTAACTATTGAAATATTAAACATTTCTCGTTCAACACTGAATGCTTGAGGGAATGCGCATTCAAAATGTTCATTAGATAATTCTGCTAACGCACTCTCATGCCATCTGATTGTATAAAAGAGAACAAGATTTTGGCCATGAATCTGCTGGTTTTTGAAATGTCATCATGTATTGTGCTTTTGAAAATTTATTTTCTGTGTAATTTTTGATTTTTTCATCGGTATGATTTTTGAACATTCAATCTCTATGCAGAGCAATGCAAAGTCATTTACATGATCTTCACTTTAATATTCTATGAAAAAATCCGTGTTACCGTGGGATTTTGACCCTGGATGACTATTTACTATAAGTTTTCAAAACACTAACTACGAGGTATGGCGAGATACGATATCATTAAGGCATTGGATTCGCATCATTATTTTGAATCATATGAGCTTTATACTCTGATTTTATCATCAAAATTGCGAAATTTATTTATGATAACCTGTGTGGATAAATTATGGGACTTTTTATAATGTATTTGTATGGGTAAAAGTCCCATAATTTATCCACACAGGTTACATATTGAATGAACTCGAAGTTATTTTTATTAATACGATGGGATAATCAATTGAATTTTATTTGGTGATACAAAAGCTAATTGTGTATCGCCATTGAACGAAATGCCAGTCCATACCATCAAACTTCCACCTCCGAATTGTCTCTTAGAAAAGTTCTCTTCGTCCTTCCGAATGTCACTCCAATAATAATACTAGCCATCCGGTGCATCCAAATTTCCGACTTTCAGAATTTTTCAATTGAAAATAAATAATCAAATGTTTAATACTAGGTCAGCCGTGAAGCGGTGTAGTCTGAGCTTGCGATTTATTGTGTAATAATCAAATTTTAGCGAATGAAATAAATATATCTTGTATGAAAATACTTTATTGTAAATTATCAAAAAATAAAATCAGTTTGTCAGTTTCAATCAATTAGGTATTAACAGGTATTAGTCTAATATTGAAATTTCAGAAATCGCAGAATTTCAGAGAGATTTTCGAAGAAATCTTGTTCTAGGACCCATCATGTTACATTGGAATATAGCATCTATCCGACTCTTCTCAAATGGATGAATAAGTATTAGCCCTTCGAGCGTCTTAACTCTACTGAGTGCGACATAAGTTAATCCTAATGTTTTTTCAGTCTCACTTATATCTACAACAGCTTATTCGAGTGTGAGTCCTAAAGCTTTATGTGCTGTGATAGCATGTGCAACCGCTTAAGGAAATTGAGTACGTATAACCCTATCTTCCCCTACTTTCCATGATCTTTTTAATGGTGTCATTGGTCCATACCCATCATATGTATGGCCATTATATAACTCAACCATAATTGCCACTGGCAATGAGGTTGGCCTTGCACGCTTTGAGTTGTTCGATAAAAATGTACTTTCACGCTGATTTGATGAATGTTCTAGTTTAAAATGGTAAAATAAGCTTGCTAAAGATGACTGAGTGGCTTTAAAACACGTTGTAAACTTACTTTTCAAAGTAGTGAAAATCACAAAAAATTGGTTTGCTATGAAAAATGTGCTTTAGCATCGTTCTCCTTTCAGAATTTTTTGTGCTTAGTGTCATCTACCGAGAAAGTTTGAGTGAAATATTTAGTGGTTTAGAAGATATAGCTTACGAAAGATTGTGACCTTTGTCATTTTTTCAGCAAGGGTAAGTCTGAGCGAAGCGAAGACTAGCAGTTGTTGATATACTCATCTAAAGTTATTCACTTTTTTCCAAAATTTTTTTGGGTCAACTTAAACATCGTGTTTCTAGGATTTTCATACTTGTTTTGTTTTTAATTCCCCTAAAACAACCATTCTCAACAATATACAACATTTCCGGAAGCAAAAAACATCAAAAACTTCATCATTTTATTTTTAAACCTTTTTTGGGTCAACTTGAGCATCGCCACTCTTTTTCCACACAAATTGCATTTTTTCCATTGTATATTTGCAAAAGTTCTGTCAAAGTTTTTGGCAACCCAAATAGAAGGATACAACTCTAATGCAGGTGCATATAGTGGATCTGGTACTCTTGGTAAATTGAAAGACTCATTCAAATCATCTTCATGAAAAGATGTGTTAGGAAACTGGTCCTAACCAGTTTTTTTGTTGTGTTGTAACTACTGTTGTACCTACCTACTTGAGGTAGGGAAAGGCCACAATTGGTCGGATTTTCGTGGGTCGGCGATTATTCGAAGCAGAAGATTTTCTCCCTCAGATAGCATAAAATGGCTGACAATCTCTTTGTTTGAGGTCATTTTAGGACCCCGCGGAAGCTCTGGTCAAGTTAACTGTGAATTGACTGTTGTGGAAATATGTACATTGTTAAATTGATAGATAACCAAGTTTATCCTAAAGGTGATTTACAATTTGTTATGATTTGACTCACCAAATGAACTAACTGACTAGATGGTATATTGACTAGAATTGTGAACTGGTGAATCTCATCTAATAACTCAACTAAAACTGTGCAACTGGAGGTGAATCTCATCTAAGAAATCAGCCATACCTTTCAACTGGAGGTGCATCTCAACATCTTGGTGCAAACAAAACCTCACCGTTGAGACCCTTAAGTGTACCTTCTGATTGACCTCAACTTAAAGCTGACATCTGCTCTCCTAAAAATTTCCACTCATTCTGTGTTAACCGCAAAATAAAAATTAAACTGATTATTATCTTATATGTATAACCCCATTTGTAATAAATATCAACACACATTTTAGGGCCAAATTCGATTCCACCATTTTACCTACAGATGTATTATTTTGTGTAATCAACCTTAAATTTCACATTCTCAAACTGTATTTACTTGTGGTAATTCTGCATCTGCAAATGATTCATGAAAAACTGGTCTTGGCTCAACAGGGGTTGTTCAATAATCATATCGTCAGATGATGTATCTTGCACGAGTTGCCTAAGAAAATCAGAAAAACGAGTCTGAATTAGAGGTCTGACATTTGATGGACCTGCGGCTTGACTACATCTTATTGTTGGAAGATCGGGCTCATCAATTTCAGAAGAGTCAGAACTCTCCTGTTGTGACAAAATTTTCTCAGCTCTAGCTGCACAGTGTGCCAGAGTGGGCTGCTTGTAGTCTACTAGCTACATGCAACGTAATAAAATAATATTTATCATTCAATACTCACATTCTACTCGGCTTTCGAGCAAAAATCTGTCTTACTGGAGAAACAGTCAAGCGATTATTGCCATGATGGAGTATCATGTCGAGCCACCGGACAGCACATCTTAGAGCTGGAGTTAAATTGGAGTTGCAACACTTTGCCGAATTATAGTTGATGAACATTCCGTGATGATATTTGCTGAGTATTTCCTGACAATTGAATTGTGATTCCTGTTGCACTAGCCGCACATGATGATCGAGCATGTGATGGAGTTACCAAATTTAAAGTTGGCGCACTAACAAAAAGTCCTGTTTGTGCAGTTATTGTTAATAGAGGTAATGAAAGGGGTAACTGAGGTGGAGGAGAAGATGAAATACAGAACTTTTGACGTTTAATATTCATGATGATTATATTAAAAATAAACTTCAAACCAAAAAATCTTAAGAAGATTTAAATCGATGCATGAGTGAATGAAAGTGACAAATTTGTTGCACTTTGTACTTTTTTACTCATCGAGTGAGCCCTCTTTTTTGACACTTCTTGATTAATTTATTCACACTTTAATGCTTTTTCTGACAGTTAAATAGTTTTCCACGAAAAAAGTCGAGAATTTTTTAATATTTTATAAAGTGATGTTACTATAACATACAATTAGTATTTTTCAATGTTTATTTTTGTTGCATTTTCAATTGAAAGTAAACAATTAAATGTCCAACATTGGTATATTGGATTTAATTTCTAAAAAAAGAAATAATTTCTAAAAGATAAAATAATCACTAGTAACGGTGAAAATACGCGTAGTTGAATTCGGGCTTTCATGTTGTGTAATTTTACGATGCAATAGCTAAATGCTTGAGTTTTTAATCAATATTTCCCGAAAGGAAAATGCAATTGAGCTATTCAATAACTAAAAAATATAAATTAAATGATTGAGTCATTGAATGAGATTTGACGAAATCCAAACTAAAAACCCTTTTCCAATAAAGACCATTGAAAATTATTAATATTCCCATTATCCGACACATCATTGTAAACTGAATTGCAGTTTGATTTGATTTAATGGCGCGAGATTGCAAGAAATGCTATTAAAAAAGACGCCTATCTAATGATAACCAAAGATTTGTCCGGGCAACAACGAATCAATCAAATTTTAGTCAATTCCTAGTAACATAGATGGCAATGTTAAATTTGCACCAGCATTTACATTCGATTCCATTCTTAAGTTTTGATGAAAAAAATTGACGCAGAATCTGTTCTGATAGCATTGCGAGTGAGAAGGTATTTCATCCAAATGAAAATGTTGTTCAAGTTACTCTTTTCATACATTATTAGCTCAATAACTTTCAACTGAGTATCATCATCAACTGTATACTCATCTTTTATTCCCGTTGTTTATCCTAATAAAAGTTTCAAGTGTTGGACAAAAATGTATAACGACTAATCAACAAATCTAAAACTTTTACTCGCAACAAACCCAAACACTAAAATTGATTTATTCCAACTTTTAATTGTGAACAAACTAATTGCTCGACCCAAAGTGACACTACAACTTTCAAATATTATGTGTAAAAAAGTAAAATCAGTCGGATTAGCAAGACAACTCAGCAACTGTGTTGACCATCTTTCAGTTGGACCACCATGATAGACTCAGTTATTTTTCAAGCAAAGGTAAGATTGAAACTCGACCAGAAAACAATCAACTCTAAATTGAAATTTAACATCATTTAAATAACCCAACATTACCCTCTCAACTCAAACAAATGCCTTAAACAAATTAGTTTCCTTCAAGCCTAGAGATTTACTGTTGACAACTGCATGCGTCTTGATCATTTCACTGTTGAACACAAATCCTAATAAGTAATTTAACAATTTGAATTGATCTAATTAAGATTTCTGTACGATGAAAGGTTGAGTTTCTTACTTACAAGACTTGAAGCTGGAAGCGTTCAACGAGAATCAACCTTCAAATTGAATCATTGCTTAGCCTGAGGTTACATTCTGATGAACCATTCTCTCACTGGGAGTGAAAATTATCTCAATGAAAACCTTGATAAGACTGATAACCTTTTCCTTTGGCTCATGCATTTATACATATAATCTGGTGAAAGAAAAGCTCAAGTCTGTCAAATATGCCATACAACAGCAGATAAAGTAAAAAGCAAAAGGCGAAAATGCTTACCTTTCAATTTCTTGTCAACTCTTTTATCAATCAAACAGAGAATCATATTAAACTCTTTTCAATCAAGTAATGTTGATTCATCTTATTTTTCCCTTCCCTGTACTTAATCAATTTTGTGAGCAATTTAATTTACCTTTTCTTACTCTCTGTGTCTCTCTCTTTGTTGGTCTAATTTAATAAAGAAGCTCAACCTTCATCATGTATTACTTAGTCCAAATAGCATTCAGAAAAGCCAGCAACTCTTTATACCTTTTCTTGTCAGCTCAAGTCTAACCTTGTTCCTTATCTGATTATTAATTTATCTTATTTTCTTTTCTCTATTCAGGTTCATCACAATCATCATGCTACCCTCACCAATTACCATTGTGATCTTGATATTTATTTTCACTCAACCCTTGGATGTTAAGTGTTTGTGTCCAATGAGATGTACTTGTTTGGAGGAAAAGTTGTCCGTCAATTGTAAAGAATCATCTCTCGATGTTGTCCCAATCACACTGAATCCCGGGATTCGTGAACTTTTCCTCTCCAACAATCTAATTAAAAGCATCTCATCATCATTTAGTTTTTACACTCACCTCTCAATCCTTGACCTCTCATCAAACCAAATCTCTTCATTGCACAAGAAAAACTTTCAACACCAACGTAACCTTCAACTGTTGATCCTGTCTGGTAACCGGTTAACCCATCTAACCAATGAATCCTTTACCGGCCTCGACTCTTTACGGTCCCTCAACTTGGCTGAAAACTCACTGACAACCCTAACCAGTCGCACCTTTACCGGACTAACCAAATTGGAGAAGCTAGACTTGTCTCGCAACACAATCAATGAAATTTCCGATGAAGCCTTTTACGGTTTAAACTCGTTGAAGTGGCTCAGTCTACGGTCAAACCAGTTGACTAGTGTTCCCTCAATAGCTCTCTACTTGGTCCCCAGTCTGTCTCTACTAGACTTGGGCCACAACAGCCTAACCTCACTGGTTGACAATGGGTTTGCCTCACTAGCCAGACTCACCGATTTACGTCTTGATCTTTGCTCCATTTCCTCGATAGCAACCTCATTTGCTCATGGAATGGTCAACCTAAAACGATTACATCTCGACGGTAATGAGTTGGAAACTATTGAGAGCCACTTTTTCAATGACATAACCTCATTAGAGGAACTGTTTATCGGTGCAAACAAGTTTACAACAATTAAAGATTACACTTTTCATTCACTTGGAAACAGCCTTATATCCCTTGATATAAGAAATGCAAGGGAATTGATTAACTTCCATCCAAATGCTTTACACGGATTAACCAAATTGACTCGATTAACAATTGAATATTGTCCTAAACTGACTTCATTACCAAGTCAACTATTCAAAGATTCACAAGGTTCAATGAGAGAGTTGCGTATTCGAAGCAATGGATTAACAAGTTTACCCAATTCGTTGTTAACTCATTGGACACAATTAACCGTCTTTGATGTTCGTGATAATCATTGGAATTGTAATTGTTCAATTTTATGGCTTTGGAAGTATTTAAGGAAAGTTAATGGCAATTCCTTTACCAACCGAAATACCAATAACAATAACAATTTATCAAGTTTACCAACAGAGTCAATTACTTTTAGTGATTTAATTTGCTTCTCACCTCAACCCTTGTCAGGTAAACGATTAACCTCATTGTCACCCGATGATGATATCGATTGTTCAAACCCAAACTCGACTTCAACCTTGATTGTTGTCTCTTTAATTGTTGGCCTTATAATGATAATTACAATTGCATTGATGGTTCTTTGGTGTCGAACTCGTCTTCCCCTAATCTTACTGAGACACAAAAAGTTTACCAATAATTTGACAGAAGAGTTTGTCTATGAAAAAGGACGTTTCATCGAGAACCAAGTCATGTTTCCACCCTCATCTTCACCCTATCACCCTCACCCTCTTCACCACCAACCTCACCTTGAACAGCATCGACACCAGTCCGATCAGTTCAACACTTCACATCGCCATCCAAACTATCATTCAACTTCACCTTATCATCCATCTTCCAGTCTAATCATTATACAATCACCAGTTAAAATGGGTCCCATAAGTCAAGTGTAAAGGTGTATTAATTTGTTAACTGTATTATATGTAAAACTTGGCCAACTCGACATTCATTAATCTCTCATCCTTCATCCTTTCAAATCTTTTTTTTATACATCAACTGATTGGCACTTTTTGTATTTTGTATTTAAAACCATCAATTGATAGCAATCAGAGTCACTCATAAAGTCAACCATTTAACTCGTTTGGTAAGCGCGCGATCTTGAACAAACTTTGACTTTTTTCATCTCTTGGTTTGCCATAAAAGGAAAACATTACCTTTACTTTGCCATGTTTTGTTATCTTTTCAAATTATTCATCACTTTTAACCGACAATCGGTTAAAGTCAATTTTCAATTCAATTAGATAGAAGACCGAAAAGGGATGAAAAGTATTATTCAAAGATTATTCAAATCTGTCTATGCAATTATTGATACCAACAAGGGAAAAGTGGAAATATTGATATTTATTTTCAAATGCAAACAAAACTTCAAGTGAACCATATTAGCTAACGATATGAATCTTTGGCCTTTTCCATATTAATTGTTCCAACTCCATTCCTAGGTCCATTCAGTTCATTTTCGTTTCAATCCTTTCTTTTGGATTCTCATTTTTTATTAAACTCATGAGCTTTCGATTCTGTTTACCTTTGAATAAAATGCCTTTATCCAAGTTCATTTTCAAATTTATCGATGAATTTGTTGACGATTCAAGAGTTATAAGTTTTTATTTTGAGCCGATTGGAGTTGGAAATTTCAAGTGCAATTGACATGGAAAAGGTCAAGACTTGTGAGATTCAATAGTTGGAAAAGTTGATTGAAGAGCAGAATTAAATTTCTGTAAATAGACAATTAGCGATGATAAAGATTATCGTTCAAAGTACCGCAAAAGACATATAAACTTTGGCAAAACTGAAACCATGAAAAAACTGGAAAATCAACGAAACTCTCTATTCTGATCTCAGTCAATTTGTATCATGTAAAGAAACAATCAGCAAACTGTAATAATGTATAAACTTCAAATGTATAAAAAAGTGAAATTAAAGAAGAAAAAAAACTTTAAACAAAAAATATTTTCCAATTCATTCATCACAAACTAATTATACAAAGGTTCAATGTAATGGGAAAGCAAATGATAAGTTGACTTATCCCTTTGGGTTTCACGTTATTACAACTACTATTATGGTTATAATTTGGGTTGTCAATTGAACTGGAAAGGTTTGGTTAGAGAAACAAGATTATATATATTATCAGGGAAAAGGGATAAATGATGAAAAGCCATGGAATAAGAAGCAATGGAAACAACATTTCCGGTCATCCGTGAATCTTTCATCTTCCAACATCAAAGGTATTAACATTATTAAAGTAAAATATCTGACCGTCCAACTGCCTGATCAAGAGCTCATTATTAAATCAGAAAATAAGTTGTAAGGAAAAGAGATATTTTTGGCTTCTTTTTTATTCTTTTTTTCATTTTTCTTTTCATTTTTCCATCTTCTAATCATTATTGTCGAATATTAAATGACTAATGTTCAATATTTTATGCAACCTTGCAATGTAGTTACAGATGAAAAGATTTTTTTGTTGGCAAAATTCAATTTTTTATCATCACTTTTCGTCATTTATTTGTGTGCAATTTTACCTCCCTTATCAGTTGATATTCATTTGTTCACCAACTCCACCCAATACCTGAGTAAAGTTCAAGGTTCCTATTTTGTGTTCACTTTTTTCCTGTTCATTCAATTCTTAGATAATTTCACAAAAGCAAACTCTGCATTTTAATGTCGATTCAGTTGCTGATTCAGTATCGAGATCTTATCATGAAAACTTTGTCTTTAATCAACATTTGATCGAGATAACAAGTCTCGACATTTTATATTTTTCATTTGCTTTTTTGTTCAATTTGATAGGAAAAGCTTTTTCGCATTTGCAAAATTCATGCATTTAGAGTTTAAATTGATTTACTTTTGTGACAAAAGCGATTAACTGTTGACTGATTTGATCAAATAATAACAAAAGTTGACAATTTAATCATTGCTGGTTAATAAAAATTTAAAGTGAAAATGTTCAAATGTCACTTTTGATCAGAAAATTAAAGTTTAAAATTTTATTGGCAAAAGCGTATCAAGATGAACCTGATTCAATAAGTGAATCAAGGTTTACCTCAAGTTGATCAACAATAAACAAGATTGAATCGATCAAAATAAATGACATTATTGCATAAAACAAGTGAAGAGTATAAAAGCGATTATTGTTATAATTAGATTTCAATCGAAACATGAGAAAAGTTGCATTCTTTAGCTCAATTTCAGTTCTAGTCTAGTTCTTTAGCTATTCAGTTGCTCAAGATAGCTCATCATTTGCATGTAAAGAGTTAGTCACTTGCAAGAATACAGAGTTGATAGAAAAGATGGGAAAATTGAAAATTGACTTCATTTTCAGATTCATCATCAATTTGACAAGTTAAAAGGAACAGTTTGATTCTAAATTGTAACTTGCCATTCTCATAATCACTTAATAATGTTCACCATTTTTACGCTTTTTTGCCTAAATGATGATGCTAATGCTGATGGTGCTGTGCCTGATGATGAGCAACAAAAAAAAAGTCACACTCATCTCTTTTTCATCTTCTTAACAACACTTACGTCCTCCCATTATGTCAACTTTTACTTCATCATTGTTTCTTGTTCATCTTTATCCTTCCAAAACACATCTTATTACATTTCTCATTCTCATCCTTAATCATCTCGCCTCCATTCCCTTGAATCTCTTCATCTCTCCATTACCATCATCATCTCTATCCTTCCCAGCTTCCCCTCCCAGCATACACTCCCAGCCTCATTCCCATATAAATTGGCTTCCCTTTAAATGCTTAGTTGGCCTCTTTTAATTTCTTGTATTTACAAGATCACTTAGCACTTTTAGTCTCTATTAAGGATTCCAACCTCCCACCACCTCCTTCCCAGTCAATCCCAGTCAGTTTGTGCTTCCGCTTTTATCACAAACTAAGTATTGAATAGCATCGAGAAAAGTCTCATTTCCTCTTCTTTTCTCATCATCCTTATCATCATCCTTTTTCCTCATCTTCATCCTTATCCTTTATCCATCTTTACACACCTTTATTACCCTTCGATATATCCTGATGATACAAGGCAAACCATTGAGTGAAAGTGAACCGAGTGATGCATTCACACTAGCATCAACTTCATCTATTAAACATGCCTCACAAACACAGTCAATAGTGACATTGAATTGAATTTAAAATGTTTAACAAAAAACTCCCAGTAAACTGATCATTCCCAGTGTCAACTAAAGCCATTCAATCATTTCAATATCTTCATCTTGTGTCACTCTTTGTCATCCAACTTTTTTTTACATTACAATCTTTTATACACAAAAAGACGGGGTAAAAGGCAATGAAATGAAATCACAATACAAACAAATTTAAAAAATGATTCAAAGTTTACACAATGCCAATCCAAATAAGTATTATTTTTGTACAAGCAAGAAAAAAAACAAAGTCCACAACATGAATCAATTTGACAGTACAAAATGCAATCTTTAAATGATCAAGAAAACCGCCCAGAAAAGCTCATCACGATACTAACATCATCATGAGTAACATTATTTTCATCCAAATGCCTAATCTAGACTCCCATTGGGACACACTATTTACATTTCAAAGTTGATGCTCTAGAGAGGCAAATGGTTTACAGGGTCGACCAATAATTGGATCAGTAAATAATCAATCATTTGACATCATTTAAAATACAATTTAAGAAACAATCATGAAGCTACAATCGATATAACAACAAAATACTCCCAGTCAATTGTTGAAATTGGCAAATTGCAAGATTATCTTTTAAACTCGATTTTCCCCAAATTTTCCATTCTTTCCATTTCAACATTCAATTGGAATGAATTTTTTAGAAAAATTTAATTTCCATAAATCTCATGAAATTTATTGTACGGAATTGTTTCAACTCTCATGACTGATAATGACCATGTTTAATTTAACCATTAATATCATGATACAATTAAAAGTTCAATTTTCGCTGTTTTACCACTGAAAAATTTACATAATTAAATATCAATACAGTGAATGTTTGATCGTGAGATTTACCTTTTAATGCTTTGTAAATGTAAAAATACTTTTGTTATGCAGATTAACTTTACTTTTTTTCATCATTTCAAGTTGGAGATGAGGATGAAGAAAGATGAAATGAAAAAATGATTTCTTTCAAAGTAACATGAAGATGAAAATTGATTTTCATTTTGGAGGGCAAAAAATTTTCTTCTCTTGTATGTAAAGGTGAGAAAAGGTTTAATGTGAAAGTTGAAGATGAAGATGAAACTAAGTGAAATATAATACCAAATATCTCGTCATTTTTACCTTTAATTCATTCACTTGAATGTTGAAAACTTGTTTGCTTCATACAAGCTCAAGATGAACAGGATGAGTGAAAAGGTAAAGAATCAAATTGAAAAGCATTTCGATTGTCGATATTGAAAAAAATGTTGATTCTTCTTCGTTTCTTTGTACATAAATGCATTTATATATTTTTTCCTTGTTACAATGAAAAAATGATTCAGCTGTTGGAATGGAAAAAGATGCCATTTCAGATGATAAGTAGAGAAGGAGAAAAAAAATCAATATAAAATCAAACATTCGACACATTTTTCAAAGGCTCACCTGGGAGGTCAAAAGGTCTTTCATCAGAAAATATACATTTTAACAAAAGTTGATAATCGCTTAATAAAGCAACTGGGAGTGCAAAAGGCAAGCAAGGGAATGCAAACATGGAAAATGATGCAATGTTCGAGATAAAATTGACTTTTCAGAACTTTTGAATTTCGAAAGTTCATGTAATTTTACAATTCGATAAATGTGCCTCTTCACCTTTCAACTTGGAGAATCATGTTTTCGGGCAAGATTCATTTTCAGTTTCTGATATTTTCACCTTAAGAGTCATTTTAGATTTTGCTCTAAAACATTTTTAACACTTTCATCGTTTGTACTTGGACTCACCAATTCTTGCATTTCTTGAACTAGTTTTTCCCACAAAGCTCAGAAATGTTGATTGAAAAGTTACTGATTTGCAATCGAGACTTAAGTCGATGTTAATTGAGAAAATATTTAATGGCTATTTGGAGAATTGCAATGGAATGCCAGTTTATCGAATTGAATGAATGAGAGAAAACTTTTTTCTTTTGATTTCCATTCAGATTGACCAACGTTCCTTATTAAGGGTAGTTTTACAGCAAACCACTAAATGCATTAGATATTATTATAGTAATGATAATTGGAAATTTTTGACGGTTGAAGAATAATGAGCCAACAAAATGCTTGTACTGAAA